GATTCACCGCCTTTACCTGACCGGCACTGGCTCGATAATGATAGAGTTGCAATAAAATAAAATAAAAAGAAAAAGAAAAAAGAAAAAATGGGATTGGCTCAGAGAGCCATGTGGCAGTTGTGGCTTTGAGGCCCTTGGGACCGAAATCTGCGTTACTCTCGGGCCTATGCTCCACAAATCGCCCTCAGAGCCCCGAAGTAGGAACAAAGCAGCTAGTGAGTGACTGATTGCATGTTTTACCGTAAAATCCGAGTGTAAATACTACTAAAATCGAATTTGTCCGGCCCCTCCGGGGCCATACTAATACTCAACCCGTCCATCGTTCTCTGAGATATATCTCCTATAAAATGGCAGCTGAAACCATGAGAAAGTCTACAGCTAGTCCATGCATATTTTCTGAAGGCAATTCAAGCCCAAAATACTGTAATTCCTCAATTTAGGGTGCTCCGGGGCAAGTGACTTCTTATATCGAACATTCAAAGCAAACACCACTCCCCCACAATTCCACAAAAGAGTTTTAGCATTGAATCCGTAGTTTGCACGCTTTCCCCCCTCCACACCGCCTTACAAGGTCTGAATTACTGCGGATATCTGTAAATGTGGTGACACCCAGTCAGGCCAACTGCGCAGAGGATATTTCATTAAAAATAATTCTGTAAATCTACTGCTGTGAACTGTCTAACTGCTGCTGAGTGCAGAACACTTAGCATTCACTGCTCCATAAAAACTCTGCATGGACATCAAGGTCTGTTGGTATGATCTGGGGTAATGGATATCAAGCCGCATCTACCTTCATATATATGGTCTCAAGTATACAGTACACACAGGTATTTTACCTATTGTACTCGCGTACGGGAGCTCGTCCGACACCTGTCATGGCAGGCACAAATCGGGTTCTCGGGGAGAGCCACAGCAGCCGTTGTGGCGCCTCTGGCACAGCCACTCGATAACTCGTTGAGTTTGGTAGGTTCGTCCCACGAAATGGCACAGCCACTCGATATTGATATCGAGCAACCATATGCGTAACCTCCCCCGGCACTCACTCGCTTTCTCTCAAGTCTTTTCTTCGCTTTTCTTTCTTTCCCTCCCCGCTCACCTTCTCCGTCGTTCACTTGACTGCCCTCGCCGTCGTCGACAATGTCCGACTCGTCTGAAGTACCGACGCGCCCGCCGCCAGTCCCGATGCCCACCCGACAACCTCAGGCTTCCAATGCACCGCGTCCGTCCGTGTCTGCCCTGCTATCCAATCGGGGGCCCGGAGCGACTCCCATTCCCCCGTCTTTGCAAGCTAAAATGGCTGCGGTGAGTGTCTGACCTCTCCGATTCCCCTCGGGCGATTCCGTTTCGTTTGGCGGGACTTGGTCTTGTAAAGCGCTGTTCATTGGGCAAGGGCGATGTGCGTCGCTCGGAATCCGGGCGGTACACTGGCAGACAGTTGGGATGACTGGCAAAGGTGTGGATGCCGATGGCTGGCTGCGACGTGCCCGGGCACCGCCATGCTGCTTATGCATTACGGTGACACCCGCTACTCGGGGGCGACGGAATGTCGCGGTTTACGGATTATGGGAAGTGTCAGCTTGCCTTTGTCCGTCGGTGTTGCACGCGATTTTGTCGGATTGCTTCCTGCTTACAAAGCTGTCGGGGGTACCTGAAGTCCGAGAGGCCGTCAGGTCATTGGCTGCATGTCGTAGTATGAATTTCCTCTTCTGCAGGGCATGGGGACCCTGATTCGCGTGCATTCATTCACCAATGCACTCTGACCATGTCCGATATGATCTCTTCGAATTCGCTGCAGCACCTTACTAAGCATCCGTTATGAACCCCATTTTACAGATGGCGAATCGGGCATCCAAGTCCCAACACACAGTCGACTCAACAGCCGCAGCACTGAAACGCGCATCCCTTGCTGATAACATCCGACCGGCGGCCTCCGCGCCTGCACAAGGGCAGCCACGCCCACCAGCCGGGTTGGGCGACCGGAGGCGGAAGCCTAACCTAAACATTAGCCAGCTGATCGGTCAGTCTGGTGGATTCACAGGGGGTGCTGCGGGTGCTGGTTTGGGTGCTGGAAGTGTTAGCTTGGCTCAGGATCAGGACAGGACTAGCCCCGCTGTAAGGAGAGATGCTGGGACGCCGTTCGCGAACTTTCAGAAGATTGTGTGAGTACATGCGTGGCGCTCTTGTGCGCTCTAATGAGCTAACCGGCCCGTTTTTTCCTAGTGATCCTTCCGGCCGGCTTAAGTTCAGCGGGAAGGCTGTGTTACATGCAGCTGGTGTCGATTTCTCGAACGGCCAGAGTTTTGCCATAACAATGGACCAATTACAACTGTACGAGGACCTAGGGAAGGGTAACTACGGGACTGTCAAGAAGGTACTGCACAAGCCGACGAATGTGCCGATGGCGATGAAGGTGGGCAAAGCTTCAGTTCTGTTTGAACTCAATCTCACCTTCTGTTGTCTAGGAAATTCGACTAGAGCTCGATCAAGCGAAACTGAATGCCATTATCATGGAGCTTGACATCCTACATCGAGCCGTTGCTCCAGAAATCGTGGAATTCTATGGGGCCTTCTTCATAGAGTCTTGTGTGTACTATTGTATGGAGTACATGGATGCGGGATCCATGGACAAGCTACAGGCGTACGGCCGAGACTCACCTAGCTCAACACCTGTCGCGACCCCTACCGCTTCGACTGAAGAGTTGGCAGGTGCCTTGCAGCTGACTCCACCAAACACCATATACAGTGGAAAGCGCACGGGAGGAGTGCCGGAGGAGGTGCTTGCACGGGTAGTGGCGAGCATGGTGCGAGGTCTGAAGTTCTTGAAGGATGAACTACAGATCATGCACCGGGATGTGAAGCCGACCAACGTGCTTGTCAACCGGAAGGGTGAGGTCAAGCTTTGTGATTTCGGCGTCAGCGGGCAACTGGAGAAGAGTTTGGCCAAGACGAATATTGGCTGTCAAAGTTACATGGCGGTGAGTACATGCCCGCTCTCATCTGGACGCCCTCTAAATTTCGTGCACTTGTCAGCCTGAACGGATTCGGTCTGAATCACTGAACACCTCCCCCACTTACACCGTCTCCTCCGATGTGTGGTCACTAGGACTATCAACAATCGAAATGGCGCTCGGTCATTACCCGTACCCGCCTGAAACCTACTCGAATGTCTTCGCACAGTTGACTGCCATTGTGCATGGTGACCCCCCGCAACTCCCTGAAGAGTTCAGTGAGAACGCCCGAGACTGGGTTGCTCGATGCATGATGAAGCGACCCGAAGACCGGGCGACGTACAAAGAGCTGCTGGAGCACCCATTCCTGTTAGAGGATTCACAGCGAGAGGTCGATATGCCGGGATGGGTCGCAAGGGCTTGCGCTGCCAGGGAGAGAGCGCAGCAGGAGAAGGAGCGGCAGGAGATGCTCGGGGAGTCGTCATGAGCTGTGACGGCTATCCCACCGGTTTCACTCGGTGGTCTCGCGAGCGATGGCAGCAGGGTAGCCTTCCCTGGGATGTTCTCGCTTACGTTCAGGCCTGGAACTCTCGTCTGAAACTCGAATTGAATGTAATCTCGCGAAGCGCGGCCTACCTTCCAGGACTGGCCAGTCGTTCGAGTCGTTATCGTTGTCGTCTGGTGTCCTGGTCCCTCTTGGTTTCTCGGTTATCTATGTCGCTCAATGGTCTCGGATGTTCAATACAATCCGCCTTACCTCTCGGCTCTGTCCTCGGCAGTTTGTGGTGTCCTGGCTCGGGACCACGAAGGCGCAGTGGCTAGACGAGGCACGTCAAGATGTATTCGGCGCCGGCGCGGCGGTGGCATGGCCGTGACTTCGGCTGTCGCGCCTGTATACGAGCAGCGAAGTAATCATTCATACTCCATCAACGGACACTGTTCATCGCTGTACACTAGCCAATCTTTGCTATTCCTTCGCATCTCTTCTCCTCGCACAAACACGGTTCTTGCATGCTGCTCATGCTTCTTTTCTCTTGGCTGGCTGTCGATGTTGTCTTTTGGTTTGGTCCAGGCGGGTTTGGCAAGTTGGGTAGAGCGCTACAGATGGAGGTGCTGTGCTACTTCCTATTTATTTGGTACGCCTAAGTTACATCCATGAGACGCACACACACGATAGCGTCGAATAATATGTAATGTATGGGCATGATCACTGTATAGACCTGTACAATGGTGCAAACTTCTTTCAACTGCAAGTTAGCCTAGGACTGCCTCAGATTATCGAGTTTCGGCTTGAAAGATCCACCTGTGATGCGAATATGTCAGACTCGATATGTCAAACAGAGGCACGCATCCTAGGGACGGGGACATTCGGCGGGTGTGTGGCCGTCGAGCGTGGGCCAAGATTTGAAGCCAGACCGAAGATATTCTGCTTACCTAATATGTATACCGAGCCCAGCTGTGGCGTCTGGTATGCCTCCTTCAACCGTCTGTACAGCGAAAGCGTCGTACAAGAAGGCTCCGGGACTGCTAGAGCTCACAGACACTCACCTTCAATGGTCTCAGGACGGGAAAAAGGCTCCGAGCATAAGAGTCCCTTACGCTGAGCTCGCTTGTAAGCAGTTCGTACAGTTCACAATGGAACCTAGTTTTGCTGAACATACGCGTCGTATCGTTGCCTGTGCGTCCAAATTGTTGCGCATATAGCCTTGTTCTGTAGTAAGGAAGGCGCTGCGCAAGTCAGACTGAAAGTGGGTCTGGTCAGTGACGACGCTGGGCATAATTTTACCTTTACGTCGCCCCAACCCGTCGCGCTCTCGGAGCGAGAGACCTTCAAACGCGAACTTACGAATATCATTGCGCGCAATCGTAGCACTGCTGAGCCCACGACCCCAAAACCTGTCATTGCAACCAGTCCTATTACTCCGGTTTCAAATGGCCATCCGCCACCTCTGCGTCCCTCTGGGGCCGCCACTCCCGCTCTCCCGCCGCCCATTTCTAGAGCGGCAAGTGTGGTGAGTAGTGGAGGAACTCCAGGACCTGGAGGTGCGGTATCTGCATCCGACTTCAAGCTGAGGAAGAAGGTACTCGTGAACAACCCCGAGCTTGCTACCTTACATCGGGAACTTGTGATGACCGGTCAAATCACTGAAGCTGAATTCTGGGAGGGGAGAGAAGTGAATTTCGCTTTATGTTCCAGCGCATATAACCTCTTCCTGACATGCGGTATTACATCTAAAGCATTTACTGGCTGCTCAGGCTGCCGCGGACAGTCAGAAACGAGGTCGGCCTGGAGCGTTAGTGGACCCACGGCCACAAACGGTTGAGGGCGGTGACATCAAGATAGTCATCACACCCCAGCTAGTCCACGATATCTTCGAAGAGTTTCCAATCGTTGCGAAGGCATATAACGAGAATGTTCCCAAACCAGTATGTCCGCATTGCTCGCATACTGAGACTTCGCTTAGTGACATGAAATCTCTGCTCCCAGCTAAATGAGGCAGACTTCTGGAAACGATACTTCCAGTCAAAGCTTTTCCACGCTCACCGCGCATCTATACGGTCCAGCGCCACGCAGAATGTGGTGAAAGACGATCCCATATTCGACAAATACCTGGAGAAGGAGGATAATGGTATCATATTATTGCTGACACTTTCAATATTTTGTCATTTATCTTCGTGTAGAACTGGAGCCACGGCGACAGCGCGATGAAGAGGTCGAAATTTTCATAGACCTGGGTGCCACTCAGGAAGATCATGACGTGGTAAGTCCTACAGTACCGATTTCGAGTCGTTGCGCTAATGCTCCTTGCTGGCAGACCGGCAACGAGAAGGACATAACGATGCAGGCGGGGAAGCAGAAGGGGGTTCTTCCCCTTATCCGGAAGTTTAATGAGCATTCGGAACGTCTATTAAAATCCGCTCTGTGAGTAGAGTAGCCTGAGTCAACTCGTCTTGCTGTATACTCATTTTCCATTGAAGAGGCGAAGACGGTCCTACGACGAAACGCAGACGAATTGACGATGATGCATCACACGTACGCTCCATTTCTTGGATTTTTAGGCTTTCCCCAATTTGACAATTGCTGCCATTATTACTCAGCTACGAGATTACTATGCACAGATTGATATAGAAGATCTGCACGATTTGCAAGACACCACTGGTATAATCCTTGAGATGCAAGATCGACAGCGTTATTTCGAAGGTGGCATGAAGAGTGCCGCCTCGGAGGACGCCTCGAAACACGTGAACCGATTTCCTTGCCTCTGAGGTGATATCTGTAGACCCATGCGACCTTATAGGAAATTGATATCAAAGTTGCGTTGCGAGAAGCCAAAGACAACTTGCATGATTGGGCCGGAGCACTCAGTAATGTATGTGCCATACAGTCTGCGCATATTGATGAGGCTGACTCCAATATTGTAGCTCAAGCTAGAGAAGAAAGCAGCCGATGCCTCCGTGGTAGCCATGACCCAGAATGTCCAGGCTCGTCTAACTACTAAGACGCGGAAAAGTATGAGATACATTTTCTACACCGTTGACTCTCTGGTGACTTGACCATGAACGCCTTGCAGATGACATCCCTGAAGGACTGTTCCGCCAAATGAGAACATGCCAAACAGCTGCCAATGAATTCTTGCGGCAATTCTGGTCCTCAGTATATCCACCACTTTCGGACCTACAATCAGCAAACCCACCTACACCAGCACAGAAGGCTGCGAAAGCTGCTAAAATGGCAGGTTATCTTGCGAAGACGCATGAGAAGGTCGAAGCTTTGGTACGGACTGCGCATGCCGAAGGTATCGACCCCGAGCGCGTGCGAGTGGTAATTAATATCGTTCGTTAATCGAGCGCAGGGGCTCCGCTGATGCGAGAAACAGGCCATGAAGCCCCTCACGGACGCTGTTGACCAGGCTCTGACATTTCACCGCACCAGAAAGCCTGTCAATGCCAAGTAGACTTTCGTGCGCGACACCCCAGACAGCAGTCCCCATCCGTAATACGGTCCTAATCATTGCATTGTCCCTGACGTCCTTCATGAAGTATATTACAAGCGCATATTGTACGTAGTGAGCATCTACATGTAAATCAATAATCCTCAAGCAGGCTGTACACATACCATATTTCCGTCACCTAGTGTGCAATAGGAACAGGTTGTTTCTGCAACTGTGTGCCTCCAGACGTCGTGCACTCGTATGTGGTGTACATGACCAGCATATGTAAGGCGAGAGCGTAGAAGATGAATGCGTTTCGTGCTCGACGGTTGCCTAAGATCGCGCGAGTGAGCCCAAGGACGCCTCGCTCCATCGGATTGAGATTCCCATAGGCTCTCGCAGCCTCCTGGGAATTAACGGAAAAGAGTATCAGGAGGGGAAGTCCGCTGAATGAACGCTAAGAGACGTACCCGCCCGCGGAAAGCTTCGAAAGGATTCATAGCTTCTTCGTACCTCGTCCGATACTTACTCATGTCGTCGTTCAATACTCCGCCGTTCGCAGGTAGTGGGTCTAGGGTGGACGTGGCGTGCCGACGCGACGCTTCCTCGCGATAACTCTGCATGTAACGTACTTTCTCGTATAGCTTAAGGTTATCAGCTTGGAGACTCTTGACTTCGGAGCGTAACTCGGAGATGATCTGGAATTGCTTGCGAAGCTCCTATTGCGCGGCATCAATATGCGGGTCAGTATATTGGAAAATGTGGAGAAGGAGGCGGAGACGGACTTCCTCGAGTTCGGCGTTCCGCTGCCTGAATCTATCCCGTTGACTCGTGACGATGGGCAATATCGACGTGTCAGCCGATGAAGTGAACGGTATCGGTGTTGTCCTCGCTGGCGAATCCTTGCAACACAACGGCATCAATATGCAAGCTGCGAGCGCATCTGAACGTATGCGTACTTACCCCACTCGTCGTCCTCCTGCCCAAGTCCAATCCCGCAAGAGCGCTCTCCTTCCTAGACAGCTCCCCGGCGCTGGCGGCGTCGTCTGGCCCCTGGCTCTTGTGTCTATCCATCTGAACCAGGTCGTTCTCTAACCGCTCGTTCAGGGCTCTCTGCTTCTCCAGCTCAGATGTCGCATGGGCCAGCTCATCCTGCGTCCGCTGCAATGAGGCCTCGAGTTCTGCGTAGTCGATCTGGGACACCAGAGGGCTCGGTTATTAGAATATCTGTCGGAGTTAAGAGTATGGTGGCTTACCCGGAATTTCGCCAGTTGGTCCAAGATCCTCTTATTCTTGCTAGCCAGAAGTACTTCCAATGATTGCCCTCTATCTTTCTCTCCTTTATCAGCTTTCGGGTTTGGACTGGGTAGAGTCAAGCCGAGGGAATTCTCCTCCATGTAACCATTCATCCCCTGATTTTCGTCCTCCTCATCCTGATCCATACCGCCGAATTCAACGTACTGCGATACCGCACATCAGTTGTGTCGTATATCACCTGTTCAGACAAAAAATAAGGATAGCAATGACACACCTTCATGATCTCTAACTCTCTCTTAACCTCATCATAATCCTTCATTTCCCCCAGTCGGCTCTTCAGCCTCCTCACCTCCGCCTCCTTGCTCTCAACCTCCCTCTGCACGGCCTCCACCTTCTTCCGCGCCTCTCTCTGGACCTGTTCGGTAGTCTCCCGCTGTGCATCCAGTGCACGCGCAAGCCGCTCAGTCTCGGCTTCCAGAGACGAGACTTGTTCCTCCAAGGACTGTATGCTACATCACGCCACCCTAAGAATGGCGATTGGTGGGAAAAGGTGATACCGGGCTTACCGCTCGGAAGTCCCGCTGCCGCTCTTCATGTTCTCAATCTCCGCCCGCAATAACTCCTATAAACGGAAGACATATGAATGCTGAGGCACGCATTTTGCAATCGGAAATGCCCGAAATAAAACGCACATTCCTCCTCTCAACAGTGATGACCCGGCTGTTCGCGCGCTCGAGGTCGGCCACGAGCATGTCCATCTCAGCCAGCTTCGATATTGTCTCCTGATCTATTTATCATCATCATTAGCCTTGCGGCGGTTCGCAGTATGGCTCCCCTGAGAGTACGTACCTTGTCTCTGCGACTGGTCGAGCAGTTTGGCCTGGCTAGTCTCGACTGAACTGCGCAGTTCGCGCAGTTGGGTGCGGGAGACGGAGAGTTGGCGTTGGAGGTCTTGTTCGCTGGATAGGCATGGAATCAAAGAGCAGGAATAAATCGTCGTAGTAGCCACACGTAAAATCATGAGTGAACAAACGTGAGTACGGCAATATGGTTGGACGAGTGATAGGGAAACGCACCGCTCCTCGTAATTCCTCATCTTCTCGTCGTACGTGGCGTTGAGCTCATTCTCCTTCTGGGCGACTTTCTCCTGTATCATGTCCTCCATCTGCATGCACGTGTTACGACCGCTTCAGGTTTATTGTCACTTGAATTGGGCATACCACACACGCACCTTAGCCTCCAGTGTCTCGACCTTGCTCTCCGCCTTCTTCGCCCGCGCCTCCAGCCCACTCATCTCGCCCACTTTCTGCTTCAGCGAAGCATTCTCTTCGCGTAGGCGTTCTACGGAGGATTGAAGTTCCGCGGTCTCAGCTAGTTGAGCTGTTTGGTCCTGGAACACGCATCCAGTTGAGGTGGGTACAGAAGCAGGTAACAAGGGGAGAAACGGGACGAGACGTACGACTACTGCCTCAAGCAACGGATACGGGTCTGGTGCTTCGGCGAGGACTTTGTACACGTTTAGGAACGCGTTCTCCGCTGTCTTCGAGCGTTTCGTGAGGTTATCGATCTCGGTCTGGTATGCTGTCCACGTAGAACGCAATGAGCTCGCGCAGTGCCAGTATCTATAGCCAACCCGTACCCTTTAGTAGGCTCTTGAATCCTGTCAACTTCTCTTCATCCGGGACCTTCTTCCACTCTTCCCGTCGACCAGCGGTAAGCTGTGGGGTACAGGTATCTCAGTGGCTGCACGTACCCTTTGTCCTATCGGCCAGAGCCTTCCTCCCGACCACGCTCTCCTTCTGGTTCTCCACGAGCTCGATACCCTGCGCATCCAGCGTCTTTTGAAGCTCGGAGAAGTTGATGTCTTCGTGCACCGTCAGCTACGTCGCGACCCGTCTGTGATTGAAGAAGACTCACTTTTCCATGTCAGTAATGCCCCAGAGAAGTTGTCCATGGCTAGCAAGCGAATGCAGCTCAGGTGGTAGTATTGCAAGTATAGACAGGGCTGAACGACGTCAGGCGCACGTTGAGCTGCGCCGAGGTGTAAGTGATCCCGTTAAGGAAGGAGACATTCCATATTAGGATATCAATGCTAGATGCAAATTACGCTAAAGCTGCCTGCTAGATTACATCGGCTACCCCGCTTCGCATTCATCATCGTCAGTTATGGCATCCTCTGTAGAACGGCAGCTGATCGTCTTCGACTTTGACTGGTTTGTCTTGCGCTTTCTCATCGAATAAATCGTGTATGCAACACTAGTCCCTGAGCAGGTCGATGGCGGACCAAGACACCGACCGCTGGATATTCGAGGTTAACGCGCCCGATCTGCGCAGGAAAATGAAAAACCTGAAAGACGAGGTGCAGTGGACAGACTTGGTGTAAGTGGGGATTGTCTCGCCTTGCCAATCGTTCGTGATCTGCATCTTGCGGAAGAGCCCAGTCATTGAGGGAGTTCCATGAACGAGGGGGCAAGCGCCATCAGATCGAGGAAGCCCTTAGGATTATGCCTTTCGTCCGTACAACATTAGTTCCAGACCATCTACTCCGAAACTCACGAGTAGATACCCCTGTACCCCTGGTAGCACCCGGCCATGGTTCGCGCCGTTCAGAAGCTGAAGTCCAAAGGGAAAACTACCTTCCTCTGTCTATCCAATGCGAACTCCGTTTTCATCTCCACGATCCTCGCGGTATGTTGCTCGCCCTCCTGCCAGGCGTCGTAGTGCTCACACGTCCTCTCCGTCCGCAGTCCAAGGGTCTCTCTGAGCTGTTCGAAGAAATCATAACCAACCCAGCCGAGTGGGATCACAGCGGTCTCCTCAAACTGCGCAGACGCATCGCGCCCGACGCAGCGCGGCAGCACCAATGCAAAGTGGGGTGCTCGCCAAACATGTGCAAGGGTGTGTCCCCCGCATAGGCCACGCCTCATATTTCCGCTCACCGTGCGTAGGCGAAGAGCTCGAGGCGTTCCTTGAACGCCACGGCAAGCAGTTCGACCGGATCGTCTACGTCGGGGACGGTTCGAATGATTTCTGCCCTATCCTCCGGCTACGCACGTACGTGATTGATCCCTTGCTCCCCCCTCATCCAGTGGCCGAACGCCGTCAACCCGACGAGATATACCCTGTCTCGTCTAGTACAAACAGAACCTGACCAATGTCATCGCAGATCCGACATTGTCCTATGCAGAAAATTCCGCGGTTTAGAGCGGCGCATTTCGAAGGAGGGCGACAAGGAAGGCCTGAAATGCCAGATACGCTATTGGGCCGGCGCTTGGGAGGTGGAGGAGATCTTTGAATCTTTCTAGAGCGAGAAGAGGATAACCAACAGAGACATAGAAGAGGACCATGGCAATATAGCTAACTTACCACTGCTGGGTGTTCAACACGCCGTAATCACTCGTTCTTACCCATAACTCAGGGGACCTATCAGAACGCGACGAACACAGGCACGGATTACGTCCAGTGGCATTGGTGCGTCTGGATTTCGCCTCTAGAAGACACTGGAGATTCGCGCATATCTCATTGGATCACAACCTGTTCGAAGGGGTTCTCTGGCGTGCGCCGTGCTAATAAAACAACAGATGTGGGTGCAGGGTCTATTGGCAGTATGTCTGAACCACGAGTCCACACAGCCGTAATCCAATCAACTCAGAGACCTCCTCTGTACGGCCTCGGGGCCGTACGACACTAGAAGCGTTGCCGACCGATACCATCTCCCACTGACACTGGCAGTGGACATGACTAAACCCGGGGCTCGGCCTTTCAGAACTTCGGTCGCCATTCCTGCAGCAGGAAGGTTAGAGCAGCATTCAGATACAGCCTCGAGAAGTCCTCCTTCGAGAAGAACCTGTCCAGCAGGTACAGATCAGATATTGGGCTCGCTGGTTTCCGTGGCCTCCGATGATTGGTTTCAGTTGAAACATTCATTCTAAGTTATGTTCTGACAATAGGATGCCATTGGCAAGTCCGGCAGCAAGGTTCGTTGCGGCATAAACCCTGTACTTCCGCCTGTCGTCGGAAGATGCGTGCCTCCCCTCAAGTGGATCGTGCCCCATCTAAGTCAAAACAGATATTGCTTCAGACAACAGTGCCTGAATGGCATACATATGCGGGAATGGCAGATGGTAATAGCTTGAATGCAGACAAAATATAAGCGATGCGGAATGGTGTACGATTGCGAATAACATTGTCAAGAGCACATCTGGCTTCGGTCACGGATTCGAGAAAAAGATCAACATACAGAGCCAGCCCGCACTTCACCGAGGCCAAACGTCCATTCCACTATGTCTTCTACTGTCCTTCACAGCCCCCTGCCCTCCATCCAGGGCCCCAAAAGTGGTCCGCTGAGTTCCGACTCCGTTCGACGGCTGCCCAGACGCAACGACACCTCCCGAGTAGAACGATGGGGCTATGTTCTGCGCGGCCTGGCGCGGTTGCTGTGAGCCCCCACCCGTAGCGGGGTAAGGCTGATACTGGTCCGGCTGCATTGGCACGTACAAGGTACCGATATCGGTCCGGCGTTCAATAGAGTCGAAAGGAGATGTAGGACTCTGTTGCTGAGCATAGCTAGCGGGTGCATATCGGTTACCGCCGGAACCCGAATAGCTCGGGTTCGACGCAGATGCACCGAAGCTCGCATTGTCTCCTCGGGCAGCGGACCTGACGTTTGACATGATGGCATCTCGTCGATCGTCGCTCAGGAGGGCGCTGTTAGGAGGGCCATAAGACTGAGCCAACTTGGATGTTCCTGGCGGGTGATACCGAGCCTGATTGGCGTGTCCCCAGTTGTACAGCCCGCCTGCACTGGCCAGCTCAGCTTGCTGGTGCAGGTGTTCCAACTCCGGATAAGGCTGGGCAGCAGCAGCTTTTCCCGACTGCCTCCGCTCCCACTCCCTCAACGCGTCTTCGCGATTCAGGACCGGAGTTAGAGCATTGCGCCCTCCGATAACGTCCTGCGTCATGTGTCGAAGCCGCGCCAGGGCAGGAGGAACCGCGTCCATCTGATTAATCGTATTAGCCCTTGCTCGAGAATTGGGGTAGTACGCCGCGGCTGGAGGGTTCGGGTTCAGATGCTGCGAACTCACATTGCCGCCGCCGCCACTGGAGCCATGACTGGGGTATTGAGAAACGGAGGTATTGATAGCTAAGTGGCCATGTGATGATTGGTCGGCCACAGCCCGATGGCCATTGTTTTGGGACGAATACTGGTTCTGCTGTTGAGAGTAGTTGGGATTGGCGCTCTCCGGAGGGGTGACATAGGTGGAAGACGATTGCGAGTTGGGTTGCTGCATGTACGGGTTTCGTGCGAAAGCGCTATTAGCAGCCTGAGTGGCCGCTTGAGCAGTGTACGCCTGGTGTTGAGCCAGCTGTTGATTATATGATGCAGCGTCTTGGTAGGCCCGTTGGCCTTTAGGTTGAGAGGGGACCAAACCACCATAAGGCCGTTTCGGATCCGGTGTTGTATTCTTTGGAGGGGAAGATGAGCTATGGGTCGGTCGGATGTCTGTAGGGGGCTACGAAGTATCGTCAGGAACTTGATACGACGTTACCGATTCAGATTGGACGTACCTTCCATGGCCCGGTCCATTTCTCCCCAGTGATAAATGGATGCCCCCGTGCTTGTTGCGGGGTCCAACGTTCTAGTGGATTCAAGTTCAACAGGCCCATGCAGAAGTCGATGAACGATGCCCTATTTGCCATCTCTGGTAATAGTGTGAGATCAATACGAGAGCAGAGACCGCTATGATCGCACCTTTATCCACCTCATGGCTGCTAGCTCTAGATGACGAGGATTTGTACGGATGGATAGGTGCATTGTTGATGATATCCGGCAGAGTGTTATGCTTGAAGTACTGCTTCCCCGGCTGCTCCTGCGTGTTATGCTCACGCGAGTACTGCTCGATGCTCTTTAGCCTGTACTTCTTGTTCCCGTACATATCGGCATAGCTGTCGAAGAACTGATTCGTCTGTTTTCCCAATTCCAACATGTACTGGGGAGGCATCCTGAGGAAATTCTTAGTAGCATTTCAGCTGGAACGGGCGCATGACGTACCCGAGCATGTCCACTATACGGGTAATCTGGTTATATTCGCTCGTGCCCGGGAATAGAGGTAATCCCAGGAACAGCTCCACTACGATGCAACCTAACGACCACATATCGATGGCGGCCGTGTAAGGGTTCCCCAGCAGAACCTCCGGCGACCGGTAAAACCGAGACTGAATGTAAGTATACACAGTCTGGCGTTCATGGCACGCCGACCCAAAGTCAATCACTTTAATCTGTGGCGACGAAAGTCTAGCAAAACAAAATCAGAAAACACGCCGAACGTCGAAGAGGATGTCCTCACGATTTCAGCAGAATATTTTCAGGCTTCAAGTCGCAGTGTATTAACCGCGCTTCCTTGAGCACAGTCAGAGCATCAAGTAACTGCGCGGCAAACACTTTGACCAGCTGGGTGCTCAGACCCTGGAACTGGTTTTGCTTGATGAGCTCGTACAAATTCGACGAGAGCAACTCGAAAACAAGGCACAAGTGATTCCGGTGGATAAAGGAATCATGCAACCGCAGGATGTGATGTTCGTCGTTCGGATCGCATTGGTTGTTCAGCTGCCAGATCATAGATCATCAGAATAAGGCAGTATGTATACAAAACCCATGCTCACGAGCTCTAAGATGGTGACTTCCATCATGCTCTGATTGAAATACGCGGGCTTATTCTTCACCACCTTGACCGCCACAACTTCATGGGTCTTCATATTCTGGCACTTTACCACCTGTCCGAACGTTCCCTGGCCAAGGACGTCCAGAATCAAATACCTGTGTAGTCAAGTCGGGGCGCCATTCGTCAATATACGCTACACAAGCCAAACGACGTTCACCACGCACTTGTGCCCTTCCTCAGTGCCCAGCCAGTCGTTCACATAGAGGATATAGTCGTAGTCCTCGTTATCGTACCCATCGTTATGTACCGGCTTGCTCGGCTTGGTCAGCACTCGCCGTGGATTATGCGTAGACTCATAGCGAAATTGAGGGTTGCATATGTGGTAGGTATCCACGAGGTTTGTCGTAAGCTGTCTGAGTGGCTACAACAACAGGGTGAGTTGGGATTCCGGGCATGATCACGTTTCAGTAGGATTATAAAGGCACAAGACGTACCGACAGGAAGTTACCATCCGAGTCAATCCTCCTTCCCGCAGGCTGTGGGTTCACATTCGGCCTCAAATCTCTCTGATCCCTTACCCTCCTGAACCCCGACGTCCTCTGCGCATGCTTGGCCGACGGGCCATCCACCATCATACTCTGATCGTCCTGCTGATAATAATTCCCGATCGGGCTATGCGAATGGGAGAACCCAAGCGGGCTTGCCGGCGTCGACAGCGACGACGGCCGGATATACGGCTGGGGGCTGAGATGCTGCGGGGGCGGGCCCGCGTTCGCGGGCGTAGAGGTATCCATCGGGTACGTGCCGCCGTACACCGAGTTCGTATTGGGCGGCGAGTAGGGCGACGGGATGCCGGAGCCGGCGCTGTAGTCCTCCACCTTGACGGTCCCGCTCTGCGTGCGGGCGTGCGAGTAGGCGGAGGAGCTGGATCCCGTGGGATAGGCGTACGACGCGCTTGTGGGCGAGTACGGCGACTGCGACTGCGAGTGCGGCGCGTACGGGTCGAGCAGCGCGGGGTTCGACGAGCCGCTGCGGTGTGGCGAGCGCGGGAGGCGGGCGGACGTGCTGGCGTCGTGCTGGGTCTGCGAGCGTTTCGGGGCCTGCGCGCCGCCGCTAAAGTACATATCCTGGTACGAGTCGCTCGCGGCGGCGGTCGGCGGCTCGGACGCGGGCGCGAGGGGCGGTGATGTTTGGTACGCGGGGTAGAAGGAGCCGGGCAGGGGCGGCGGCCGGTGCTGCGCAGAAGAAGAGGAGGTCGCGCTGTGCTGGTCGGTGTCGACGCCGAACGCGCCCTCTAGGTCATCCGCGGGGTGGTGCTGGTGCCTGCGCCTCGTCGTGGCGCCGCCGAGCGACGTGCTGCGCGCGAGCGAGCTCCCGTACGGTGACGCCGCGCCAAACGCTCCTGATCCCAAGCCTCCGATCCCTCCTAAGTGGTGAGAAGAATGCCCGGTCTCCTGGTCGACGAGCTGGGCGATGCGGGGCGGGCGGCTGGTGCTGCCCGACGTCGAGGCGGCGTGGTTGAGAGGCGGGAGACGGTGGGCTAGAGACGGGCCCCCAGATGGCGGTGGCGGCGGCGGCGGGGCGGCGGGATGGTTGTGATAGAGATAGGCGTTGCTGTTGCTGCCGTTGTTGGCGGCGGCGGCGGCCTGGGCGGCCTGGGCTGACGACGAGAGGTCGTAGGACGTCGGGAGTGGTGGCGGAAGGTGAGGCTGCCAGCGAGGAAGATCAAAGTCGTCGTTTGTTCCCGTCATGTAGGCCAGTTCAGGTTCCGACATATTCCCAATTTCCGTGTCTGGCAGTGTCGTCGTCGTCGTCGTCCTGGGCAGGCACGGCAGTCGTGGGCGCCGTCGCTGGCGTCGAATCGATGGTGCTGGTCGTCGGCGGCGGCCTCGCGTCACGGTTAGTCCAGGTGCAGGTTTGATCTCAGAGATGGCTTGCAGATGCGTTATTGATTGGAATATCGGCCACAAGGCGTGTCGTGACACATCTTATACACGGCCTCAAGCCACAGCTCCCAGCCTTGTTGCATTTCTAGTCTCATGTTTCTACTATACAACCACGCAGCATGCGACGCTGATAGCCAGCCTAATACTACCGTTCCAAGTAAATACACGCAGCATGAGGCATGTTACGACTGCTCGGCTACTGAAGCTGCTCCATCTCTTTGAGGGCACCGACGATGGCCCTCTCCACCGCGAGAAGCAGCCTTGGCGCCTGGCCCAGGGAGACAAAGGCTGGCGGCACGTCAATCGATAAGAATATCTGTTTCTTGAAACGCGTTGCTGCGTGCGGGACAGCCGGACCAGGGTAGGTGCCGGATAGCAGGCGTACCGGGGATCAGGTGCAGACAATACGCTCATCAGACAAGGTTCACGGGCAGCAGATATGAACAGGGCAATCACCCAGACGCTGAGCCATGGCAAGCGCGAAATCCGCATTGGGGGAAGCGAAGATGGACGTGCCCGAGGCCTGCGAGGCCGACTTTGGACGGCGAACGACGAGTCAGATGGGAGAGTTATGGGGTGCGCCAGGGTCCATCGCAGAGCTGTATGCACGTACGCTGATTGGGGGCATGGCGCATGCCCAATCTTTAGCCAGAGATCCGTGCAAAGGTGCTGTATCAACTTCTTCGGACGGGCCTTCGGTCGTGCCGACCCATAGCATGTACGACCCAACCAGACGCGTTACCTGCAGCGCCAGCGCGGGCAGCGTCGAGTCGGACGGCGGAACGTACTTTGTCTCGACGTGGATGGACGGCGCTGTCGTGGACGACATGGCCGAATGCAAAGTCGAGGAGATGCAGTCACTGACGCGCAAAGGTCCCTCGTGGACCTTGTCCTCCCACGGACCAATATACGTCGATCCCTGATCGAGCACTGTTTAGCGCCCGAGTGTTATGAACGTTGCAGTACGGCAGCACTGCTCGTTCGTCTGAAATCGTCTCATGTCGCAATCCTCCCAACCGTACGGAAGGGTACATGAGATTAATCCTGTCCGCGAGGACGGCACCATCGTATGCCACTGTAACATACCCGCACCCAGGAGAACAAGCTACACCCCGAAGAACCCAAACCGGTATGTCTCAGGTACGCTGAATGGACGGTTATCTAACTTGGGAAACCTTACAGGGACTTCTACGGATGCGTGAGGGGCAGAGACGACCCAGACAGGTGCAAGTTCTTCAGTACGTCTTGCCCACTTCATAGTCCTACCTTCAGTAGTTTGAAACAATGATTACAGTGTGGGCCGACGACCCTAGAATAGTGAACCACCCTGCACATCAGCCTGTAATTCCCTCTACACCAACCTCTACGCCGTCGAAATCGCAGCCTAACTCGCAGCCCGAACCAACCTCGGCTCCTCGGACACCACAGGTTTCCGGGAATTCGCTGAAACGCCCCTTATCCCCTTCATCACCCTCCCCGTCCACACCGGTCAATATTATGCCTCCAGTCACTCCTGCGAGAGCTGCAGGTCCTAGCAATGCGCCCCGCACCCCGGCTGCGCACTCCACCCCTCAAGCCAAGGCGAGCCGCCTAAAGGAAATCTACGCCGCCCTCGGCCAGCCCGATCCCCAGCCTAGCCCAAGCCCCGTCGCTCAACCTCACCCCTTACCCGTAGCTCCTACACACCTTGACGGTCAGTGCTGCGCTTGCGGAGACGAACATGAACACGAACACGGACTCGAAGCCGACCACCCTGCAGACAGAGTCGCAGCCGGCATGCAGACCGACTTTGCCGACGCATCCTCCCAATCGCTGCCGCAATCGCAGGTGACCGACGAGGACGGCGACGAAGCCATGGCGGACTACCGCGCGACCTTCGGGCACTCCGCCGCACTGCACACGCCCCCGCGGGGGCGCAGCGAGAGCGCCCGCAAGCGTGCGCGGATCCGCGATCCGCTGTACCCGTCATTGGAGGACTCTATGCTCGACCACACGTCTGAGCTGCTCACCCCGCCGTCGACGACGGGCAACGGCCTCTCCGCATCTGCAGGGCGTTTCCACCCGGCGATGGAAAGACTTGGGTCGCCCACGCCCTCCAGCAGGAACAAAGGGAAGGGCAAGGCGCGCGCATTGTTCTACGACGACCAGGAAGAGGCGGAGATGAACGCGAATGCTGATATGAGTGTCCCTGGGGCGTACGACAACCGACAGGTAATATCCCTCCATGGAATGTATCTGAGTATGCCAGTTACTGACGACTGGCGATCAATGCTGATGCAGGACGACGACCTGTCCTCGACCCGCGAAGTCGAGTCACTCCTTGCCTCCCACCCCGCGCACATCCCGCACACGCACACGCCGCCCTCCCCCTCCGTCAGCCAGCTCTCCTTCTCTCACTCTCACCTCAGCCGAGGAGGCATGCACTGGAACGCACGGAACGCGCGCGCGCTCGTGGAGCAGCTGCAGGACCTGCCAGCTTACATCGACCTGCTGGAGCGCAAGAAGTATGCAGCGGAGAAGAGCTGCGAAGTGAAGGCCAGGAGGATAGGGGAGCTCGAGGGGACGGTGGAGAAGTAAGTGCTCTTCTTCATGTTGATGTATCATTGCGAACGGGAGAACTGAGTGCTGATGCTACACCCTTGGTACAGGATGAAGGAGAGGATGAAGATTCTGGAGGAGAGGAACTCGCTGCTTGAGACGACTGTGGAGGCGCTGAAGGCGGCGGCCCGACGATGAGTGCCTCGTTTGCCTGGCTTGGTCTCTTCTTTGCATCATGGTCATCCGTTGTGTTGTGCTTGCTCATTTCTTGCTAACAGTTGTATCATTTTCTCATTTTCTCACTTCTCACCGTCTCTTCTGCTGTTATATATTTGTTAATTCTTATTCTACCCGCTGTCTCGCGTTCACCAACCGTGCTAGTTCAACGGAGATAACGGACCAGGCAAATGTAACATTCATCTGCTGGTACGATATCTGCGTTGAATGAGCGGAGAGGCTCGTACCTTTGGGGCACATGCAGGAAGTTGCACATTGCCCTGAGGGGATGGCAAGTGTGCCCTGCACGTTGGTCAATTGCCTGCGCTTTTTCAGCTCTATGTCATGCGCTGATTCCTGCCTTGCCGGTGATATGTCCGTTCGGGATGGCGCTCTCCTACGCTTGCAGCGAAGGCGAGACGGTAATTATCCTTTTCAATGTACCTCCACTATCACTTCAATTTCTCTGTGGAATTTTTTGCCTGGTGCCTATCCTTATTTCCTCTCCGTTTTTTCTTGTGGCATGATCTTGCCCAGCTGCATTGCCCGGGGCATGTTTGCCTCGGGCTGATTGGGCGAGAGTAGCTCGATGAGTAAGATCATTGCATACGATGCCCCTGGCTCACAGCGCAGCTTCGTCCATAGATCGGAGGCACCATTATTCCGCCCATGTATCCGGTTGGACTTGGTCCCGCAAGTAGATCCTTTCCATGTCTTGCAGCGCTTTTTGACGTGACGCGGGAGCAAAGTCATCATTCTTATTGAACGGACTTCCACTACTCACAAAGATATGCGAGACAGCGGGCGAATATTGTGATACGTGTAGCTTCTTCTTCCCTGTTAACAGATCCGCTCGCTCTTACGAATTACCTCTCTCTCCTCTCTTCCGTATGCAGGACATCTTCATTTTGCGGACGCCCGACCACTACGGCCCCATCGCGATGTTTTCACTGCGCAACTGAATCTGGCAGTTATCTTGGAGAACCAGACAGCCCCTCTCTTCGTCCACGTCTCGCGCTCGACGGGAAATTAACTGCTTTGGCTTCTCGGATTCTCATAGCCATGTGTTCTTGCAAGCTTATTTACCCAAGGTAAGGGGATCTCTAGTGTACCCGGGTGCAATTCCAATTATCTCCGTATAGAAGCTTCACCCCGCAGATCATGCTTCAAGCCATGGAATGCGAACCGAGCAGGTGAGTCCGCTTGTTCACTATCAACTTCTGACGAATGGACATTAATACTCATGCAGCTCTGTGGCACATACAACGGGTATTGTGTATATCCTTGCAGATGATATATCTGTCATACTTGCCAGTGCGCGGAGTCAGGTAGGTGATCGACGGATGAATACTATAATTCTGTGGTTCTTACTTCAATTCCATCTCCACGAGCATAGATACTAAGATAGTTGGCACTTGTAGCGGATCTCGAAGAGCCTAAACGTATTATTTTCAGAAGCCTTGGTCCAAGCACCGATGTCATACATGTACGCGCAATACATCGGATCACATGCTTCCCCACTGCACCGACTTCTATCACATATCACCGACACGAGCAATTGGTACCGGCCCGCTACTGAGCGGTCTATGGCAATGCCCTGTAGGCATACTCGTCAAGCTTCATTGTTCCAGAGACACGGAGCCACAGCTGTTCCAGACCTGTGTTATCAATATATCCCGCATTCCAGTCGACGCTGGACCGCGACGACGAGCGGGAATTAGCGCCTGGACTGTTGCTATCTGATGATAATATTCCGGATTAACGGGAAGCGCCGTGTCAACGTAGGTTCGTAACTTATGCAAACATAGGCGGTGGACCTGAGTTCGGCGGAATGTGGCGTAAATGTACGCTTTGACAGGATATCAAGTCGTTCATCCTCTTTGCTACACATGGAATATCTTGAAGATGAACCCGAGGTCAGACCGCCGCATCCACGGATTCTGAAGAGTGTAAGGGATAACGGTCATTAATATACAGTCCATAATGTGCCAAGTCCGTCTAAATGAAAGGGGTAGTAAAGACTCAGCCCCTTGAACCAAGTTAAGACCGTTGCTGTCCCAAGGGGACTGGGATGAGATATTTTATGTTAGAGGAGTGAAATCAATACATACAAGGTTGTGTCGGGGAAGTGTTCATGAAGATACGGCAACGTGCACAGCCGTGTCATACTGACTCTGGGTCAGAGAACAGGAGAGGGTGACAACTACCAAACAACAAGCTGCAGCGTTTAATTCAAACCTTGCGTTTCCAGACCCTGAATTACAAATGACCGCTATTGCGGTCCAGTAGGAACATCCATCTCAACTCGATGCAAAGGGGTAAGATGAGACATGCAGTATGGGACCTACTGATAGAGTCCGAATTGCACGGACAGTAGGCGCTTGCTGGAGCGGGGGACGGAAATAGTGGAGGACCTGAGCACTTCACGCTGTGTCGTGAACGACGAATTAGACACGAATGAACAGGGACTCGCGGGGGCGACAGATGGTTCCGCGAGGTGTCACTGGGCCAGTTGCACTACCTTCGGCTCAAACTTGGTACAGTAATAGTCGTCGGTGAGGAATTGGGGACAAAGAGCTAAATTGCATCCTAGGAACCCCAGGGCCATTCGCTTTGAACACTCCCTCGAAGGTTTGAAAGCTCCAGCTGTCACGGCGGCAAGGAAAGGCAGATTTCGCGTCGTCAGGAGATGCCGGTGCCAGGTGCCGTACGAATTGAAGACAGCTGGGAATAGAGGACACGACAGGTCTTGAAGCGATTATGGCGCAGTAGGAGCAAGGTAGCAAACAAACGCCAGATCATGCCCTACTGGAACAGACGTACTTTGTGACAGCCACTGATCTTCACGCCGACAACCAGACCTCCCGGCTGTCCTTGACTCATATCGGCGAGCATTCATGTTCGATGAACACTGCATGATAAATTGGACCGCTCGATTCCCTACGACTGCGGGGTCAGCGCGCGGGCAATGTCAGATGAAAGCCGGACATCGACAGCTTAAGTGACAGAGCTTGCTGTTTGGACTTGCAAAACATCTATTCACTCTGTTTCATGCCGATGCCGTACTAGTCCGCGCGGCCAACTGTCCACATAGCTGAAAGTAGATTTTGTCAGCTAGCAAGATCTCCGGCAGATGGACCAATGTAGAGAGTGATCCAAGACTTCCGTAAATCGCTGGCAGAGGTGTATAACACCAGAGAAGGTTAGACTGCACAGCAGAACCATGGTATAGCAAACTCGAGTCCGCCTATTGGCTCAGGGACAAAGAACTTGAATACCGTCATCCTTTATACTGACCTACGTGGTCAATGTTTACGTTAGTATCCGCGCTGCTGTCCTGGACGCGATATGCAGGCCCATGGTGCGATACGCACCGGTGCCGTCATGCAAGACAACCAGTAGCAGGTATATTTGGCAGGCTTATCTACCGGCTGAGATAGGCATGTAGAAGGATGGTCTCTGGACCTCAATCCAATCAACGCAAAGCTAAGCACAATGCACCGGGCCGCTGAACATCCAAAGGATCGGACAGTGAATACTGGTGAGTCAGCACATGGATTGAGAAGCTGAGAAGGACGCGACCGACGCAAGTGGGTTACTTCATGGTCAGAAGTGATATTTCTGCAGCCGCGCAGGGCACAGGCACTTTCCGGAGGTGCATCATGCAGCATCGCCGAATATTCACCAGTCCAGAGCGCCACGATCGCGTATTTCAGAAGCCGAAGCGCTAATTTACGTATCGTGTGCTTCTGTGCATTGGTGATGTACTTAGCTTCGGCTCGGGCATGATTCTGCGGGTCAGCAGAACGCTACATCGTCCTGCAGCTATTTTGGCATACAATTGACTAAATTGTCCAGCAGCGAACCAGGGTGATGCTTACCTTTGTCTTTTCTCCTCCTCAATTCGTTTCAAATATGAAGGAGACACCAGTTAAGCATCGTAGGAGCTGAAATACGCAGCGAATGTCACCGAGTGCGACGCATTTGCAAGTTTCGTACTCGGCACATCCATAAAGCGGCGTGCCGAGGATGAGCGACCTCAGCTTTGTGGACATGGAAGCGGAATCATCCCAACGACCCAATGTCAGGATGGAATGCGAGTTACCGGCGTAGAGGTGCGAATTCGCTCGTGCAGCACGTTGACACCTAGATCTTTGCCGACACACTGGCTGGGCACACACTCGGATCTAGGAAGGTGAGAACCTCGGTCGCCCACGTGCGAGCTGCCATGCCACAATGAGCAGATCTACCTGTATCCACAGTAAGTAGTTGAAGTACCCAACCAGTCGTAATTCCCCACCTACAGTTTCATCGAGCGCGCTGGTATGTCGAGAACAAAGCACACAAGAGGACATACAACGCTGAACCGTAAACAACATTTCTGACAGTGCAGATGACAATCAATACATAGTAAATAGTATCGTCCAAAGCCAGTCGAGTGTCCGATACAAAAGATAACGGACCGCGAGCACACAGTGCATGCACCGCATAGATGATATCGCTAACAGCACCAGAGAGACGGAAGCCAGGTCCTAGAGTATGTGGTACTAGTACTGACCCGGGTTGTGGGCGCAATACCAAAGATAAGTTAAATAACGGACAGTCCAAGACGCCGTGCCTGAGAAAACATGCCATGGTCCGTCGACGCTTCAGAGCAGCTAGCAGAATATTTTCCGCCACCAGAGCACGAACCTATCCCACCAGCTGCCTTTCCAACCGTCGCACCGTTCTTTGGAACTAACCCACATGATCCCAGTGCCACACCGTACCTCTCTCCTGGGCTCATCTTCACCTTCTTCCAAATCCAGAGGTCTGCCCTTCCCGGTAGTCACAGGAAAGCGGGGAAGAGTTCTCCTGGTGATAAATGAAGGGAAGACCTTCAATAGGGATAGATATTCCGGGTTCGGCAGGTCTGGAGACGTCCACGTCCGTAGATATTCCTCCTCGTCGTCTTCGTTCAGCGCGTAATCACCATATGACGGCACCGGCACGTCCTCAGTGTCTGCCGGAACCGAGGCAGGGCTTGGTGGATCCTGCTCGGGCGCCGCGGCTAAGAGAGCGCCGGAAGTACCGCACGACGAGTTAGATGCAGATGACGCTAGTGAGCGCGATAAGGCTGGGGTATCTAAAAATGGATCGCTGGGTGCTCTTGGACGTTTCACATGCCCTACACTAGGCACAGGGAGTCGTTGGGTATCCGTGGGAGCCGACGAAGGGAGAGGTTGTGATTGGGAGCGTGAATGTGAACGTGACAGCGGAGAAAACGAATTCCAACTGTTCGAACGTCGAGAAGAGGGTACTTCTTCGAAAGCCAAGACCTGCATCAGATTCAGATTCAGCGAGCTAGAATAGTGAGTTATAGATTAACCCTCACCCCTTTGAGGACGTCAATAGCCTCAAGCATGAAGTCCTTGCCACTACGACGATCGCAGATATCTGTTAATATTTGTGCATGTCAATAAAGCAAATCGGACGCACGCGGCTTCCTTGAAGACAGCATCATCTAGTTCCCACTCTATTCTGAATGGACCTGCCCCACCAAGGTCCTCTGGTAGAACTTGCAATCTCATGACAGCCCAGAGTCCCTCAAAGAAGGGCTTGGTGCCGGGCATGCCCACAGTACACCATGTCTTCACAAACCTGTCGAATCGTTCGTATCGCTCTTTCCTAGCCAGAGGTCCAGATGGATTCGCGCGCGAATGGGGCATCAAGGACCCTCCTGGATGGGTAGCGCTAAGATGCGCCTGGAATTCAGCTGCACGTCTGGCGCTCATATGTGCATGATATTTCGAGCGGATAGATGCTTGTAGTTTCGCAAAAGGGGCTCGCTGTGAGTGGGGAAGAGTAGATAGGATCTGGGTCATGAGCCTGCCGGCCTCCTCGTCCTGATTGTAATACCTTGACTCCATGTTAGCTGTCACGGCAGACAAGAATCAGCGACACTCGCACCATCTTCTACAGTATTCACCAAATTCTTCGACATCGCTGCGAGCTACGCCACGAGATGGCGTAGTAGATCGCGCATGAGAAGGCGGAGGGGTCATCCTGCGACCCCTACCGCCTCGTGGACGGCCCGTATAGGTGGGTGACGTCGGGGAGGTAGCATTTGATACATTGGACGCAAAGGTGCCGCTGGTTGGGGGCGGAGACTTGGCCGAAGGAAGGTCGTAAAGGAGTGGTTCGCTGTTATCGTTGGCGGCGACGATGGCCTTGGATGATGTGTTATTGAATCGCAGAGGCGGGGGTGTGGGCCGCGCGCGGGCGGTCTGCAGACGATAGGACCCGGTCGACATTGTTTCTGTGCTGCAGAAGACGCTGACCAATGATCCCGTGCCTCTCCAGAAAACAAGCTTAGAGTGAGGAATCAACCGAGGAGACTCGTGGGACTCTTCGAACTTTGCTGAGATCAGATTCTTAGATGGTCGATGGAGGACGTTGCTTACTGAGCAGCCAGCTCCTCAAAATAGGCAGCCGTCGTCGTTCCGCTCGACGGTGAAGAGGACGCGCTCGTCGCCGGTGTCGACGAAGGGAGACCTGGCGCACGACGTTGGCGAGGCGACACTGCGGTGAACTACAGAGATCGTGTCACGGATCTCTGTCACAAGGGACGCGGTTGCAGAGCCTACGGTAGCGGCATTCGGTACCTCGGCCACGTGGGTGGCTCGTGAGACGGGTGGCTATTTTGCAGTCTGTTGGCTTTCCGTGATCGTTCGTCTGCTTTCGACTAACGCTTGCTTTTAGCCTTTTAATCTCACAACTGCTTCGGGAAGGCAGGACGTTGTGAATACGGGAACTCTAACACCGCCAGACAGAGCCCTTTTACGTGCGCAAGCCTCGGTGCTTATACGGTCTGTACCGTTCCTCATGCATTGCGTTCGAGGAATGTCCTCCGGTCCCTACGCTACGACGACTCTCGGGTGTATTATATACAGCCAATGCTTGTACGTAAAAATGAAAAGTGGGTCAGTCTCACCGATGCCAAAGTCTAGACTGGTCTATCGTGGCTCAAGAGCCACATCCATCGCACTAGCGCACCTTTGGCATCGCATTCCGACTCCGCCTGCGTTCATGAAAAGGTTCCTGTCTCTCCATCGGCGGCGTGCCCGAGGGTCTCCTCCACCGGTGTACCATCACTCGTGCGGGAGGTACATTCTCAACGGACTCACGTAACATAGCCCGCTCCCAAAAATACCGAAGGCAGCCCCAAATTCCTACGCTGAGTCTATCTCTACGTCTGGTCTCACGGGACCGAGCGTCATTTCTCCCCCCGAATGGCGCTATGGAGCTCGGTCCCAACGGGCATTGCGAATGTGTTGCAGAACTTCTCGGCATTTGCCTCCAATCCGTATCCTCAGAAGGACGAGGCTATGTCGGGGCATGCAGATTTATGTCAAGACATACCCTACTGAAGGTCCAGGTACTCGATGAGTAGTCAAAATCTTTCAGACCCAGCCAGTACGTTCGTTCCTTGAGCCACAAGATGGGGTCCAAGCAGATATATCAAGTGGCCTGGCTTTTTTCTTCAGAACAAAAATAGGTCTGCAACAATTGTTCTGCCTGCGCTGTGGTAGAGCGCTTCGGTTCTGTGGAACCCAAGCATCTTTGAATACCCTATTGAAATGTAGCGTCCTCAGTCCGGAAAAATCGGTGGATCCTTTTCACCATGATGGATCACAGTTATTAATGGTACGCCCTTGATACCGCCCCTTTCTACCTGCGTATTCTTCGAAACTAGCGATCATCACGTCTGACTGTTAACAAATCTGCGAAGTTACTCCTAGGCGTCACCGCTTGAGTACAGAAGGCTCCCTTTGGTGGTCGTTTAAGCGAGCGATCCATCTCGTGATCCTTGCCGCAGGGATAGGGGGACTCCATTTTCCTGGACGCGTTGCTCGTCGGAGAATCACCGCCAGAAATGAAATCTTGTCGCGTAGCTTCTGCAGTAAGTAGAATTCCTGACAATGCCGAATACCCTCTAACTCTAAATTCGAAGGCCAGACACTGGCTGGTCTGATTACACATGGCAAAACAGTCCGAACCGGTGCACTTGCCCAGGCGTCGGAAATCGGGGGAAGCCGGAGGCTTTATCCCTGCAGGATACTGTGGATCTGTACGTCTTTGATTCTTCGTACATTCGAGTTTCTGCACACAACGCGTATGTGATTTTTGGCGCGTACAGTCCCACATCGCTCGTCGGTGATACGAAGCCGTTAATTCAGTCCGCTGTGTTTGGGCCGCCTTTCACTGGAGCTGCCTATGGCCACCTTTGTGGCGTTGGAAGCAACAGGCTTCCCTGGGTATTCTATCTTTCCTCTCCTCAGCGGTCCGAGAGGTATGTTGCTCGAGGAGCGCATGCCCCTACAAGTCCCCCGTTCGAGGTGCAGTGTTGCAATTATTGGAAAACAGTGGCTGGACTATCCTTGACAGGTTTTGCGATGCCTCTGCGTCAGTTGCGCCACCTCATCTTTCCTCCGCGATCCTACCGCTGCAGCTGTCTAGTGAAACATAGCTCGGGTGCTGAAGCCCCTTGCCCGCCTCGAGTGACACCGACTGGCCTTCTCCTTGATCCCGGGGCTCCGTTACGCAGCTGTGCCAGCATTTGCGCAGCAATGAATCCCCGAAGGTAAGATCATATTCGTTGGCCGTTGCTCGCCAGTGCTCAAATGCTCTGCCTCCTCGTTTTGTCATAGCTTATTCCAATGGCATGTGTTTTGACTCATTGTCCCGCCGTGAGAGGACAGCAGAGTCGGTACAGACCTATCCCAGTGTTCTTCAAGCTTTCTGTGCGTCCTGCTAAACTCAAACTCTTCTCAAACGTGTGGCATCTGACGTCTGCTTCGCAGAGTGTGCAGTCAGAGTTTGGCCTGTCTCCGTCATCTGAAGCCACTAGCGTCCATCATGCGTATGTCGCAGCAGCATATGCCATCAGCTCAACGATGTACAATTGACTAGCGGTCCGCCTACCCGCTTGACTTGCCGGCCGGTGGGTTAATCTCCCGCTCTGATGAGGCACTTACTCCGCCGTACGTCAACGCTCATCAAAGCTTCAGATTTGGGAGAGATTTCATTCAGTCTTGCTATGAGGGCGCTGCGGCTGAGTGGGAGGCCGGCGGCTGATCACCTCAGTTTGTATACTTGGATTGCCCAACATCTCCCGATTTCTTGCTACTCTACGGCAGCCGCTGGCGATGGTAACCAAGGTGAGAACCTACAGATGCTATTAATAAATTGAACAACACTGTTAATCATCCAGCGCGAAGGCTGACAGTACGCAACGGCGATGCCCATAGAGAATTCGGGATACTGAATGAATGATCGGACACCCGAAGTTACGTATGCACCTCCGCTACTTCTACGAGTGCTGATGCGTACTGTACTAATCTTGGATCCAACGACAGAGCAGTGCGCGATAGCACGACTGGCACTGCGATTCACGCTGCGCCTCGGGGATCCCGATGTGAAACTCTGTCTGCCCGAGAAACTGCTGTGAGCGGGCGAGGACGTTTCCTCCTGCCACCAGCGGGCCGTCAGCAGATCGCAAAGCAAATGTCGTGAGTACTCAGGCCGCCTGGTGCGAGTCGGAGCGATCTGAGAACGCTCAGAGTCTACGTCATGTCGTCAAGCTCTGTATACGACATTCCGAGCAGTACGAAATGAATTTGAAGACCGCCCGCTACTGGCAGAGGGCGACTGTCCGACGCGTCCGACCGACGGGTGGGGGCGGCAGGATCGTACATGGATCGGTTTCTTAATAATGAGCGCGTTTTGAGTCAGCAAGTGTCTATTTGCACCGATGTGCCTGGCGTCCGCAGCCTTGGCGTTAATCTTAACACATTAAAACCCGGGTCGGGTCTGCGAGGCAGTCTCCGGTACCGGGGAATGCCGGGCGACGAGAAGCGCGAGTTGGACAGATCAAGATCGCCCAATATGGGAGCGACGCGGAAGCAAATGGGCCAGGTTCGAGCTCAACGTGGCCTCTATCACACAATCCGGAGAGGAGGGTCGGCCTACCTCCTGGACGTGAGTTTCTCCTACTGGATAAGCATTGCAAAGCAGCACCATGCAATTGCAAGCCGCGGTGCTAACCGCGCCTCTTTGCAAATGCCCCCGTTGGATTCCTATGGATCTTTACCTTTCGACCTTCGAATTACGGCCGTTCATGTCATACTGGGACCCGTTCACGTCGCTTGTATAATGTACCGGTCCACCGTACACTGTCGGTCAGCTCGCTCCTAGCAATAGCCTATCTGCAGCACCGAGTCCTTGAGGTGGGTCCATCATGCCACAAGTCCATGACGCGTGGTGCGGTGCATTCGCCGCTCGCGCTCTATCTGGTGCGATCACAGAAATCAGGCCTTTAGGCAATGCTCTAGACTAGACGAGCCGCCGCGGTAGCCCTCTATCAAAGCTGACCAGCCCGCGTATCCTGTCATTTCGCGGAAATGCCGGCTCTGCGCTTCCCGGATTTAATTTGAGCGGTCAGTCTCTTTATCCTATATCATCCTAGTCTGCGCTGCATAACATAACATAACGGACAGCGTCCTCCTGTTCTCTGACAGAGAGATGCTTTTCCTGTCTTCTGGCTGAGCTGGTCCGCAGTGACTGTGATGCAACGGAGCCGGACGACCGAGCGTTCCGTGGTCATGCGGCTGGATGACAAGGATGCCGTCACCCTCTCGTCAGGATTTCGGTGAAACCCGCCCATGGAGCGTGCTTCGAGTGGTTTGGCTAGCGGCGCACTACATTATAAACAGAGTTGGGTGGATGGCACATGCCTAAAGGCACAGAAGCCGGGCCTGGAGAGGAAATCTGTCGATCTTCCTTTGGTCGTTTTCTAAGGCGACGTTGGAGCCGAACACACGAGAAGGCCATGCGAACTGTCAGCCTTGAGCCCGGACACGTAAGTCTGCAGCGGACGTGGTGTTATGGATCAACTAACACCGATAAACCCTGGACAGAAGGGGCGTGACGCGTCGCGTTTCATTTGTGGGCGTGACGTGAGGTTGGCAGGGGCCACCCGGCGACGATTATCACGGTAACTCAAGATTACCCAAGATTGATTGCGCGAAGGAGGTTATACGCACCGGCAGGCCCCGCGCGCCTTTGTTGAGAACTGTCGAAAAGGTGATTGATGCCCAACGCAGCTGCGTTCCACGTAGATAGACAAGAAGGCTATATCCGCCGACAAGGTAACGTATGGCGCTTCGGAAAGCGAGAGTCACAAGGTCTCGCGCGGACGAGCCAATCGGGGAAGAGGTGAACACTTGTCGGAGCGGACAGAAGGCTCGCAAGATGGGCTGGTGGTTCCAGAGCTGCGGGCGAGTGGGGACGGTAGCCTATGTGTATTATTGCAGTTGGAGACAGCTGATATCGCGGGGGTACAGCCCGGGTCCCCCGCAATTCTGTGAGGTTTCTCTCGTGGAAGAGACTCGGGGGGGAATGCGTATTTTGAGGATGATAGAACCTGACAGGAGAAGGCGTGCAAATGATGGAGGGCCACGAAGGTTTACCGGCGCATACGGCAAATTGAAGCCAATTCGCCGGTGCGAGGGGGTGCCGTAAGGAGAGATCTGGGATGGCAGCTGGACCTCGATTCGAGCTCGATATAAAGTCAGTTCGTGTGCGCCTAATATCCCACCATCCACGCCTCCATCCGAGTGGAGAGTCGCCTCGATCTTGGCTTCTTTGTGTACAGGGTCCGGGGATAAATACGGCCTGGATTTGGCGTATATAACAAACACCATCAGGCGACCCTTGCCGCACGCCAAGGTGAGTAATCGGACTGGCAAGGCAGGATGCCCGTGTCTAATGGTGCTGGTGCAGCGCGGACGTCTGTCCACGACACACCGCCGCCAACGTCGAACGCGCAACGGCCGTTGCTGAACATGGCCCAACCAAGCTGGATGGCGCACGCGGCAAGTGCCGAACGCCGATCAGAATTCGGCATGAATGTCGATGGCGACGCCTCCGCCGCGCCTCGTCCGCTGCCACCGCCGTCTGAGCTGACCCGCTGGGACCTCGCCGACATCCTCAACCCCGCCGCCAGCCAGCGGGACAAGCGCCTGTCCATGGACTTTGCCCCGCCCGCCGCCCACCACAACCACCCCGCCCTCTTCAACAACGACCTCGATCAGCAGTTCAACCCGCTCGATCACCCCAGCTCCCCGCACGCCCATCCCGCCCATCGCGCCCCCGCCCACCCCTTCGAGCACACCGACCTCGACGTCCCCGACCAGCCCGCCCACCCCTTCGACCTCTTCTCCAACGCCCCCCATGCCGCCAACGGCTTCGCCAGCCCGCGCTACCGCACTAACGCCTCCTCCTCGTCCTCCCTCGGCCCCTCGTATGCCATGGCCGGCGACCAGATGTACTCCCACCCGTCCTTCGCCGACTCCGTCAACTCCTTCCACGGCGTCAACAGTAACTCGTACGACATGATCCACAGCCTCTCTTCCTCCTACAGTAGCGGTAAAGTATCGCCGCTGACACCCAGTGATCCTAGCATCCAACACTCGCCCGTCTTTCCAGGCAACCTCGGCCCCAACGTCATCTCAAAAGACTTTCCCGGCCAGCACCCCTTCCCCGACGTCGACCGGCGCCTGCCAAACAGCAACTTCCCCTCGGACTTTCACGAGGACTACGCGGTCGGCGTGAACGGTGGGTTAGGGCTTGGCTTCAACGGTCCCGCGCAGCACCTCGGGCGCTTCCCGATGGACTCGCGTTTCCCCTCGCAGATGCAGCACCACGGCCACCACGAGATGCTGCAGGGCGTCTCTCCCCAAGCCACCCATTTCAGGCCAAACGGCATCCCCGGCTTCGACGACGGGCAATTCATGAACCCGAATCCCCAGAACGACCTCCGGCTGAGCATGGGCTCGGATGACCACCTGCTCGCGGGCATCCGCGGTCTGGGGGGTTTCAACTCTGCCAACGACCTTCAAACGTTCATCCGGTGAGTACGCACTGTCTGCCACCGAAACGCCCACGCTCATGAAAACACAGGCCTTATCTCGACCAGTACGTCCGCACGCCGAACCGCCTCGCCTTCGGCGAACGCACGGTCATCGTCATGTCGAGCAAGGTCGCGCAAAAGTCGTACGGCACAGAGAAGAGGTCAGTCGCGCTTCCGCGGAGAAACTGCCCGGGACATGGCTGAACTTCGGGTCTCTTTAATTTTCTAGGTTCCTCTGCCCGCCTCCCACCGCGATCATGATCGGCAACTCGTGGTGGTCAGATGTCATGCGCCGGGGGCAGGAGCCGAAGCTCTGCCCGCCGCGCGTCGTCGTGTCCATCTCGGGCGAGCCCGCGCCGCCCGAGGGCAACATCGAGTGGACGTCCGCCGCGGGCAAGTCGTTCGAGATGAGCGACCCGCCCGCGGGCACGACGTACATCGGGCGCTGCGTGGGCAAGCAGCTCTTCATCTCGGACGTCGACGAGAAGAAGAAGAAGGTCGAGGCGCTCGTGAAGATCATGGCGCCCGCGTCGGACGACGACGCGGGCGAGCGCGTTATCGGCACGTTTGCGAGCCGCTCGATCAAGGTCATCAGCAAGCCGTCCAAGAAGAGGCAGAGCGCGAAGAACCTCGAGCGTGAGTGCCCTCCCGCCGTCCAGTTTTGATGTCATTACTCAAGTAAATCGGTGGCCTAACAGTGTGCATCAATCATGGGTCGACGGTGTCGCTCTTCCACCGACTCAGGTCGCAGACCGTGTCGACAAAGTACCTGTGCGTGTCGGGATCCGGGTCTGCGTTCAAGGGCTCCGATGGCGCCCCATTGATGGGCCTTGACCATCGCTCGCGGTCTTCCACGCCGTCATTCATTGCTCGCACTGCTAGTTGGGGTGAGTGCCTTTTCAATAGCATGATCAAAATTTTAATTGAAGTATAATAGATCCTTTTGTTATGTACATTGTCGACGTCAACAAGCCCGCTGGTGGTATAGACGCCCCGCCACCACCCCCACCTCACCCTGAATATCCGTCTCCACCTCCTAATGCTATTCCCTTCACCAACAACGGATCCCAGATCCCCATCTACTACAACCAGACGGTCGTTCTGCAATGTCTGACCTCGGGTGTGGTCAGTCCTATCCTCATTATCCGCAAGGTCGACCACGGCACCACTGTCGTGGGGGGAGGCCTGCAGGAGGGCGCCAAGGGTGTTGCAGATCACTACTGCGTGCCCGGCGAGGTATGCGGTGATCCTGTCTCGCAGCTGCACAAGATCGCCTTCGAGGTGTACGAGCCGGGCAAGGGCATGCCTGAACCGGGCACGCCAGGCATGACCGGCGCCTTCCTCTCCTGCATGGGCGAGAAGGTGAACACGTACCGGCCGACCGACGGCCGGCTGTGGGTCGGCAACCACAACCGCGGGTCGACGTCGCCGTCGCTGCAGTCGCCGGTGATCCCCGGCTCCCCGGTCGTCTCCACCCCCGCGTCGCTCGCTTCGAGCTCCAACGACTACTTTGCGCACGCGGGGACGGGCGAGAGCGCGCCGGCGTCCCCCATGTCGCTTGACTTCCCGTCCAACGACGGCGGGCGCGTCAAGAAGATGAAGCGGGGGAGCTCGAGCACGGGTGGGATCACCAAAAACAGCGCGGTCAAGGGTGGGCGGCGCAGACCCACGTCCGCGGGCTCTGGCTCGTCGCCGGCCCGGCGGACGTCAGCTGGGGAGCTCAGCCCGTCCTCTGGAGCCTTGTGGCAAGTGGATATTGGCGAGACGAGCGTGTGGACGATCGTTGGCACAGGTAAACGATTTTCCCTCCGCACATTCGCAAAGTTTGTCTAATATTGGATTTGTGCAGACCAAGTGCGGTATAATTTCTACATCCCGCCTGTTCTGTTCGACAACCAGAACGCGCCGCAGACAGGGTCGTTCCCCATCCCGTCGAAGCCCGTCACGCCTTTCCCTGCCGTCGTCAAGTACCTCCCCCCAGATCGGGCTTCTGAAATGCCCAAGTCCAACTGCGCCGCCTCGCGGGCTGCGATGGCGAAGCCCAACCCCGCTGCCGCGAAGATGCTGACGGTGTACGGCGAAAACTTTTCAAAATCGGATCCTCTCAGCGTGTTCTTTGGATCCGAGCCTTCTCCATACGTCGAGATCCGGTGTACGGAGGTCCTGGGATGCCTGCCCCCAGAGAGCCCCGTGTCGAAACGCCGCCCAATAATACTCGTGAGGCACGACGGCGTCGTCTTCCCCTCGCATGTCCTGTATCCCTAGTGTTATTTTATTTTCGTCGTCGCATTCATCCTTTTTCCATGTTGGCTTGGTTACTCGCTTTTGCATAGTTATTTTGCTGTCACCGTCGCATCGTATAATCTTCCTCTGCAGACATTGCATCGGCCTTCCTGTGTTACTAGGGCATCACTATTATGATCTGTACTACATGGACTTTGCTTATAGTAACAAGCTCATTTCGGCATGGAATCTTAACAGACGGAGCGAGTGATCTCCGCGAAATGACAGTGACAGCTACAGGTATCTGCTTACCGATATTGCCGAAGTGAGGTGATGATCATTCTTCTCTGTCTTGCAGGGGGGGTAAGCCAAAGATACAGTTGATATATGGGACGGACCCAGGCGCGCAGAGGTAGATCTTCATCTCGGTTCGGTTTACGAGCCCGAAGTCAAGTTGAGCGCCGCAATCAAAAAAATATGTGTAAGGTATACGTTCCTGATAAACATGATGGAGAATTGCATAGAACGTTCCGTTCTGACATTGACAGAGGCTGGTTCCTGATCATCTGTTGGACTTCAGATGCCAATGGACAAGGCGGAAGAGATCTATGAATACCGTCATGGTATGTAAAGCCTACCACAGGACGGGGATCATACTTAAGCATATGGCGCTAAGAGCATAGTCAAATGGACGCTATATACGGCACCTGATCATGCCACCGAGGGCGGAGGTTCAAAGTTGGCGTTCCTCAGACGCGGATTTACGACCTTTCGTTGCGGACATACGGCATGCGAGGTCATCCTAGATCCAAAAGTCGTGTAGGTTACCGATAACGCCAGTACATGAAGTTATCTGTGAAGCGCGGGATCGAAACGTTCCTCAACTTCCGTTTCACTAAAACATATGGAGGACGGAACGTTCCAAAATGACATATCTTCCGCAGGGTATTCCTAGAAGACAGATAGGAGACGAATAGTAGGACTGTACCCGGTACGGGCCTGAAGCTGTAAGGAACCGATAATTGTGGCGGACCCATAGCCACAAACATTGCCAAACAGGAGATGCCGTCGGTATACCGTGCACCGTAGCCTCACCAATATTGTCTCTGAAGCGTATCATTACTGCGCCCATCTGGGCCTGCCTGCCTGCTGTACCCTATCCGGCAAACAGTTACTAGAAGCTGCTCTTTTCGATGACGGACAGCAGCACTACTACGGCATCGTTTCCTTATGTTCTCTGGACGTGGTACCTCGAGTATCTCGTGTACTACGACCCTGCATCCTGGGTTGGCAAAGCCGCGTCTACGTTTCGAATCCTCGCCTTTCTGGCCATAGCACCATTTGTCCTGCTGACGCTGCTGGTATGCGTTCTATTTGCTTTCGTCGTTATCACGGATAGACGCGTTAATATCATTCTGGGGTGGCTAACGCTATTCAAATAGGACGTGACGTCCTATGTGATCGCGAGGACCCTCGGCGTTGTGGACGACACCAAAGCGTCGACCAGCGATTCTGACAAGCCAGAGTCTATGCTTAAAGACAGCAACCCAACGATACTCGTGAGCGACGAGTCCCACCAGGCCCTGTCGGAGTCCGATTCCGGCATGGACCCCATCTCCCTGCGGGAGCACCGAGGACACAACACTCGGTTCAACTTGTCGCGCAATAAACCCGACCTTGAAATGCCCAAGGCCTATTTCGTAACCCCCACGGAGGACAGTATGAAATTGTCTGGCGTTGGTGTCTTCTCTCCGGCTGGCTCTCGCCCCTCCTCCCCTACGATCGATCGACGACCGAAGTTACCCATGTCAGAGCAGCAGCAGGGAGTGGTTAGGGATGCATCATGGCAAGAATCGTTGGGCTCCAGCAGCGGAGAGTCCTCGTACGTTATGTGGGAGACTGACTCCAGCCCAGAAGATGCTGAGTCTGCGCTGCGGAAGAGAACGAGGCCGGACGCAGATAGCAGTCGGACGACGACAGCCGGATCATAACTTTTGACCTCAAGCATCCCACGGAACCGTCCGACATGTCGCAAGCAACGATCTATTAATGACAATAGAAGTACATCCATATCAACTCTACAATATAATGTACAACAGTCCTTCCGTGGTTCCCTTACCAGCCAAACCGCAATTGATCTCTAGTGAAGACCGGGGGTTTCCAGATGAGACATTCAGGATGTATCCGCCGTCTCTTCTTGTTCTTCACCTTCTCGTGCCGCTCGAGGACAGCATCGGATAAACAGATCACATGTTGGCCCTTGTAATGCTTGAACAACTGCAACGTGGTGCATCTAACAAGCTCTGCCGTAAGTATCCTCATGAAGAGTGAGGAAGAGCACTACGCACGTATTCATAATGTCCTGATGTGTAATGGATGTCTTCTGCGCGATATCATCGATACTGATATCCTCATTGGTGTTGAGCAAGAGGTCAACGATCGTTTCCGCCCAGTATGCCCGGTAACCCAACAGGCCTAGATCACTCAGCGGTTTCTCCGGGCTCCCGAGCTTGCCTTCTTTCTTGCTGAGCTCATACGAGAATTCAATGAGGAGTTTACCGAACCCGTGGCGTTGGTATTGGGGCAGAGTAAGAATACAAGCTACATTGTAATTGTCGGCCGATTCCTTTTCCTTGGAGAAATAGCCTATGAGGTGGCACCCCGTGCTGTCTCGTTGGACCTGTCACCGGAGTAAGCTAGGTGTCGCATGGAACATCAAGAACTACGGCACTGCGCTTACCATGCAATAATACAGAAATGGTGTTACATCATAATACAGCGTTTTGCTGGGAGGAACAGTTCAGCCTGATGACAGTTCTTCTAAGCACAACGTCCACTCACTGATCGAGAAAGCATTTCGACAGCAGACTAAGATTTCGACAATAAGTTAATTGGCGCTTCCCATCGAGCTCGAAGAAAGAGATATCTTCGTGGCGATAGATTTCGTTCCCGGGAGGGTGCAGTAGGTCGCATCGCCTTCGATGCCGTGCAAGCATGAACTGCGACGCGAAGTAGGAGAGACAGAATTCGCAGATGTAGAGGACAGGAATGTGGGCATATTCTTGCGGATACGGACTGAAGTACCATGCGTCAATCTCGTACTTGCCCATTTGAAGCTTGTCCAAGTTCTTCACCCGGGCGATTTCTGAGATGCTCTGGGTCATGGATCCAGACGTCCGCAGCTTCTCGATCTCCTGCTCCTTACTGAATTGCGAGACGGAAGGGAGTGGCTCCGTAGGAGCTTCTGCAACGCTGAGCTCGAACTCGCCCTCCTGTTCCTGCTCGCCTTCGGCGTCGACATCCATGTCCATGTCACCTTCAGCATCTTCGTCCCCCTCTTCCTCTTCCTCCTGCTCATCGTGTAAAGTCTTCCGTTTCAAGGAGGGCCCAAGAAACTTAGCAGCATTCGCCGCCTTCCCAGTAGGTGTAGGCGTGGAGGGAGCGCCAGCGAGGGAAGGAGTGACCGAGCCCGCCCGAGGTGTGGCGACAGTGCTACCAGCAGCTTTCTTCACAGATTTCGAGCGTGGCGCCTTGCCATGGTGCTTCTGCCCCGGCCCTGCCTTCTTCCCCGGCTGCGCTTTGGGACGTGGCCATTCCAACTCCCTACTCAAGACGATCCGAGACCCAGAGACCCATTCGTCGAGACGTTTGTTAAATTGATCCCAGTGCACAAAGAATTCGTATTTGTCTTCCGGTTTATCCTCTTTCGCGGCATTAGCCCCTCTTGTACGAGCAGCATAAGGGTTGTTGAGTTTCTCTCGGATAGAGAGGATTTCAGCTAGTCGTTCTTCAGTCTCGCCGTCGGGGTTCTGACGTCGGATGTAGACTTTGCAACCGACCGACACTGTCTGATCTCCCTTAGCCACCGCAGAAAATAGAATAAATTCCGAAAAAAATCAAGCTCACTTGGACATTCCATGCACCTGCAGGCGTTATCCTGGGCGGTTCTAGATTTTCATCTTTATTCGAATGTGAGGGTGCCATGAGAGCGTCGTCAACGGATGCCACAGCGCTGACTCGACTATTGTACTTGGGGGTCCGAGATGACTAAGCGGAGAGTCCCCCGGATACCAGTCACTTTCTGAAATTGGCCACAATTGGCTGCTGCGGAGGCCGCCACACGCTGCCACTGGCATGATAGCAGTGATAGTAAAATGTTTCTGGTGTCTGCCTGCTTTACGCCTATTACAACCTGTCGGTACTGCGGTACTGAAGGCTTCAAAGGAATTCCAAGAAATCGGCGACAGCGCCGAATATGCGCTGGATAGACGTCCTACCGCTTGCCACTGGTGCCCTCCAAGTTGTGGGTGCAGACCTCCAATTTCCAGTGTTCTCGCACCCGGAACTTTTTGGAACGGGATATTTTGCTGCACCTTTCAAAGTCTCCAGCAACTTAACTGGTGCCAACTACATATTCAATGCCCTGGCAGGCCTCCTCCAGCAACTCCCGAATAACTTGCACCCACACGGGCATACGATAGTTCCCGCCACAATCGATGCATTCACGCTCCTCTATCATGCTCGACCCGTTAAGTCTGATCCCCCGAGCCCGGAGTGGCTCGCGTTCGATCCTGAAATGTCGTATTCGATTATGTCCGGCATACCATGGGGCGACGGGACGCATCTCTCCACTTACGCGGCCAAGCGGGATCTAAAGGTCTTATACTTTGACGGCGAAAGTGCTGTACTAAACGGCGATGGAGCTCTCGACACCCAGGAAGTGGTGATCGAACGCAGAGGCCAGGTCCCTCCTCCCGGACGCGGATGGTGGGACGAATACTTTCGCGCCGAACGGCTCTGCAAATGGGTAAAGGACTCTGGGCTCGACGTCGACGGGTTTATCCGCATGAATGCGGGCTTCGAAGTGATGTGGTGCGACTTTTCCGTCGGTCTTGAACTCATCTCTCACCTCAACATCACTGCGCCCGAGACTCCGCCTCTAAAAGACGCGCCCTTCCCCTTCCCGCCTCCTCGGCATCCGACAGATGACATGCAGCTCAATGAACTCGAACTTACCACTAGCGTGATGGTGAAGAACGAGGTAGTGGCTATGGACGAGCTGCCGACTCGACCCCCTCGTCGTGGACCTGGCTCCGGCCGTCGCCCTCCTTGGGATAGATGGGAGCGTAGTCCTTACGTCGCATCCTCGGGGTTCGAGTGGCTGCGAATTGCTACTCGACGATATCAGCGACCCCAGCCTCACGTTCGTCTCATTACATCTGGACTGGTCACCTTCTATGACCCCCAGTTCACCAGCTTAATTCCAACACGGACAGGGTCGTCCATGGTCCAGCACCGTGTCTGGGCCAACGTTTCAGAGGAAGACGTCAATAAAGCTGTGGACCAACTCGAGGAAGTCTTACGGAGGGACGACCTGTGGACCCGCCGTGGGATCGATTGGAACCTCAAAGCATGGGATGTGATGGAAAACTGGGGTGACCGTCTTGCGCAGATGCGTGAGGTTTTGCGAGACGATGAAAACAGGAATGATTCCGCCAAAGTCGAGGAAGTTCGTCTACTGGCGTACACACTTCTGGATCCGTACTTAGACACAGGAAATATGCCCCGTTATTTCAACGAGTCCGACCCAGATTGCTGGCTCCCGCCCACTATGTCGCGTTGTACCAGTGGCCAGACAATCACCATTCCTCTGCATCTCCTAACGTCTCAAGAGCGACTTCTTAAGGCAAGCATCGAAACAGTACTGCACAACTTATGTCAAATGGCAGGCCAGATTCTCGTCTCGTCTATGCAAGCGGGAAGTATAGAGAAGAACAAAGAACTTGCCGCTGCTTGGGGTCAAGAGGTCAGCGAACTCATGGACTGGCTGGACTGGCCCATGTGGGTACGATGCGACGAAGTCTGCGGATGGGATGTAAGTGTTTTCGATGGTGGTTACTCCTTACAGAGTATCTCAAAGTCTCCTCGCAGAGTGTCTGTTCAGTGCCTACATGGCCTATCTGGGGACGACCGCGCGGAGGACCCGACAGCGATATATTCAAGCCGAAGTGTATTCAATTCGAGGATTGGATCCATCACCCGCGGGGATGGTTCTGATCGAAGTGCACCCTTCACTGCAACTCCTTTGCCACATTCCGTATGCTATCCTCATCTTTGTCGTATCGAACGCTCTGAAACACGCAAGAATAGAATTACAATGAGATACAAGGAGATTAGCTAACCAATCAGCGTAATATAATTATTACTAGGTATCAGGGGAACGTATAATAAAAGGTGAATAAAGATGATACTCCAGGGTGCAGGATTAGGACGCCATCGTAGGCGGTTGAAGCATGACGCGAGACCTATCCTTGAAGGCCACAGACCAATGGCACTTAAGGAGTGCACGTTGAAGCGGACATCCACAATCGCGAAGGACCAGTGTTCTGCGGAAACTCCGGCGAATTGACGATCTCGTACCCAACAGTAACGCCTGGAGCGACCAACCCAGTAGCCATGCTCCGCCGACAAGACCCGATCCAGTACTCTGAGTGACAAGAACCTACTTTGAACTTACATCCGACTAGAACGAGGTAGTCATAGCTTCTTCATGGGCAAAACAGCGGTGGAGGCAGGGGCTTCGTGCGGCTTTAGGCGCGTCCCAGGGGTGCTGTCGTCGATCTGTCTTGTAGGGACATTAGTCAGTTCCTTGGATTGCTGGGATGTCGCACTGAACAAGGCATCAGAAAACTCTGCGCAGAATATAGAGAAAAGAAGCACATACGTGTGCACCAAATCGGACCAGTGTTGAACCTAGCTATCGACCAAGGACCTGTGGAGGGATGCCTTTGCAGGCAGTGTGAGCGGAGGATGCCCCTAGGGACACCCTCCACTCACGGTAGGTTTCACATGTGAGCAACACTTCTCAAAGGAAATCAAGAGTCAGACTTGCCGGAAAAGTGATCAATCAAGAGGGTCTCCACTGTATCCCCCTGGTGCACATAGAAAACGTCTGAAATTATTAGCCGTCAGTAACAAATCCCAACCGCACGGAGCATGGCCGCAGAGGACTAACCTTGAGATAACACGGTTGAAGCCGGATGTCGTCCCCGACGTCGACCGTCTCCTCCCGCGAACGCACGTTGCCCTCGAGGCCCCGCCATGCGTTTAGCCGTTTCGCCTCGGAAGCTCATACCAAAGTTCTACTCATCAGTAAGCTCGCAGAAAGGTTCCTACCTTCTCAAGCACCTTCACAGACAAAAGTGGCTGAAACATGACTCAGGCCGGTAAGGTCTAGACGCAGGTCGAGTAAGAGATGGGCCGGAGACGTGTCGCACTTGAACAGTCGACGCAAGCAGGTTGAATGATGCACCGGAAGTCGCTGGCAGCGAAACTGCGATTAATCGACAGGCACAGGGGCAATTTCCTGAGAACGAACCTGGCATTATGGTCGTTTGACAACTGTTAGGGTTCACGAGAAGGTGATCTCTAATAGTCGGTGGTTCCGCGGATCAAAAACAAGAATAGGCTCGCAGCTTCAAGAAGGAACCTCCTCCAACTTGACAGGTAACTCCGGCCAAAGGGATCTGCACGCGCCAGCTTCGACCCGCGACGTTGAAATGGAAGTCGCGGTGAACGAGCGAAGAGCCTGGATAAACAGTTCCTGTCAGAGAAACACGCGTAGGCCAGGAATAATTGCGTACCTGTATGAGTGATCGTCCTGAAAGCCCACAACCCTGAAGTATCCAATTAAACGGAGAATGGAAAGAAAGGAGCGTATCAAAGGCGAGGAACGGAAGTAAGAAGAAGGTAATATATCAAACACAGAAATGGCTAAATGATAAACGTGAAATGATAGAATTAAATGGAAGAAGAAATCGCTTTCGAGCCCTTCACCACGCGACACACTACATCCCCACCGCACCCGCCCTCCAGGTTCGCTTATTTTTTATAGTTTTGAATTCATAGCGATTTTTTTGGTCCCTTTGTTTCGGGATCTGTAGATTTCGGCGCCGTACATTCTTGAAACCAACAATCATTATAGAATACCATTCGAGTCCACCTTCGTCTTCAGCCGAGTTCATCATTGGAATCATCGCCATCCTGCAGACTGACCGCCGCTAGGTGTGCCGCAACGTCCGGTTCAAACCCGTATTCGTCGCCAATAGTTTAAAGACCAGTATCTGCAAGCTCGTCGATTTGATCATGTTTTTCGTCAGCAACAGCAGGAGCGTCCAGAGCCAGACGTTCGAGACTAGCAAGAAGTGCATTTTGAGCGCATCCATTGGCAGGGCCGTCCTCATCCAGAGGGTCGGCAGCGACAGCTTCGCTCTCGTATTCAGCTTCAGCAGGGGCAGGAGCATCCAGATCCAGACATTCAAGGGTTCCATGAAGGGCGTCTTGGTCACAACCGACAGCAGGGCCGCCCTCGACTGCGTCGTCGACGGGAGCATCGTTGACAGTGTCATTGCCAAGGGACATCGTGCCAAGCGCATCACCAACCAAGTCAGGATCAGTAAGGTCCTCAGAAGCAGGCTCCTCCTCATTGGCGAACATAGGCGCGACACCAATGCCTCCCCAGACAAAAGGCATGGCGACAGGCTGTTGCCTCTTAATCCCTAATTCCTTCTCATCGTCCGAATCAAGCAAGAACAGCGGCATCTTCGCAGGTTCCTCCGGAACTGGATCGACAGCGGGCAGAGGGCCAAAGAGCTCTTCGATCATAGCAGCCTCCTCGGCGGTCCTCTCCACTGGCGTCTCCTTACACTTCAGCGCTTCGCGAATTTTGCGGCGGGTAACTGACTTTTCGCCAGCCACGTCCGGGCGACGCTTGTGGCTTCGCTTGCGGTTCCTCCTTGTTGGGCCGATGTAGCAGTCAGAACCCTCCTGGTCGAGCTGGGCCTCGTATCTCCGACAATCATGTTCCATCTTCTCACAGCGGAAAAAGTGTATCGCGTCCCAACGCCGTCGCTTTTCCCGGAGGGGGCACGGGCGCGTGTCGTCTGCTGGAAAGATACCATCCAGCGCCAAAGCCTTGAAGTCGAAGGGCGGATATAAGACATAACACTTGCTCCTGAAGTACCGCCGCAGGTTCTGACGAGCCAGCTTAAATCGAAGTCGGCGAGCCTTGTCCACGATGTTGACAGGAGAGTGGCGATCGTCGAGAGCTCCCTTGCGGTCCCAGCGGCGCCCGGCGAGGAATTCAGCAGGCACATGACGAGCATCCGTGAAGCCTTTGAGGTTGAACTGATCCTTAGCCTCGTCCTTGCTGTACTTCAGTCGACATTTCAGTGCGAAACAGAGACGTTTACGAGTAGCCAAGCAAGTCTTCCGCGCGGGAGAGCGTCGCACAAAAGTCTTGTCTCCGGCTTCCTCCAGGTCGGCATCCTCTGAGACGGCCTCGGAAATGCAAGGAGTATCGTCGGAGAAACCAGCCAAAGCATCACCAGTAGTATTATCAGGAGCATGCAAGGTGGCATCGCGGATCTGGTCGGGGACAGGGGGGGAACTAGACCGGCCTTCGGAAGACTCGTCGTGCTCGGATGCATCCTCGGTGACAACAGTCGAGACATCAGCGGGAAGACATAAAGAGAGACTAGACTCGATTACAGGCAGATAAGCAGGAAGAAAAGGTGCGGCGAACAGCCTGACAACGATCTGGGTGTGCATTAGTCAGGGTAGGTGGAGGGTGGCACAAGCTAGTCTACGAACCTCTCTACCTTGGCTGTTCAACCACTCGCCCTTCTCATGCTGGACGATGATGTCAAGATCCATGAGCGATTCACGTTCTTGCGCGCGGGAGATCTTGCAACGCTTCACGAGATCAGGCCTCGAGTCGTCCACGCCGTAGTCTGCAGCCTTGCGGTCGTAGCCGTCACGTCTACGCTTGCCGTAGATCAGCTTTCCGGAGCCATCGTAAGCCTCGAGATGTTCATTGTGACAGACACGGCGAACGCGGGGAACCATCTCGAGCTTTGCATTGTCGGCAGCCAGGATGGCCTCGAATTCCAGTCGGATCCGGCGGCGGATGAGATGTTTGCCCATGTCCTCAAGATACCTTCGCCTGCGGTATTGGTAGCTGTCTTCAGTCTCGCTGGTTCGACGAACGACTGGCCGCACTGGCTCTGCGCAGAACCAGGGAGAGTGGGCAGGGGAGAGACGAAGCCGAGCCGAGAATGCGACAATGTTCGTCGAAGCGATAGTACCGTACATTGCGGACAAGTACAAAGGGGCACGAGGGAAGTAAGAGAGGAGGTAAGGAACAGGTTCAAGACGCGCACGAACCGCGTCGAGGGTACAGAGGTGTGACTCACGTGACGACGACCCATATATGGAAGGTGGTTTTCCGCTTTAGTCTTGCCTCTGCTGCAGCAGTCCTCCCAGCTTCCAAGTTCCAACCACCATGTCGGCCTCGAAAGCAGAGCAGAGAGCACGAACCTTCGCAGTCCTCGAGTCGAGGCGCCCCCCATCAGCACCTTTCCCCAAAAACGTGTACGGCATCTGTCTTTCAGAAGACTGTTTGAAGCGGTTCGGCATCATGATCTGCAAACGCATGCACCCCACCTTCGACGAGACCGACGAAACCCAAGTCCTCGTCTCAAAGTTCTTCGCAATCGACAGGATACCCGGTCTCTGTATCCTTGGTGTGCCCGACCTATGGCTTTCTCGATGGGCTTTACCATTCGCTAGGTCGGATGCTGGGGTTCAGCAGGTTCTCGTCCTCGCAGATGATGGCTCGGAGGAGAACAAGGCGCTGGCGCTGAAGAATTCGAAGCGGGTGGTGGCTAAACTGCTCAGGTTCCTGGGCATGGAGGAGCAGGAGCCGAGGTGGTATCCGGTGCAGTTGGCACGCGTAATGTGAGTCTATCTTTTCAGCCGTTGAACCTTGCTCAAAGGTTGTCTTCCAATACCCCTTTCATACACACAGCGCTTTATTCTGAAGATGTGGGTCTGTGAACGCTTGTACATTGTATTAGTATCCCATCTGCTTGCGTTTCTTGCTATGAATCAATGCCATGACCTACGGGAGTAGATCGAGAACGACACCTCTTGCGCACACATCTGATTATATGCATAGTCGGTGGGAGCGCGGAGTTGGTGGCTTCAAGGTTCAATCACTTGGGAGCCAATCGTGAAGTCCTGGACCTCGAGAGCCTTGACTTCGGGATGGAAACGGCGCGTATAGTCAGGTAGAAAGAACGGAGGGCTCACCCTGGCACAACATACAGATATCTTCGATGGACTGGACTCCCATGACACGCAACAGAGCAGAACATTGCCATATTAATGCATTCATAACATTGCAAAGCATTGAAAGATACCCAGCCATCGAAGAATGGGCAGCATCCGTACCTCCCCGCATCACCGCTTGACCCAAGCATACTGCAGGCCACGTCCAATCAGCACCTCCCTTCGTCCCTAGAAAAAATAAAGCACTCACTCGCTTCCTGGCCTTCGCCAGGCCCGTCTTCTTCCTCTCCACCATCCGCGGGTCCCTCCGCACCAGCTTCGACCGCCTCAGCACCAGCTCGACCTTCTCCGCCGCCTCCCTTGCTCGCCGCACCGCCTCCAGCTTCTCCCTGCGTGCCCTGACGAGGCTCATCACCCGCCCTTCCTCGCTATCTCCCGCCCGCTCGTTCATCTGCTCCAGATCAGCCATGCTCATGGTCATGTCTGAGCCCATGGTCTCCATGCGCTCCACCAGCGCTGGGTCGACGCCCGCCAGCTCACGGTTTATAGGCTCGAGGTAGTTGGTTTGGATGTGTTCGGAGATGAGCTGGGCGCGGCGATGTTCCTGTGCCAGTATTCCCCGGGCGATACCAGTTACGATAGAACCGGTCTGACCGGTAGTTCCGCCACCTCTGTAAGAAAGGGAAGGTGAGATTGTGATGTGCATCACGGAAGATTTAGCACAAGTATGGAATGCATTAGGCCGACATCTGAGCTGTATCCTCTAGGAAAAGCGGAAATTATAAACACACCTGACCAATGCAAAGACATTGTAAGCGCCGAGTACACCCGCTACCTTGAACGGCCTGAGGATAGCCTCTCGGTCCGACAAGTGGGGGAAGTACTGCGGCAAGGGCGTATTATTCACCAAGATCTGCGTGACCGGCAGGTCATTAACGCTCTCCTTCCCCTCCTCGGCGAGCCCAGACGGAGCCCCGGACACTTGCTGCTCAAACGGCACGGTAGGAATCAGCCAGACCCTCGCACTGCTCTCCTTCCTCCGGCCCACAGTATACGACCGCCCATACTCGTCGAACGCCACGGGCTTCCTCTTCCCCTGCGCAAGCCGCGCCTCCTTGTTCGGCCGCTCGAACACCTCGATCACCCCGTCCAGCCCCCTCTCCAAATCAGCAAGCGCCGCCGCCCGCGCGATCCGTCTGCACTCGTGCAGGTCGCTCAGGATGTCTATCACCCGTCGGTGTCTCGTGGTTGTGAGGCGCTGGCCGTCCGCGAGCGTCGCGGCCATGTCGACCTGATTCATGTAGAGGGTCGGATACTCGGGCAAGGCAGCTAAAGCGTGTGCCGGTAGTGGATACAGCCCGCGGTCACGAAGAGCCAGACGAGCAGCTTGAAGCGCATCGTTGAGTGTCGCTATGGTCTCGTAGAAGGATGGCCGGGTGGTGTAGTAGGCTGGCGAGGCTGGCTTGTCCTTCCTGCGCCATGAGTTGGGGTTATTTCGGTAGGTGGGCGGCGCGACATCCTCTAGTTGGGCAGGGGGGATATAAGCTTGTTCTGTAGTAGCATATGCACGGAGGAAAGTCGGGATTTGACGGAAAACAGGTCGACAGCGGCAAAGTCGGACGAGCAACATTTTGAGCAGCTGATCAAAAGTCACCGACGGCGATGACTACTTGACAGCTAGTTAGGAGGAGGGCACGACCTCTGGTATATGGTAGAGGTGCTAGCCCTAGGTAAGGCTCAGAGCAGCCACAAGTTCCTCGGGAAGACGAGGCGCAGGCCACGTTCCGAACAAATGCTTGGAAATTTCTGACTCTAATGAGTTCCCTGTTATGGCAGGAGACCTGCCTTCCTGGGTAATTCTTTGACCGGAAGAAACACATCTCTGAGCAAGAGGAGAGCGGAGTACTATATAACAATGACACTAGATGACAATACGATCTAACTAAAACCAAGACAACACAGAGAGCCACGACGGAGATGATATAGGAACGAAATAAACATAAGGCACATAAGTGAGCACAGCGTCTGGAATCATTAATGAATACACCTTTGCCTGGATAAAGGAGCGACAATTGCAACGAAAGCAAGGAGCACCAGCTACGTACACTCGCCAAGATAGAGCATTACTGGAAGTACAGTGGTTGCACGTCCTGTTGGCCGAAGGGCAGATTACAAGCTGGGCATTTGCGTTGCCGAGTCGATATCCGCGCCTCCACGCACTGCTTGCAGAAGGCTACAAATTCGAACCGGTGAGTATACGTCCGAACATTTCAACTCGCGAAAGTAGCTCACAATGCATGCATTTGGTGATCACCGCATTCCGCATATTCTGTCTGCAAGTAGAGCACTTGAGCACGCTCATGAGCTTGTCCACTTCGCCCTGCAGCTCCTCCTCCCGCTCATGCTCCTTCCCTTTGGCACCTCCCTGGCTCGACAAGCTGCGCAGCTTACTCTGCGCTGTAGCTTGCAGCCGCTCCACCTCCTTCTCCTTCCTCCTAATCGCCTCCTCACGGCGCCGCAGTTCTGCCTGTTGCGTGTAGTGTTTATCCAATATCTGCTTGAGTTCCGTCTTGCACTAAATCCGGGAGCAGTCAGACGATCCGAAGCGGGAGTGATAGAGGCGTATGTACGTACCTGCGCAGCCTTGGTCTTTTCGGCCTCCAATTTCAACTCGTAGTCCTTCAGCTGGTCCGTCAACCTATGGATCTCGGGCCCGTACTTTTGGACTATCTTCCTAGATTCTGCCTGCTCGCCCTCCAGTAGTTTCTGCGGCAAATCAACACCAAGAAAATTTTGATCGGGACGAAGAGACAACGCACCACCTGCGCGAGCAGATTCTTCTCTGCCGCAATGACCGACTCCATGCTCTTCCCATTCTTCTCGATATTCCGCACTAAGCTCTTCCGCTCGAACTCCACAGCCTCCTTATCTCGCATAGCAGCGTAGAACTTATTCTCGATCTTAGCTCTCTACATGCACCGCCAAGTTTAGTGAATCATAACGGAGCACGTTCAACGATGGCCACATACGTCTGCGAGTGCCCTGGACAGCTTCTCTTCCAGAGCAGACAGATCGAAGACCTTGTTCTTCACCTGCTTATCCAGCGCCTCCCAAGCAGCCGACAACTTCTCCACCTCAGTGTACAGCGCACTTTCAGCCTGTATCGACCCTATGTCGACAACGATCCTCACTTTCGTATAACGAATAACTCACTTGCGTCTGCTGCTTCAACTGCAACCTCAGTTTTTGAAGCTCCTCCTCCTTCTCCCGAAGTTGACCAGGAGAATCCGAGGAAGAGCCAGAAGAAGCGTCACCGTATATGGAACGATACTTTTCCAGCTCCTTGCTTAACTGCGCTACCTGTTCGCGGGCTTCGGCTTCGGATTGCACATGCTGAGCGACGTCGGGATGTTCTTGGTTCAATGAAGACAGGGATTCTTGCAGGGCACTGAGCTTAGTCTCGGCCTCTCTGAAAAGATATCATCCAAGTGACACATGAATGAGACTGAACCAAGGCTGCGATCAGGAAGGACTCACTCAAGACGGGTCCGAAGCTCATCGACATACGTCTTCCCGTGCACAGACTCATCGCTGAACAAAAACGCAACGAGATCCTCATCACCCGTCGACGCCGCCATCCTCGTCCTTAACCTCTTCACCTCAGACTCCAACGCAGCAACACGCTCCTACATGCACGGACGAATAGCGTGTCAGCCCCGATATCCTGCCCGCGCGAGCAAAAAATGAATGACTTGCGGAACGTGACTGCGCGAGATTCCTATACTCCGCCAAAGACGAGAGCTTCACCGAATCCTTGTGCTTCCGCTCCGACAGCTCCGCCGCTTGCTGATCCCGCTGCTCTCGCAGGCGGACGAGATCCGCGTCGCGCTTGGCTATCACGTTCGAGTACTCTTGCTGGATTTTCGCAACCTGAGCCTGGTGAGACCGAGGGCGGTGTCAACGGCAAACTGAAATCATCAATTGAAGGATTTAGACGTACATTTCCCTTCTCCGCCTCTTCTGCAAGCTTCACCCTAAGTTCACTGACCTCCTCCTGGGCTTTCTTGAGTTGCTCCTCAAGATCCGACCTTTGCCAGGTCGCGTGACTGAACTCCTGATACACCGCTTTCCACAACGGCATCTTCTGAAGTGTCTCGTCTGAGGGCACTTTTTGCTGCAGGATACAATCAGCCAGGTGGAGCGACTCATTCTACGTATGATACCCACATCCACGGCGAGGGCGAGCTGCTCTTCCCGGAGCGCGGTTATCTCTTCCTCTAGCCGACGAATCTCTTTCTCCCTCATCGCAGCAATCTCTCGCCAGTCGTCCATCTCCTCAGCACTCGGCCGCCCAGTACCATTTGGCATGGTGTCCTCAGTCGGAGAACTGGCTTCTCCGTGCTGCTACAGTCGTCAGTGACAATGACAGTTAGTTATGAAATGAATGGGAGTACTCGGCGTCTTAATGATGGACCACTTACTGCAGTTGGTGGTTGTCCATCGCTCTCATCCTTCATCTGTACGTCCTCCACTTTCACCTTCGTAGGTGAAGGCGCATTTGCAACCGGTTCCTCCTTCGGTGTATGCTTCTCTGGCGGGGCACTAGAGCGGGAGTCGGACTGGGGAATAGTGCGACTAGACAATCTCTCCAAACGGTTCTCTGCGGCTACCAGGCGCGAGTGATAATTCTCTTTCTCCGATTCTGCATCCTCGAGCCTGGCCCGCATTACTTGTACCTCAGAGCGAAGAGCGGTACACTGCAGACTCATCAGGCTTCCAGCGGCACCTTCGTAGATGGCACTTACCTCGGTACGAGCCTTTTGACAGGTTATGTACATATCATCCGCAGACAAAGCCGCTCGTGTCTGCGACCCCATCTGAACAAATGAAGCTACCAGCTCCCGTGTGGCATTCATCTGCTCCTGGAGGGCCTTCTCCAATTCAGGCGATGATTCAGAGTCCACATGTGTCGACATGTCGAAGAGGCCTGAGAGATGCTGCACCGATCAGACACGTCAAAGAAGCTGCAAGACTAAAAACCAGACCTGTCGTGTCGACACTGGCTGAGGATAATGCCTCGGGTTTGACCAGTAGTCGTATCGTGTCAATTAACTACGCCCACCAGTAGATCATAGTCAGGGAGCGGTCCCGGTATAGAATGACTGTGGTTTACCTGCGTCCAGCAGGCTTGGATGGCAGATAACCCTGCTTCACATGCATTCCGCCGTCGTTCAAGTTCCTCTATCCGATGTTGGCTCCTCTCATGTTCACGAGAATAGTGCTTCATCCGCCGAAAGATGGCCTCTTTGCGGAATGACTGACCACATACATATCATACCCTTAGCACTCAAGACCTCTTGCATGCCATTGGTGAGACAATACCTCGAGTTCATCGTTCTCCTTGGGTTCATCCACCTCTGTGGCCACGCCATTCACGCGGGTCGGCGATCCGTAGCCATTCGACACCGCGCGTTTCTTCGTCACTACAGGGTCTGCATCTTCGGCATGCGTTCGTTTCCGTGACTCCATAACGATTAGAAAGATTCGTCGCTCCGACTCGCTCGAATTGAGGACAGACGGCACGCTGGCCAGTAAGAAGGCGGACGATGTAGCGAAGTCTTGAGGCTACTGCGCGTTTCAAACTCCGACGAATTTTCTCAGTTCTGTGGCTCCCGCGAACACTCAGGCAGGATCAATGAAGCTTGTAATGAAGCCGCTGTGGCAAACCTACGCATGCGTTTATATCAACAGGTATTAGTAAAAAGTACGGAATGTATCCGAGGTACGTCTTGCAGATAATCTGGTATGCGCTCTATGTTGTGGTAGCGAGCAAAGGTGAGCACCGTTTCATAGCTGACTGACAGGGAGGCTGACACGTCCAGCTGTAGCAGCTGGATGACGACTTGGACGGCAGCCGCCCGCTTCAACCAGCTGCCGTGTCAGCCCCCTCTCAGGTGTATATAAGGGGTGCGCATTCGTCTTTCTTTCTCCATCCTCTCTTCCCCTCTCCCATCATCCTCTCGACGTCGGGACTTCCACTCTTTACCACACATCACTATGCACTCTTTCCATAAGTTGCTTGGTGTCTCGTTCTTGCTTGGGTCTCTGACCTCTGCGCTGGCTATGCCCTCTGGTCATGCTATTGACCTCGATGCCAAGCACAAGTACCCTGTTCGAGAAGTCGGGGACGAGTTGAACTCCGTCAGTGTTCAACCCAGCGCGGTGAGTCTGCTATTCTCCCTTGCCATACACATCAAGTCTGATGCAATGTTTCGTAGACGAACTCTGTTCCTGCCTCGCCGTTGCAGTCCGATGTTATCGTCAGCAACATCAGCTTCAACAGTTCCTCTACCATCGGCGACCTCGCAAACAACCATACCATGATCACGGCCAACCTCTGCGTTATTCTGGGCGTCAACTACACGGATCCTGCGGCTAACTTTACTCAGGCGGTCAACAATCAGACCCAAGCTCCGGAACATATCGGTCGTAGCGTCTTCCTGCGTCTCTTGTGCAAGTGCATCGAGACCCAGACCCGCACCATGCCCGAGACTTGCAAACCTGTCGGCGATACCCCGGACACCTTGCCAGCCATCTTGAGCAGCCTAGATGTCGATGGCCGTCCTAACCAAGGTAGCACCGGCGGACAGGCCAACGGCGGTGCGCAAGACGGGAACGCTCCTGCCCCTGCCAACAATGCGAATACTGGATCTGGCTCTACTGGCGGCCAGACTTCTGGCGGTGCTCCGACTCATGGCGCAGGCTCTGGTAGCGCGAACGGCGCAGATGGAGCTCAGCAAGGCGGCTCTCAATCCAACTCTCCTCACACTGGTGCTGATCGCGGCCGTCAACCTCCCTCTGGAAGCGGCCGTCAAGCGGGATCACCTCAAGGTCAGGACACCAATGGATCTGCCAGCGGCTCCCCTCCTCCTCAGCCTCAAGCCAACGAGAGCACTGGTGGTAGCGGCAATGGTGGTAACGCAAACGGCTCCGGCGATAGCTCCTCCCGCCCTCAGCCTCAAGCCAACGAGAGCACTGGCGCTAGCGGCAACGGTGGTAACGTAAACGGCTCCGGCGATAGCTCCTCCCGCCCTCAACCTCAAGCCAACGAGAGCACTGGCGGCAGCCGCAACGGTGGCGATACTCAAGGATCGACCAACGGGCCCGCTAATGGAAGCAACACCGCGGACACCAACGGATCTGGCGGCAACGGCGGCGCTCAGGCATCTAATGGCAACACTGCTCAGCCTCAAGCGGACAGCGCCAGCCAGTCCGGTGGTCAAGGTCATCCCGCTGAAAGCAGTCCTTCCAACAGCGGCGCGACTGGTCAGAGCGGCACGGGCAGCTCTTCAAGTGGTCCTAGCGGTGCGACATCGAGCAGCACTAGCAACAACGGTTCTCCGAGTGGTCCTAGCGGCTCCACGTCAGGCAGCCCCAGTAACAATGATTCGCCAAGTGGAAGTTCCTCGGACACTTCAAGCGGCCCGTCTACCGGCTCTGGAAATGGTGGTTCGACGTCCTCTGAAGGCTCGCAGACTGGCGGCAGCGGCAACGGCGGAGACTCGAACGACGGAAACCGAGGTCCAGCCATTGCTCTTCCCATTCGCCTGCCCAGTCTTTCCGGCGTATCTGCTGCCGGTGACAACCTCCCTACGGCTAGCATGCCTGCCACTTCCCCCGACGCGTCATCTGCGAGCAACAATATACCCGCCCCCGACTCCGCTGGTACTCCATCCAGTCCTGTCGCGTCCGGAAATGCCAACGCTCAGCCTACTGACGGGGCCAAGGCGCCCTCAAAGCTTTGTGCTCGGGTCAGTGTTAACGGTACGGCTTGTGTGGACGTAGATGCTTCTGTTTAGGACATGGCAGTTTGCTTCATTTTCTCTTCAATACCATATGTCACACGATGTATAACGTCTTTCATTTTAAATGACATCCATCAATTATCATTCCATTATCAATGGAACCGTCACATCCTCATTAGTTGAGTAAGCGAGAGAGGGAGACTTTCGAACAGCGCCCGTCTATGGAACGGTGACTTGAGCCCGAGAGTAAATCTCAAGCAGGTGTCGAGTGCGATGCGTATGATACCAACATGAGGCTACTGCTGACCGGTGATCGATCTAATCGACCGATATTCATCGAGAATCGCGAACAGGTGTCCACATGCAAGGTGATGAGTGAGCACGCCGCATCGTGCAGTTTCTGCGATAATCCTGGTCCAGTGCGTTTCTATTCACCTATGCATCTTGTCGCGCTAGTGTATTATAGAGCGGGTATTTGGATGGCGTGATAGCCTGCCGAGCCGTCTAAATCAATCACTTCGCAGTCTGCTTTATCCCCGTTGCCTATCTGAGTCTCCACGCAAGCAAAGTCCATGTCCTGTATGCGAGACAAAGACGGTTAGTCCAGGGCTGCAACATCAAATCCGATTCCCTCCTTACCGTGTCAAGAACGGCCATAGGATGGTCTGGGCAAGAGAGCAAGTCAGCGCGCATCCTCAGTTACTAAGCATGACTAGTCTCGGGGAAAGACCTACGCCATATGCCAGTGTCGTACACTATACCCTGGCCAGCACTTGCGATGAATGCACGCATAGTCTTCAGATCCGGCTTGTCGTCCTCCCCATTTTTGGAGACTATGACGAGATAGGCCTTCCCTGGAGCCTGCAGCGAGTCTTCAGCTCCCCCAAGGTTGGCCAGAGCCGAGCCAGCACCCATAGGAATGAAAGCCTGGTTAGTGTACGGGTGGCGCTCCAGCAGTTTTACTTCCCAGCGACCGCCTGGCTTGGCAGATATGGGGGAGCATCTATAAACGGATATACCCGTCGTGGCGCCTGAGTCCGGCGGGTACGCCGACTCCAGAAGCGCGAGTTTGTGGAATTTACTAGCGGTCCCATTATTCGCGGACGTGACCTTAGTGCCGCGGGGGACTGCATCAGGGTCGGAGTGACCCATTATAACTTTCCCGAAAGGCGCGAATGCCTCGGGTGTCAACGGGACGGCCGGTATCGTCGGTCCTGATGATGATGGCGATGAAACCGCTGGCACGGCGCCGAGTATATCGGATGCTGAGTCGGAGGGTTCGGGCGCCGTCACAGGCGCAGTCGTAGCGGCGGCTGACGCAGCAGGCAGCTTCGCTCGCCGACCTAGTACCCGGACGCGCTTGATTCCTCCATCGGGATATATCGTGACGCGCACATGGGTGAACGCGCTATCATGGACGTTTTCGAGCTGGAAGAAGTGTCTGCGATGCGGGCCGAGCTTGGTACGGGGTAGTACGAGGGTCCATGCATCCTCGGGCTGGTCCTCCGGTATCAGGCTTGTGCTGTTAGTGGCGTGCACTTCGCAGCTTTCTGGAAAGTTGCCCTTGAAGTGCGCAGTATCGATCTCGACTTGTTCTAGATAGCCGGCGGCGCCGCTAGAAGTGAACTTTGCATGAGCTATCGTCAAGTCAACGAACACAAAGGAACTAACAGCTTGATGATGGCCCAGTCCTTGTGACCCTTCTGCCTACTTCTCTTAGTTTCCCATCCATCGCCCATGTCCTTACCTATCGTCACATTAATGAATATCGTGTGACATCACACCAGAGTCCATTGGTTCAACAAAAACAGGAAAATATGTGACGAGTAAGGGTGGACTGCCAAATGCGGGAGGATAAAAACACAGGGAGGGGACTTACCTCGTCCCGGGAGAATAAGGTTGGAACCGACACCAAAGTGCTGGTCTGAAGTGAAGACTACACGTCCTCCAGCCAAAACATGTGCCAGATCTAGGATATCCGTTTCGCTGTCTGGGAAAATGGGTTTCACCAAGCCGTACACACGGAACCGTGCCTGGCATATTCAGTATCGCAACTTCGCAAGGAGCAGAAAGGCCAGCCTCACAATGCCTCCGTCGGGGTACATATTCAGCTTCACATAGTTAACCCCGGGTGTCTCAGGGATTTTGAAAAGATGTCTAGAGTTCGGACCGAGAGGAACTTTGGGAAGGATCTCAAACCACTGTGGCGGAGGTCATGATCCATTCTCGTTGTCATGCACGGAAGGTGCTTACTCGGGCATCGTCCACCCGGGGTTCTTGTTCCTCCGTCGAAAACAGGGCGTCGACGGATACTTCAGGTGCCTCATTACCTAGAGGCAATTTCAGTCAGGATCAGTCCTTCACGATTATAGTCATGTTACCATTGAAATGCGAGGTATCTACGTCAAATCCGAAGATAGTGCCGGCCGCCCCCAGCTTGATTATGCACCTGCACTTGGTGTCGAATGGTGAGCGGCTCTCATGAATTTATAATGGACTACTGACCAGTCGTATGTGGGGTTATGCCGTCTACTTTCCCATCCGCTGTATATAGCTCCTTTCGGACCAAACTGGCCCTTGCAGCTCTGTGCTGGCTGTGATACCGGTTTCCGTGTATATTCTTCGGAGAGAATGTGCGATATAGCATACCTCCACTAACAGAAGATTATATGCCTCTGCAAAGAACTCATCCGACACCGAAACAACTCTGCCTCCGAGAGCCACACTGGACAGTTCTGTAAACACATTATGAGGCGTTTGATTATTCGTGAATAGCTGCGCCGCATACCGATTGATGTGGCAAAGTCATAGGACTTGTCTAGAGGAACCCTTTCGTACGCCATTGCTAGGTCGAATCTGTACCGCTACGCAGATCAGATGGATCCCTGGAAAGGTAATGCGAGCGAAGTCCGCCGCCACGTTATCCAGATAAGCGATCGAAGCAATCGTGTCGGGCTGAAAGTGGCAAATACGGGACTAATATACGCCGTCTCAATACACTCTGCATGCCGACGTAGTTCTTCCAGCTAACATCTTCTGTCCAAGTTTGCGAGCGCGTCGTCTCCCTTTCAGAATGTTTGACAGCGCACCGTTCGACGAGCATCCCGTACGGTACGCCTGGGGACTTGTGCGGGCACGCGCGATACGGTCATCGCCGTACCCAGAATAGCAATCAGACTCGGATATCACATGAAACCGTCCGCACTCATCGACGGCCACAAGGATGGGACCTCGTATTATGCCATCTACCATTCCTCGCCTCCTTGCATCCCACCACCATGTTAGACCACCTCGTAGGTCGTCCCAGCCCTTCGTGGAAGCGAGCCAAGGTATGTTTAGTAGGCTCTGGACGCGCCGTGCGCTCACCAGGTTTCAGGTATTCTTGGTCCTATTCTTTTGGTTCTGGCAGCTCGCCAGAGGGAATGAAAGTGGGCCGCGTCTCCTATGGATAAGGAGAGTGAATAGAAGACTCCGTATGCTACCCAGTTCTCTGGTTTCATACAGTACTAATGCTATTACACAGAACGCTTCACGCCGTGGCAACTCATTGTCAGCACGCTTACAGCCGTGTACGCTCTGCGTAACTTTGACAAGATCCTTGGACTTGGATGTATGTACTCGTCTTTTATCTGACCTTTACGAAATTGACTGGACTTCATCACATAGCTCCAGAACCTCTCGCTAACCTTGTGAGTGTCTTCGAACCCGTACAATACAACCTCGTCTGATTATGTGATGTGTAGTACTCTCCCTCTTACTACCGCGCTACCTGGATCGCGACCGGTCTCGATGCAGGATTTGCTACCGCCATGACAATCAGACCGAAATGGCTGAAAGATCTATGTTCTATTCTCTTCTCTGTATATTATATTATATATACAAACGAAGCGGAAGAGAAGGTACGCATGCATTCATCGACATCTACGGCATCTCAAATGCAGTCATCATAGCTCCGTCGATTCAGAGCAGTCCCGACTGTCGAAATGCTTCGGACTACATGGGAGAAAACAACACATCCCTTCGTAAGATATTTCAGTCTTTACCTGCATCCATCGCTTTCTCATGCCACTTCCATGACCATTAGATACGTGCTCTTGCGTATAAACCACGCGTATCGGTACGGAGGAAGATACACTTGCCGCGGCCCAGAGACTCTGCGTACCAGCGGCCTATTACAGCATGGCTTTTCTTCGCACCACCAGAGAACAAGCTGAGTCGCGCCACGGACCTTATCTTAGATGTGCCCGGAGGGGGGTTTATTGCGATGACTCCGGAACACCACGAAGAGCGATTGTGTATGTGGGCTGCCCGTACCGGGAAGCCCGTGTTATCAATCGAGTATGGCAAGGCTCCAGAGTGTAAGTTGTTGTATTGTCTGTCATTGTTCTACCGGTACAATGGTCGATTTCTAGATCCTTATCCCTTCGCAATCGACGAGATCTTCGATACTTACCGCGTCTTGGTGGAGTCTGCCGGTCGACTGATCGGTATGTCGGGCAAGAAACTGAGCATAATTATGTCCGGTGACTCAGCGTGAGTTCCAACCTCTCGCTCTTATCTTACGGCGTTTCTCAATTGTCGTGCTACGTGATACAGAGGGGCATGCATTGCTGTCAACTGCATGATCAAGATCCTGGAGACCCAGTCAACGTTGCAACTCCCCAGTCCAACTGCCATGGTGCTCAACTACGCTGCCCTGGACTTCAACTTCACCTCCTGGATGTCTCCCGCGAACCTACAAGTCTTGCGATCGGAACAGTCCTCCCGCCACATCCCCGGGCTGGCCGAGCAAAAGGACCATTTTGGGCATATCAGCCCGCTGTCCATGGTGGGCGATCGCAGGCTGCGCCGCCGGCGCCACAGCTGGCGGGATGCGTTCAAGGACTTCAACTTCACCTCGCCTACTTCGCCGGCGACGGAGACGCCGCCTTTACGTAGGCGGAGCAGACCCAAGTCTGACTTGTTCCTTAAGAAGGACTGGAACCCGTACGTAGCCCGTGCAGACACCGGCAGCATGGCGGACGAAGAAGACGAGGGGGACTATAGTGAAGTGAATGAAGAAGATAGGCCCATCCAGGCACGTGTGCGCGTCGCACCCCCTCCCTCCCTCAACGCGACGGAATTGGAAGAACAGCAGCAGGAGCTTTCGCGTCAGGTTGCCCGGGCAGATTCCGAGGTCCAGAAGAAGGAGAAAGCACCTATTGGCACCAGGATTACGATGACCAGCCGCACCGGGTATTTCCAAGATCGAATCATCTCGCCTAGCATGGTAAGTCCGGGATACCCGTGATGCTGTGACGCCGGCCCCAAACTCGGAGTATCGTACGCCGGGTTTATGGGCACGTTGTCGATTTAATTTTCCTTACTGATCTATTTTTCCGTCATAGATGCGCGCGATGGCCATTCTCTACATTGGCCCGTACCGTAACCCAGACTTCGCGACAGACTACCATATATCCCCGATCCTAGCGCCCAGTCACCTTCTGGCACAGTTCCCGCCGCTTCTGATGCAATGCGGCGAGAAGGATCCGTTCGTGGACGATACCGTCATCTTCGCTGGACGTGTCCGCGAGGCGAAGCGGGCGCGGAGAAGGGAGCTTGAGCTCGCCATCTCCGGCAAGAGCGCCAAGTTCGGCGAGTCGCTGCGAATGAGCGTCGCCGAAGGCGGGGAGTCCGTCAGCGCGATGAGACGCGAGCTGGAGCGACTTTCGTCCGAGAGCGAGGACGACTGGGTGCAGATGGTCATCTACTCGGAATGGAGTCACGGGTACCTGCAGATGCCGACGCTCATGAGCGAGGCACGGGCAGCCATCAACGATATTGCCGATTGGATGGACGACGTCTTCAGCGCACGAAGCGGCGGAACGGCCGTGGAGGGTGCCCAAGGGCGAACCGCGGCTGGGCATCAAGTGCGGGCTTCACGCGACATCCCCAAGCAGATGCAAAGCACACTGGCGGCGCCTGTTTCGAGGAGCGCGGATAGATCGAGGAGTCCGCTGACATCAGAGACGGAGACCGACGATCCCATAACGTTCGTGCCCAAGAGACGCAGCCCGGCGTCTTCTGTCACGGAGGGCTCGGACAAGCCGCGGACGCCGTCGGGCGCAAGCAGCGCGAGCTCGGACGACACTCTGCACGAGGAGCCTCTGGACCAGTTCCCCAAGGGCGGTGATCAGCGCCCGGCAGAGTCCACCGAGGACCCCGGGCTGCCTGCAAGCTCTCCCAAGATGCGAGGGCGGCTTGGGAGTCGTCCAAGCCCTCGGCTGGATATTCTGCATGGGCCTATCATCGAGCCAGAGGATATAGCGGGGCTGGAGGACGCGATGAGTGGACGTAAATCGTCGCCCCGACGGTCGGGCGGGACTGGGTCCAAGGGGACGTCCACTCCCACCATCTCGGAGACCGAACTCATGAGGCGGAGACGGCTGCTGGACTCTCATATATTCGAGTGAGAAATAGGTATAGACATGTAACGTCACTGTAGTCCTAGTGTATTAATCGTAATGTACGAAACGCCCGAGCGAGTCGGGGCAAGGATATATAGATGACCGGAGACTAGTGGGACAGGGTGCCTGTATCCTGTGAAGGGGGAATTGATGCCTGCCAGTGATGTACAGCTTGCACCGCCACGGGATCAGAAGGAAGACGGGAGGGATTACATGCGGTGCCGTAGCGGTGATGTGCTGCGGTATTCGGGCAAAACACGTTGCAGACGCAGAGCCAGAAGATCAGAACGAGGAGGGGGCAGCTGAGACGGGGCCGCGTGCGTGGCGGGAGGAATTGCGAGCGCTGTGGGGGGGAATCGAACGCGGCGCGCAGGGGGAGGGCCCGCCGGGTGGCCGGAGATCCAGAACTGACGGGGCGGCTAAACCAAGGCTGTGCCCGTTTGTCCTCTTATAGCTGCAGGCGTGCTTACCTATCCGCCGTCACAAGCTCGTCGTTTTTCTTTTCCTGCTTGCCCCGGTATTATTAGAAAACGCAAGGGAATCTTCGAAGCAGATGGACGTCGAGGCATCAAGAGTGTGGCCTTCGAACGCCATAAAGGTTGCCTATCCCGATGCACCCGCGTACCAACTTCAACCGTACCCGCCCCCGCCCCCTGACCAGGTCTACCACGACATGCCTCCCGGCCAGCGCCCCTACGCGCACCCTGACCCGCCGCCGCACGACGCCCGCGACCCGATGAGGCACCCCCAGCAGTTCCAGCCGATGCCGGGCGCGCCCCAGCCCGCCGCGGGCACCAGCACCCAGCAGTACTACGCCGCGCACGCACAGCCGTACAGCGTCCCCTCGTCCTCGACGAACATCAACTACGCCCCTGCGCGGGTGGCAGCCCCGCCCACGGCCGAGCCTCCCCCGCCGGAACGCAGGCACGGCAAGTCCACCGCGCACCACGACGCCCACTTTGCCCCGAACGCGGCCGCATTGTACGCGCAGGCTCTCCCACCCGCAGCCCACTCGTCGCACCTCCCGGAATCCGGTACTCGAAACATGGCGGGCACCCAATACGTCCCGATGGCGTCGATGCCGCGCTTACCACCCATATTGCAGGTCGAGAAGCAGCAGGTGACCACGTCTGCCACGCAAGCGGCCAGCGCGAGCAGGCGGAGGAACGAGGCCCACTTTGTCTGCCCCGTCCCTGGGTGCGGCAGCACCTTTACTCGTCGGTTCAATTTACGGGGTGAGTCTCGTTCATCTCAGTCATTGTCTCAGTCGACCCAACGCCGCCGTCTCAGGGCATCTCCGCTCTCACACTGAAGAACGCCCGTACGTATGCGAGTGGCCGGGATGCGGAAAGGGGTTCGCGAGACAGCACGACTGCAAGTGCGTATTTCGGCACTCTGCTTATTGTCTCTGCCTGACGCCTTCCAGGCGCCATCAAGCATTACATACAGCGCGTTCCCAGTCAAACGTATGCCAGGGGTGTGGAAAGACGTTCAGCAGACTAGACGCGTTAAATGTACGTTCACATGGCCCTAGCACGCAAATCGCGGTACTGATAACAGCCCGTATGACCCGTGCAGAGACATCGTGAGTCCGGTCCGAATCTGTGTACCCTCGAGCGCCTACTGATAACTTCCTGATCTAATTCATCTGACCGTCTATCTGCAGTGCGTTCTGAGGGAGGCGCAGATTGCCGTGCAGTGCACGAGAGCCGCTCGGCGGCGGCGGCGAATCAAGCAAGTCAAAGTCCGAACTCGAGCGGCGTTGAAGAAGACTGGGACAGACGCAGCCTGTCCGCTGACCAGCAGAGCGCCGGGCGCCTCACCCCCAATCGCGGGGCGTCTATTCCCCCTGCCGTGCAGGCCCATGTTCAGCAACAGCAGCAGGAAGCTGCGAAGGCGGGTGGCCCATCAAGTCAGGACGCCGGGGCAAGATGATGTTGGCAAAGCTGGAAACGTTTCATATCGAGGGTCCAAGTTTACGGGATGTTCTGCCGCTGTTCTAACACGTTTTATGCGCCGTATCCCCCTCCGCCGATAGAACGAGCGGGTCGGGCGAAACATGATGATCATGACTTTCCTTATTCCGCCTTATTTGTTGGTCCCTTTCACGCCTATCCCCTACGTTAGCTGCCACCACTGTTACTGTACTTGTAATTACTTTTCTGTATACAACTGACTGGCGACGTGCGACCCCTATCTGCGCAGTTTTGGCCCGGCTTCCGCGGGTGGCGGCGTGAGCAGAGCGGTGTAAGCTGTGCAGGTGGCAGGCACCGGCAAAGACCGACGTACCTCCCACGTGGCGCTCCCGCCCGGAAACACGTGATAGCGCTTCCCGCCCTCCACGATCGTGAAAGTGAGTGCGCCCAAAGTGCGGAGGGCGAGCTACAGCTGACCCTGTTATACTTAGGCTTGCATTCAGTCGTCCTAAGTATATGCCCGTTCCCTCGTATTAAAACTTCGACGTGCTCGACGGACACGCTGCAACTCTTCTGCCATGGCGCTGCCTATGCTTGTCGGTGGTGCGGATTGCGGGCCAGTGAATCCATTGCAGGGGCTCGCGAAGCGGCTGGATCAGGATAGAGGCGCGCAGCAGGTGTGCGAGGGCGTCCATCTTTGGGGTGCGGGCTGAGCTGAGACGTGCTTGCAGGACTTTTTTGGTGCCGGGCGTGCCGGCTCATCGAGAGAGGTAAGCAGGCGCCTGAACGCATACACTGTAGTGCGTAATATGCTATGGTACTACGCAGACATTCCGAACGCAGCCTGCGCAATCGAGCCGGTTGGACGAGGATGCATCCCGGTTCTTCAGTCCAGCAGCACACGCTGGCCCTCAGCTCGCAAGACCGTCTGCCTTCGACTTGTCTCTTCTGCACAACTCCCTGCCGTCACCTTCTCTCCAAAACCACACCCAGGCACCCGTTTCTGCGGCTTCATGGGCTGCTGATTTTATGCAACATGCTGCGCCGAGTATGGAAGGAGCAGCGAAGCCATGGGAGAAGGGCAAAGCGAGAGAGACACCAATGCAGTCACCGACGAGCATACATGAAGCACAACAGCGTACGTATAGCGATCTCTACCAGTATCCATCTCATAGCGCTCTTCTGTAGGCCCGATGCATTGGAGCCCGCCAGGCCCTGGGTATACAATGAGCCCGATGCCAGCGTTCGCCCCGATGGCCATGCAAATGCCCCAGCAGCTGCAACTACAACAACAACATAACGTCCATGTTGATCGTGCGTTGTACACTTAATTCGTCGTATCCGAGGTGTGACACTAGCTCGCAGCATCCGTATGGGACCAAGAGTTCTCGTCCCAGGGACAATCTCTGACTCAGGCGGAGCCCGTAGCGGCACCCAGTACTAGCGAAACAGATACGAGGTCCATGAATCCTCTCGAGCAAGACGAACTCGCCCGCACCGCCGGCATGCTCGTCGAGACGCTCCAGACGGAGCAGAACCCGAAATTCCAGAAAAGCGAGTTCATGGGCCTCATGCGGCAGCTGCGCGACCACAAGGTCGTCGTGGAGGGCAACGCGATGGTCGAGACGGACGCCCCGGGCTCCGCGGCGGGGTGGGCCGACGAGCTGCAGGGCGATGTGCAAGACAAGGGCAAGGCTCGTGCCGATGTGCCTCCCGCTATGCAGGCGGTATGGGTACCGCCCGTGGACGCCGGTCTCATACCGCCCTTGGAGCGGATTCGATTCGCCAGCGAGGCCCGTGCGGCCCTGCGCAGCGATGAGCCCCAAGAGGCCGAGGAGCAGAGCCACCAGGAGGCGGACCCCAACGAAGAGTACTTCCGCCTGGACAACGAGGACTACATGGACTACTGGAAGGCGCATCACATGGGCCCGATGGCAGCGCTCACCGATCAGGCGCCCTTCAACGAGTGGGACAATCTCCAGCGCGACTGGGAGGACTTTGAGGCGACCGCGAGCGGGATCAAGCCCGTCGCGAACTACCAGTTCCAGGCGAACAACCCGTACATGCTCGGCGACTCTTCGCGGACCCGCAATCACCTGATGCATTCCGACAGACCGCAGTCGTTCTACGAGGTATGTCCTGTCGGACAGGGTCGCAGCGTTACTCCTAGCGCCCCCTGGACGGGAATCAGGATCACTGATCCTCGCTTGTTTTATAAATGTAGAGTGTGCTGGAATTGGAGGCAGCCGTGCAACGTAATCCGAGCGACGCGTACGGGTGGTACGAGCTCGGGGTGAAGCAGCAGGAGAACGAGCGGGAGCACAGCGCCATCCAGGCGCTCTGGCGCGCGATCGAGCTCGACCCGACGCATCTGCCGACCTGGCTAGCGCTCGCGATCTCGTACACCAACGAAGGAAACCGCGTCAGGGCTTACGGCGCGATCAAGGAATGGGTGGAGCGTAACGAGCGATACAAGGATGCGGTCGCCCGCCACCGTGCCCAGTTTCCGGACTCGCAGTCTTCGTTGCAGTCTGAACGGTTCAGCAATTTGATTCAGTGCCTTATCGCTATGGCTCGCAGTGATACCAGCGGGGAGATCGACGCTGACATCCAGGTCGCCCTAGCCGTGCTGCTAAACACAAATGAGGTACGGAAATATTCTGAACTGCGGAGTGATCTCCCACTTTGTTTTGGTCGACGACTGACGGTCCACCGTGATGATCAGGAGTTTGACAAAGCTCACGATTGTTTCAGGACGGCTTTAGCTGTTCGGCCTGACGTAGGTGTCTTCAGATTGCACCTGTCAATGGTCTGCGCTAAAATGAAGGGCACAGGACTGGCTGCTCTACAACAGAGCCGGTGCAACTCTAGCCAACAACGGGCGGCCTGAGGAAGCGTTGCAGTTTTACTACCGGGCGCTTGAACTAAATCCAGCATACATCCGTGCGAGGTAAACTTCACTCCACCGATGCTCGAGAAGGTTATTAATCAAGGGGGATGTAGGTTCAACCTAGGCATTTCTTGCATCAATCTCCGGGTAAGGCTGCATGCCTCCATGGAAGGGTTCCCTAACTCATTTCAAACGTTCCAGCGCTATGAGGAGGCGGCTCAGCATATATTAGACGCCCTGGTGCTCCAAGACAGCGACAGCGTCTATGACCAGCCAGGCGCCGACAAGCGCGGTATCACGTCCTCGGCGTTGTGGGAGAGTCTCAAGACGACGTGCTTGCACATGCAGCGTATCGATTTAGCGACGCTGTGCGAGCGCCATGATCTTGAAGGTCAGCAGGTCTGCTTTCTTCCATTGGGGTACCACCGCTCATGACTTCACCTTAGGTTTCCGAGCTGCGTTTCAAGAGTGATGCAGTCTCCACGGACAATAACTCAAAGCGTCCCCTGCGATGTACAATTTTCGATGCCATATGTATTCATACATCCAATAGCTGTGATAGTTCCATACCTCAGTCATTATGCATGGACATCTAGCCCGAGGTTCCTCGCACCTTCCCGTACACGTCGCAGCTCTACCGGAGTCCCAGACGTTCGTCCCTAGACATGGCCTCTCTTTGTCTTCTAGCATCTTCAGCGGCCACGTATGGTTGGCCTGAATGAGATTTCCTGTGGCCAGCCTTTGCAGTGGTCATTTTGGCGACCACGACGCGCTTCTTCATCATCATATCCCGGACGTCCTGCACGTCAGCATCGGTCATGATGATGCAGGTAGGGTCGCGTCGGATCATCGTAGGCAGACAATGCGAAGAGGTTTAGGAACGAGAGAATTGTGGCACGAACAAAGACGAGGCTGATGAGCAAGCCGCACAATGCGGATGCGCGTGTGTAGCTGCGGCGCGGTCAGCGCTAACGTGTCATAAACAGGCATACACCTTCCTCGGCTTCGCTGCAACCAACGTTCACCTCCATTACACTCCCTTTGCTCCCTGACGCGCTTGACTGCCCGCTGCAATGGACACTCTCATTCGTGTTACCGACACTATCAAGTCTTTCAGAGTGCGTCCTCCTCCCGCAGCATCAAGGCTCTCACGTTTACATCCGAACGTTAGGAAACGAGACTGAGTGCTCTGAGACCGCCGCAAGAATTCTTCGACTTCAACCGTATTTCAAGACCAGCAGATTTGAACACTTCAATATCAGTATGTCTTCCCAGTATGACTTCGTAAGTCCCCCGGCTGACCGTGACGTGTAGCGGATATCATACAACACGCGCTACTTCTCTGGTGTGTAGCATTATAAGGGACTGGCGGAACGATGCTAAAGAGCGCTATGGAACAGGCAACTATGGCTTGATAGTTGCAGTTCTGGCTGTATACGCCGTGTGCGTTAATTCGTACCGTTTCGCTGTGACACGGCTACTGACATATATCACTTTATACAGCATATCCAACCCTCTCCTCCTCATCTCCCTTGCCTTCCTCGTCGGTGGTTTCGCCGCGATCAACAAGTTTGGTGCGTATTCTGCGCATACATCGTGTCCCTCGACATGTATTGACAACCTGAAATGCAGGAGCCGACCCAGTTACGATGGGCGACCGTGTCATCACCCAGAAGACCCTCTATACCGTCCTATTCTGCATTGGCGTTCCTTTACTATGGTGGTCATCGCCGCTCGGCACTTTCTTCTGGTTGGTCGGCGCCTCAGGATTCTTGATTGTTGGCCATGCAGCGATCATGGAGCCTGGCGTTGAGAGCGAGTACGCTTCCGTGCAGGACGCCGTGTAAAGCAGAATCGCAAAACAATGTACCACTGGACAATCGATTGGACCAAGGACTAGATTCGGGTTTTATGATATAGCTTTCGTCTGTCCCTGGGTAGCGCATATCGTAGGGTCGGCGCTACAATTGACCGTCGAGGTTTCGAATCCCTACCATCTGTCATGTCATGATTCCTATACTTTTTATCCATAAATGACCTGCAGACATGGGGACATTATGGTACACTAGGGCGATAGCGATAACATAGCGAGGAGACGATAGCGGACCGAATGTGTAAGTCCCCGTCAAACAACGGGGATTTCCAGCTGTGGATAAAGTGAGTATTAAGGGGAGCATGCAAAGTGAATGATAATAGGAATGTGAATATACACGGTTCATAGAAGTGGTAGCCATTGCCCTGAATCAAGCGATATCAGCAAGGAATATGCGCACGGAATAAGGGGCCTCGCACCTATGACCATGCTGGGCAAATCGAAGATGTCCCTCCGAATCGAAAAACAGAATGTACAAGGGACGGGGGCACCTGAAGGCTTCAGCAAGACACAATGCGAATACACGGACTGCGTGGTGTTTTCGAAGGCGTGAGAGGCGAAGTTCTCCCAGTACTCAACGACTGATTGATTCTCGAAGAGCTGCAACGAAATGCTGTGAATGCTGTGCTATTCACCTGATGGTGGCGAACGTTACCTCATAGATGTATTTTTTGCCTCTCACTAGTTCCTCCCGGTCCCACTCTGTAAGCATACAGAACTCCGACCCCGCTAGGCAGATTTCTCCCGTTCGACGCCAGACGACGGTGGGCGTACCGTTGAAAGAGATCAGTTTCTCAAGTTCCTGAAGCGGACATCAGCGGGTTTGAAGCGCTGTATAAAAATGCGACCCACCACCAACGATCGCTGGAAGGACTTCTCTACAAACACCTCGTCCTCTTCGGACAGGGGCATCTGCAGGGCGATGAGGGACGGCCTGATGATAGCCAGCGCCCGCACGATACGGAGGACATCGTTCTTCTCGAAACTTGTATGGCGAATGCATATAACAACGCAACACCGTCAGAGCTTTATCCCAGAAGACAACAGCTAGCAGAGGGGAAAGACAAACCACAATCTTAGCAGCAGCATACGCACCGGGTTGGCAAGTGTTTCATGAGGAAGTGGTACCCTTCGGTGTAGTCATAGGGGGCAGTGACGGTCTTGTACACGTCGTCCTTCCGTGGTCGCCCAAGCGCCGCTGGAGTGTCAGACCTCGAGGTGTCGGTACTGGGGGAGTCGACAGATATGGGAGGGGAGATATGGCTATCTTCGGTGTCTTTGGAGGTACCAGCATATATCGAATCTGAAACGGTGGGCGTCGAGGACGATCGTTCCTGCAGAGTGAAGCGAGACTGGTATTCTTGCAGTGACGGAGTCCTTTCGAAGGACTGGAGGGGATAGGCATTTTGTGCGGTTTGAGAGGGCTGCTCCTCTGACACTTGGCCCGCGGTCGGATAGGTTAGGGTCATGTAGTTCGGCGGCAAGCTGGAGTCGGGCTTTAACGTCGTCTCGGCGGGCGTAATCGCAAGAGGCGAATCAACATACGTTGACGTCGAAGAAATATAATCGTCAGCGGGTCCTCCTAACGAGGTGCTCGTCGTATATTGCGTAGGGGAGTCTGCAGTGAAGGTGGGGGTAAGGGGTTCGTTTGGCCAGGAAGCACTGGAAAACGGCGGGCTAGTATCCGACTCGGGACTCGAGCCCAGTATTTGAGAAAGGATGGAATACTCCAAATTAGCTGCTTCGGAGACGAAGGAGTAATTTGGATTAAATGTTAGGTCGAACATGGGGTCGTTGGCGAGGAACGGCTCCGCTAACGTCCGTAATGATCAGCGCGCGCGATGTCCTGGAGAGGAATTTGGATAATTACAGGTGGTCAATGGTGCTGGTTCGGCCTCCTTGGGCGGGGCAGGGGGTGGGGTAGACTTTCGTCTCTTAACAGCTTCTGTCGCGTGACTACATGAATACCGGGCGACATTGTATGAAGAGGCAATCGTCATCATACCTAGTTCATCATCTTCCAATAGATACTTCGCCTTCTTTCTGATCCCTTCTGTGCAGTTGGCTGCCATACCCCGCCTGACGCACCGTTGACATGGTCGAGCTGGGACGAAAGCGGCCGCATTAAATCCATACGTTCTGGCATCGCAAGTACCCAGCAGACTCACAGTCGTCGCAGGTCAAGTGCGCTTTCTGGCAGAGCAAGCAAGCGCGGTTGGCTTTCTTCTTCTTCGGACCATCTCGACTCCTCGAGGCTGAAGATAACGACGGCGTGCCACCGTCATCGGGCGTTTCCGTGCGCTTGCGCCGACCGTTGCAGGATCCGGACTTCTTTTTCGAGGGGTTGGCAGAGGACGAGCGCTCCTCCGAGTCGCGAAAATTGGGCTGGGAGGGCCCCGCCGCGAACGAAGCGGTCCCGAGCGTGCTTGGCTGTTGCGAGGGGCCCCCGGCTATGGGGCCGCCAGTGAGCTCTGCGGTGCTGATGGCGGTGACGGACATGGCGGCGGCGGGCAGGGCATAAAAGGGACGGCGGCGTCGAGAGGGGGGACGGTAGGGGGCGCAGACGTCGCTTGTTATGTGGCAGATCGACTGGGCAGGTGCTCTCACCGCTGACGGCGGGGCGGTCTACAGTTTTCCCTTTCTGGCGATGGGCCACCGTCGTCGGCACGTGCGGCAGTCCCCGGCGGAGGGTCTCCCGGTCCGCCGGCATCGGCTAATTCGTTGTGACGTCGTAAATTACTCACTCTCCCTTGCATGCCTCCTCCTGCCCGAGGCTCAGGGCGTCTCCTGACTTGCCTGGCCAGCGCGATAGGGAAGGACGCTGCTGCCAGGGAACTGCGCTGGATGCAGCAGGCGCTCGCGCGCGGTTTGCCCGACCACGTCCCGAAGATGAATCTGGACGCGATGGTCGTGCGCCGGGCGCGAGGAGAGCCGCTGCAGTATATCCTCGGTGAGGCTGATTTGCCCTTCGACGGCGGCTCAAATCACGCTGATGCGTGCGGCAGGAACGCAGCCGTTTGGGTCGCTCGACATCTTGACTCGGCCGCCGGTCCTCATTCCGAGGCCAGAGACCGAATTCTGGACGATCAAACTGTCCGAGATCCTCGTCCCTCCAGCAGGCCGCCGCGTCTCGCTATTGGACCTTTGTACAGGTATCTCTCTATGAGCCTGGGCACCCATCATCTATCCTATCTTATTATCCCGACATTAATAGGTTCCGGCTGTATACCGCTCCTTCTTTGCCGCCTCTGGCCGTCTGGAAGCGTTCGTGCGGTCGGGCTGGATATCTCCCATGAAGCCGTGCAGCTTGCAAGTGATAATGCACTTGCAGCGGGTATCCCGGCTGCCTCTGACGCTGCTAACAGCGGCGAGAATACGTTTACGCCTGTTCTAGGAGACATCTTTGCTTCCGCAACGTGGACCTCGCCGCTTCTGCAGGCTCCGTTTGACGTTATCACGTCCAACCCGCCTTATATATCAAGGGAAGATTACGGTAAATTATCCCTCTCGGTCAAGGACTACGAGGATCCTCGTGCTCTATTAGGCGACCTTCCGGATTCAGAGGAGCAGCGCGGCCTGTCCTTCTATCATCGCATTGCGCAACTAATTTCGGACAAGCGGTTACTCAAGCCGGGTGGGCTCCTCGCCTTCGAAGTGGGAGAAAAGCAGGCAGGCGACGTTCGGAGAATCGTCCAAGATAAAGCAGGTATACGAGATGCCGAAATATGGCGGGACCCATGGGGAAAAGAGCGTGTGGTAATAGGCCGCTCATGATAATGACTTGTGTTACTCTTCAAATTCTGAATGCTATTCCAGGCTCACACAAAAATATGCTGTCTATTTATGCCCCTCTGCTCGAGCGTACGGCGTCCACCGAGTATCTGAATAAACCCTAACCCGACTGTACTGTCAGTGCATTGTATTGTTCCTAGGTTTATTACGCTTCTCGGGTCTTGCGATACAGTCCCCCCGGATCAGAGAAACCTTTCAGACAGCTAGAAGCTGTATATCTTCCACATTTATAAGCCATGGGCTTGATGGGCTTTTGATCTGACCGACTCCTGATACACTGCTCTTGGATCTAATGAGTTTTCGGTGGTTTTGCACAGCGTGCTCGTCAAGCGCTGAATTGTAGAAGTCTGAACTTTGCCTGAACTGGTAGAACATCGGACATCCGGCATTCCAAGATCACCGATGCTCCCAACCAGGCCGTGATTGTCATTTGTATCGCTGTGCTGCTAAAAGTATTCAATCATATTTCCACGTTTCCCTAGGCATGACCGTGCATGGACGAACATCTTCGCCGCAGTGCAACGCGGGAGACCAGCCCGCAGCACTGCTCGCACAGCAGCCACAGGAACCGGAAAGCCACCCACGTGGCGTCCGAGAGCCTCCCGATCGGATCTTCGGACAGAATCACGCAAGATCTCACCATCGCAGATCTACCAAACGTCTTTGCTACTCAGACCCGGTCCACTTAATTTTTGTGGCATTTTGTGGCTGGCTGAGCTCCCGACGCAACATTCAGGATGGCTGCTCACGGGATGACATCGATTGAGACCGACGGCGACAGCATCAAGATCGTCAACCAGCTGCTGCTGCCCCACACCACGGAATGGATCGAGGTCAACACGGTCGAGGAGGCGCACGATGCGATCAAGTCCATGAAGGCTGGTAAACTCATTCTTCGTGTCATTCAAGCTTTACTGACGCATGGACGGAATGGCTGCATGCTTTAGATCCGGGGAGCGCCCGCCATAGCATCCCTGGCAGCCCTCTCGCTCGCATCGCATCTATCCAGAGCCCTGAAATCTTCCCCACCACCCGACTTCCTCGCTTCCCCCGAGTCGCTCCGCGCACACGTCGAGCCAATGTTGGCCTTCCTGTACACCGCGCGCCCGACCGCCGTGAACCTCGGTGCCGCGACACGGCGCCTAACGAAGACCCTCCACGCTTCGATCGCGGAGGGGAAGAACGTCCGAGCGGTCGCGGAGGATCTCATCGCGGAGGGCAGGAAGGTTGCGGACGAGGACGTCGGGAGGAACAAACAGATGTCGAAGAATGGCGGGGAGTGGCTGATTGAGCAGGTGAAGGCGAGAGGAGGTACCGGGGAGGGGCTGAACATCCTTACGGTGTGCAATACAGGGTCTCTGGCGACTTCGGTATGTGGCCATGAAATTCCAGGAGTTCCGTGGCCCACATAGCGTCTAGGGATACGGCACAGCTCTCGGGCTCATCACTTACTTGCACGAAACTGGTAAACTAAACAAAGCCTACTACACACAGTCCACGCCATACCACCAGGGATCACGGTGAGTTGCAGCATAATTGCCCTAGAAGCCATCGGTCTTATGTCAGTCCCGACGCGTGACCGCACAGGCTCACCGCCTTGGAACTGCAAACACTGAAAATTCCCTCCGTGATGATCTGCGACACCATGGTCGGGTCGCTGTTCCAACATCACGATATCCATGCGGTCGGTAAGCGCCTCCCCACTTTCTGATTCCCCGCAACGGAATGGTGTTGACATGCCTCCGAAGTCGTCGGTGCGGACCGAATTGTAAGAAATGGGGACACAGCAAACAAAGTGAGTTATTATCGTATGTCACGATTATCGATTTGGAGCGCTGAATTGCGTACGTCTATTCAGATTGGTACATACAACGCCGCGGTCCTCGCCGCACGTCACAAAATCCCGTTCATCGTAATCGGGCCCGTCAGCACCGTCGACCTGGACGTCGCCGATGGCTCCGGGTATGTCTCCGTCCCACATATCCTCTCGCCCAACCCTAACAGGCAATACCGCAAGGATCCCCATCGAACACCGCCCGCCCATCGAAGCGTGCGTCGTCCGCGGCGCGCTGTACCCCTTCTCGGTGAATGCGCAGGGGCAGAAGGAGCAGGCCGCAGTGATGATCACGCCGGAGGGGCTCGAGGGGGTGTATAACCCGAGCTTTGATGTCACCCCCGCGGAGCTCATTAGTGCGGTGGTTACGGAGAAGGGGGTCGCGGTGAAGAAGGAGGGGGAAAAGGAGTTCGATTTGAGTGGGGTTGTGTAATGCTTTGGATAGAGGGAATATGGTAGAAATATATCCAGGCAGTTTGTTCAGCTATTGCAGTAGCTGTGAATAGTAATACTAGTCCGCGGGCGAAACATGATGGCATAGCCTGCGGATATCGATGAGGTTCTGTTTCTAGGGATTTCTGCCTCCGTTTACTAGGTCCTAGACATTTCGGAGTACAGAAATTGTTTCATGTTCTCAAAATTCTAGCAGGCTTCAGGCCCTGTATAAGGATGACCAGCCGTACCGGGTATATCCGGCCCGGGAACTCCGAGTTGCCACACTCGCGATCTGCGTCAAAACTTAGAAACTTGACGCAAGGTACTTACGATATACTGCACCATTCAGTACGACACAAGTCTCCGGTCCAACCAACGAGACCCATTTAGTCGGTGAATTTCAGGTTCGGGACCCGCAAGTGCTAGCGGACCGCCAGTTCCCCGGGCCTCCGAGTCTCCCTCGTTCAAGTTCGAAGGCTGAAACCACTTTGGGCGTCGGCAGGTTTGGCCAGGGGGAACTAGTACCGTTGTTTGACGCTGATTCATAATCTGTCGAACTTGGTTTAGCAAGATGGTCGACTCGCAAAATTTTCCCGTGGACCGGTTCTTTGTAGTAGCTGTTCATGGTGGCGCTGGCTATCACGACCCCTCCCAGGATAGCCAAGTTAAGACAGCCATGCGTCTGTGGGTATCCCAGTGGGATTCTACATCGTCCATCTGTATGTGGATGATGGTTTTGTGCTAGCGCATGCGCTGCAGCTCTCGACAAGCTACGAAACGACAATGGTACGGCAGTGGATGCCGTCGAAAAGGCTATATGCGTCCTAGAGGATGATGAATGCTTGAATGCAGGTTAGACCTCATCCGTTATATTACTATGTGATGGTCACTAGAGCTATGGATGCTAACATAGGCTATGGTTCAAACCTCACCGTGGACGGCCAAGTCGAGTGCGATGCTGCCGTCATGGACGGAAGAGACGGTTCTTTTGGCAGCGTCGGCGCAGTCCCAGGTAAGTATGCCCATCCAGGCTACCTCCCAGACAGTCGAAGAAATATTCTACTCCCGGAGTGGTCTAGGCGTGAAAAACCCAATCCGTGCTGCCCGTGCTGTAATGGACTATTCCAAGCGTCCTGACAGACTGGGCCGAATTCCTCCCATGTCCGTACATGTCCAGGCTCGAACACCGAGACTTGCTTGAAGTCACCTGATGCCGTTCCCGTCTGCCACAGGACCCTGGTTTCTCTCGGTGCACGGCAGTTCGCCGGCTCCACTGGGTGCGAAGTCGTGTCGCCGGAAATACTGACAAGTCCGAAAGCGAAGAAAGAGTGGCAGAGGTGGAAAACTCGTCTAGATGATCCCGCAGATAATATCACACCAATGTTAAGGGAATCTATCGAAGATATCCACCAGCGGCAGGATACGGTAGGTGCGGTGGTATTAGATGCAGCAGGACATCTTGCCGGCGGCGTATCCAGGTGTGTTCGCTTCGCCAAACATGAACTAATCTGACTAGCATGTAATAATTGGCCCTGCAGTGGAGGTCTGCTGCTGAAGTATCCTGGCCGTATCGGAGAGGTGAGCCCTGAGTCATCTCACGTAGCCCCGTGCATTATAATCCTCCAGGCCGCCGTGTTTGGTGCAGGATGTTGGGCTCAGAACATGTCCACCGATCGCACAACTAACGGGATGGCATGCAGTATATCTGGTCAGTCAATGCTTCTGAATTCAATAGGAGTTGCATTTTTACCGCGGGACCCACTATCAGGTTCGGGAGAATACATCATACAATCAACTATGGCCCAGTCTTTGTGGCGCGAATATCACAAGTCGACAGAAGGCGACGTGCATCGCCTTCTGAAAGATGTTCTTACCAAATTCCGAGGTGCGTTCAATGTCCTGTTCATGGAAGAGCTTGTCCAAATCAGTCCCGGCATTCCGCTGCCCGTCCCAAGAGGACTGCCGCTGCCGAGAAGACCGAGACACCGAGCGGAGCGCAGGGGTTCTCATGCTGACGTTGGAGGCGGATGAGCCTGGCATATCGCCCATTCGTAGGTTTCGTCCATGAACTGATTGCCTTCCTCACGGCATCATTATCCCGCCAGCGCGGTTATGGTGCGGTTTTACAGCAGATAGTATGGCTATTGCATATGCGACGTCAGCGGATCCAAAGCCAAAGGTTGGGTGCAGTCTGCCGCGAGTTGTCAGGAGCGCTCGACTTATCCACGTCTCCGCCAGGCAAAAATCTTTCGCCGGCCGGCAGCCTCCAGTAATTCTGAAATTGTCATCACCGCCATATCTTTATTAAAAAGTTGAAGGAGCAGAGGGACTTATCACAGACCGTACTCCAGTAAGTTCGCCCACTGCAATGTCTATCAGACGCCCAGTCCAATAACTTGGCATGCATCCGTGGGGAGCAGTATGCTATCGCTTAGGTGTAACGGTTTAACTGTGTGGGTCGGCGAAACAAAATATGTCCTGTAGCTCGGCTCGATTTCGGAGGTGCTCAGGCTGGAGAGCCCCCTTGTCATGTCAATCATGAATGAGACACCGAGAGTGTCCGTAATTTTAAGGCAAGAGAGGGTAGGATGAAATGGCAGGGGAATATGACCAAGATGGTATGCACCTTACCAATTCCTGTTCAGAGCCAGAGCATTGTTCATTTCTTAATGTGCTCACTGGCAAGATCGCGAGGCGTGATCACCTGGTGGGATTGCCTGGTCCCTAAAGGAGCGCCATGCTGCAGCGTCTTAACACTAACAGAGATTGTGACCGTCACTGAGAACGGATCCAGAAGTGTTAAAATGTAATAACCGTGGCGGTATGTCGACATAAAGTCGGGCCTGGATCCATGTATACTTGTAAAGACCGCAAACCAAGGGAGAGTGGGATCACAGATTCACCCCTCGAAGAAACTGCTGGTAGGGCCATCAGTGCCTATACATGTATTTAGACTTCAGAACTGCATGGATGATAGCTTCAGAGCCGAGGAAATGTCAATTGAAGGTCTGAAAACATACTGTGTACATAGAGGATGCAGAAACCCCACAATGAAAGGAAAAGAAGGTACATAGTAACGAAGGTGGGGGTAGCAGAACGAATAAAGCAAAGTTGCTATGCCATTCCTAAGCACTCTGAAGCAATGTTGACGCATCCACGCACTTTGAGTGCTGAGTGCTCATTAATCAATTGCAATCATTGAAAAAGTGCGTCATTCCTCTGTCAAATTGATAAGACGCGACAAAAGCTAGTGATATACATACTGAGTACAAGGGGAAAAGCGATGAAAGTATATCATGGTCTGCTGACCCGGTGACCCCCCCACCAACAGAACAGGTTGGAAACACGGGCGACAGCAGTACATGTCCGTCCACCGGTGCTGCCTCACCATGCGAACCCGCAGAGATGAGAGACTCGTTATCAACGTGGAGTGCTGGGTCCTCTTGTATGAGGTGTAGACGGCGCTGTTTTCAGCGCACCGTTTGCTGGTTTGAGGCCAGGTGGCCGTGATGCGTTGAGGCGTTGCAGAGTTTTGATCGGGAATTTCGTTCTTTTTGGACGCCCGCGGTCAATTCTCGGTTTCCCAAATGTTTAGGCAGAGGATATCAACGCACCTGCATGTAGAACAGACAGGGACGGGGGCGCAGAATACTGTAGATGAAGAGATAGTAATCAGAATATTCAGGATCGCTCCCACAACGATTGGTGACCTACTCGATAGGCATACAGAACAGACAAAGCCGATGTCGACGATGTTCTTGTGGCAGAAGCAAGCCGCCCGGAAGTCTATCTTGTCTTGCGTAGGAACTGTCATCAACTTTCGCAGAGCCGGCGAGGGCATATGAGACATCTCGGATGTACTCGGTTGTGAGCCTTTATCGCGCAACCAATTGAAGACACGTACAATGAGGTGCTGCAAGAGAGCGTCTCGACGGTCCAAGTAGATGTAGGACCCACCAGTCAGGTGCGCTGCTTGTTCTAGAAATACAGTATCTGGGCCATAAACCTTACAAACGTCAATCACGACTTTCTGTGCCGTTGCACAGGTGTTTGTTAGGCTAACACTCATCCAGTGAGGTCAATACCGCTTACCAGCTTCTGTGCTGAGAAGATAGAGTTCATGATGGGGATATATGAAGTTGATAAGTCTGGAGATACTGAGAGGACGAGGATCCGTGGATCTGGAAGCGTTGTTGGATCCTCGGATGTTGTCCCGCTGGATTGGGAGGCCGACGGATGGATGATGCGGTTTATATCTAGAAAGGACGACGCTCAATTCCTGGGCTATTGACTGCAAAGACCCCGCTCGGTACTAACAACATAGAGCCTTCGTGAGAGCACCAACAAGTCCGATAGGCGCTACCAGAGGTTCAGCCAGTGTACTAGTCAGGTAAGTGCTGGCCAACCTTCTTCTTCACTTTGATCAAGTGATTCTAGTTCTTCCTCTATGCGTGTCACTACTCTGGAATCGACCACCTGGAAGGGGTGGTACATATTTGGATTAACATTTTCTGTGTTGTCTGCTTCTGGATCGGTGGATGAGTATAGCATCACGCTATATCCTCCACCTCAGTCAGATGCCCAGTGCAGTAGGCAAATCTAAAGGGCAAACCTCTTGCTGGGGAATGCGCCGAACACAGCAAGCGTATTCTCATGTTTTGAGGCGATGTGTAAATTTAGGAATGCAAGTAGTTGGGAAAGAAACGACCTCAATGACAAGGGATGCGGATTTTCGGGAAGCGAGGAGAGATGCCATTGACTCGGCGACAAGTCGAGGATAACAGATATATGAGACGGTTTATCCATGGCAAGGACGAGTTCTTTGTGGCAGACACGTCCTGCTAAGCGGTGGCGCTGAGAAGGTCTTACATTCCAAATATTTTACTCATTACATAACCCCTACCACTGCATAACCCCAGCACCAGGAATTACTCCCGCTCAACGACGAAACTTCGATGAAGGGCGGCGGAAAGAGAGGCAATAATAGGACCGGCTTCATCGTCAGACGGCATGTGAAGAGAGCTCATTAGACAATCTTGGCATCCTCCTTGCGGCGGTGGCGGACAGGTCTCCGATCGAAGTCTCCGCGAGGCCCCTGACGTTTCCGAGAAAGTGACTGCGGTGCTGCACACCACAGCGAACGGTCTAAGCCACCGAAGGCCAGGCGAGAGTGTCAAAAAGGTATCGACTCTAAGAGGCGGAAAGACGAAATTGGTATGAGAACCAGGATCCTCCAGAGCGAGCGCGGCGGACATGGAGGAAAAACAATGTGAGCGGCGACCGCGAGGCTGCGAGTCAGGGGGCGCGACTCGTGACGGTCACATCACGCTCGGTCCTGAGCGCCTGTGGGCAACGTTGCCGGCGACGATGACGGCCGGACCCAATACGTCAGCGGGTATTGCTTTTACAGCGGCTAGGCCGTGAGCTGCGAACAGGCCCATAGCCAGCCCGCGTTACAGCCGATAAGGAGACCCGTGAGCCCATCATGATAGAAGGAAAGTCACACAACAGTAAAGGATAGCCCGAAACAGTCGTCAATGATGCTCGAATTCCTCAACGGTGGCCGTGACGGAGCGCATATTGGCGCCGTTTATGGGCGCAGCGTACTGGACGTGGGCAACAAAAGGTTGTCTACGAGACCGCCGGAAACAACGTGTAATTGTTCAATTGAGAAAACGAGGCCAGCCACCCTCGAATCGGAGTTCGTCAAGCGCGGCGACGACGGCGAGTGGCCCGGCGTTGCCCGTGGCGATGGCCACGCGTGTGAATCTACTGTGGGCAGCATCTGCCGTCTCCGTGGCGCTCATCGCCCAGGCCTTGCCCCCATCTCTTCTCTTCCCCCTTCCCACCGCCCTCGACGTGTCCCTCTTCCCTCGTCGTCCTCCACGATAGCGCTCAAGTGCCGGCTACTACGATGCTCGGCGACGAACACGACACCATGATGCTCTCTCCAGCTGACCATGGCACCTCATACTTGAAGGGTACAAGTGATGTTGGCGAGAATATGGACATCGACTCCGACTCCGACAGTTACAACAGGGACGCAGACGCAGACGCGGACGCGGAGGGTGAGGAAGAGGATCCCACTCCGCCCACCTATCAGTCTCGAGCAGGCTCGACCACCTATGCCAGGAGCGCGGTATGTGCCACTCCTTTGATGCACTCGTGTGGCGCGTTGACCATCTACCTGGGCTTAGACCAAGGCTGAGGAATTGTCGGTAGGTGTACTATGCATTCATGTTGTTCCTATGCATATACGTCTTGACAGGACTTCGATGATCCTGCTGACGACGAAGAAGAAGACGAGGATGACGGGTCCTACGCTGATGAAGAGTACGGAGCGAAGAAACAGCCCAAGAAGAAAAAGAAGCAACCACCTGCCATGAAACCCCGAGGTATGTAATAACGTTGTTAATGGTAGATTGCTCTAAGTCTCGTCTCAGTTGTGACGCGCCACGAATCTTCTGACTCTGATTCTGACTACGGGTCGCGGTCGAAGAAGAAGAAGCGGCCCAGGGTATCTGAAGAAGTCCGGATTTCCAGTCGGGGCAACAGGATCCCTAACTACATCGACGATGTTCAGGACTATGCTCAGTACGACGAAGACGACGCAGAAACGTACAAGGGCGAGGCAAGTGGCCAGTACCAGGAAGAAGACGAGATTGAAGCCGTCCTCGGGCATTCTCGAGAAGAAGGTCGCGAGGACGACCCTGAAGATCTTTGGTACGATAACATTGTAAGAATAGTCGTCTTACGTGCTCCTGCCGCAGTTAACTAACAGCCTCTAAATTCCAGCGTTATCATATCAAGTGGAAGAATTTTTCCCACTTGCACAATACCGATGAGACGTACGAGTTTCTCAAGCGCTACAGAGGTCTCAAGAGAGTGGATAACTATATCAAGCAGTACAAGCAGTATCAGCAGAGACTCGAGACACCAGGTCTATCGAGAGAGGATGCTGAAGCTCTCATGCTCGACCGCGAACGGAACAAGGAAGAGATCGAGACTTACAAGATCCCCGAACGCATAGTCGCTCAGCGCCAGAAGGAAAGGACCATCGAGTATTTCGTGAAGTGGACCGGACTCAACTATGAACACTGCACTTGGGAATCGCACGATACTATTCGCAACATCGCCCCCGATAAGATTGAAGCCTACCGAAAGAGGGAGGAAGAGGCTCTATTCCCGTATAAGAGCGTCGTGTACGCACGCGACAGGCGACCTCACTATGACAGGCTGGAGAAGCAGCCGGATTACATTACGGCGACCGGCGGAGAGTTGAAAGACTTCCAGCTGACGGGGCTTAATTGGCTCGCCTACCTCTGGAGCAAGGGGGAGAATGGTATTCTTGCAGATGAGATGGGTCTCGGCAAGGTGATTTTTCTCGTAGAACCTCATGCAAGTGGGAATGCTCATAAAATCTGGTCAGACTGTCCAAACCGTATCGTTTGTTTCCTGGTTATTCCACTCCATGCAGCAATATGGGCCTTTCCTGGTCATAGTCCCTCTATCGACCATCACTTCATGGCAGCACCAGTTTGCCACTTGGGCCCCTGATCTGAACGTCATCACGTACATTGGTACGGCTGCAGCTCGAGAAGTCATCAGGACATATGAATTCGGGCCCTCGAATAAGAAGTTGAAAATGAATGTGCTTCTTACGACTTACGAATTGACACTGCGTGATGCGAAGGAACTTGGCGAGATCAAGTGGCAACTGCTGGCCGTCGACGAGGTAATTCGGAGTCGAACGTGCCCTGTCTTCGATTCCTGATAGATTGTTTGTAGGCACACCGCTTGAAGAACTCGGAAAGCCAGTTGTATGAAGCATTGAGAACATTTCCGGCGGCGGCAAAACTGCTCATTACAGGTACACCACTGCAAAACAATGTCAAAGGCATGTTGCCGGTTTGGTAGCTTGAAGGAGATAGCTGACGGCATGGTGCAGAACTCTTGTCGCTGATGCACTTCCTCATGCCTGAGAGATGTAAGTAAAGGTATAGCAAGTCCTATTTCCGGTGTTCTGACCGCTGTCTGTCTCCGTAGTTGCCTTGACCAATGAGTTCGACCTGAATGACGAGGATCACGAGGCAAAGATCCAGGAGTTGCACAAGCAGTTGGAATCGCTGATGCTGCGGCGCCTCAAGAAAGACGTCCTGTCGTCCTTGCCGACGAAGAGCGAGCGTATTCTGCGGGTGGAAATGTCTGCATTGCAGACGCATTTCTATAAGAATATCTTGACAAAGGTACGTTTGTTGGCCATGTCCACTCGTATGCGTCCTTACCGCGGCACAAATCAGAACTTCCAAGGCCTTGTCAAGAGTTCACATGGTAATACCAATATCAGTCTTCTCAATATCGGTACGTGACCCCCCACCAGTCGCTGCGCAGTCAGGTTATGACGTTTTTCTACTAGCTATGGAGTTGAAGAAAGCCGCAAATCATCCGTACTTGTTTGAGGGCGCCGAGCCGCAGACCGATAACGCGGAGGAGACACTGAAGGGACTTATCATGAGCAGCGGTAAGATGGTGCTGCTCGATAAATTGTTGCACAGGCTTCGTCAAGACGGGCATCGCGTTTTGATATTCAGTCAGATGGTCCGAATGCTGGATATCCTCAGCGATTATATGAGTTTGCGCGGCTATCAGCACCAGCGTCTTGACGGCATGGTCTCCTCGGACGCTAGAAAAAAGTCCATTGCGCACTTCAACGCGCCAAATTCGCCAGACTTTGCCTTCCTACTTTCAACGCGTGCTGGCGGCCTGGGTATCAACTTGGAGACTGCGGATACTGTGATCATATTCGATGTTGGTGTAATTTCGGCAGACTTCCTCCTGACACATGCTTACCGACAAGTTACAGAGCGACTGGAATCCGCAGAACGACCTGCAAGCCATGGCGCGTGCTCATCGTATCGGTCAGAAGTCGCATGTCAACGTCTACCGATTCGTAAGTAAGGACACAATGGAAGAGGACGTCCTGGAGCGGGCAAAGAAGAAGATGGTGCTGGAGTATGCCAGTACGTTGTGTCTGAAACTGATGCCGCCACGGTCTTCGATGCTTACGGTTTGTTCAGTTATCAACCAGATGGATACATCTCAAGCACATCTTAGCGGGAGGGCTCCAACCAAAGACAGTACGAAGCCCGACAACCTGAGCAAGGAAGAACTTACCGCCGTCCTGAAGTATGGTGCGCAGAAAATGTAAGTTAAAATCACTGCAAGTAAGGAAGCCTCTCACTCTCGTACAGGTTCGACAAGGATGATACAACTCAGAACAAGAAGCTTGATGAGATGGACCTTGACGACATATTGAACCGTGCCGAAGACCATGAAACCATCGCAACAGGGTCAGGCGGAGGCACCTCCTTAGGAGGTGAAGGTTTCCTTGCGTCATTTGCTGCGGTCAGCGATGTCAAGAACGACATGAGCTGGGAAGATATCATACCTCTTGAAGAGCGCCAAAGGTTTGAGAAAGAGGAAGAAGAACGGAAGGCGGAAGAGCTGACAGCTCAAGAGTTGAAGGATCGGAAACGTGCGCAGCCAGTATCTTATGAGGGTATGGACATCGATCACCCCGCGCCCAATCCTGCGCCGAAGAAGAAGGCGGCCGGGCCAGTCAGGAAGAGCGCAAGCCAGAAGGCCATGGAGCTCAAGGAGCGAGACCTGCGTGTATTGGTCAGAAGCTTGCAGCGTTGGGGCGACATCCGGACGCGATACGATATCATAGTGAGTATTCATTCATATCGGTCCCGAGGCAATGAACTTAAATGCGTTTGACAGGTACAAGAGGCCAAGCTTCAGAATAAGGACAGGGGAATGATTTACGATGTCTCGGACGACATCGTAGACATCTGTCAACGTGCCGTTGACGAGAACAACGCACAGAAGCGAGCGCGCATCGAGGCTGGCGAGACGCTGACAAATGCACAGAAGAGCAAGGCCGTCCTCGTCCAATATCGCAACGTTGGGAATATCAATGCAGAGACTGTAGTCTCGCGGACACGGGACCTCAAGATTCTCTACGACTACATGCAGCGTCAAGAGAACGTCTACGACTGGGAACTTCCTGTCGAGAATATCAGACCTGTACTGAACTGGTCCGGGCGTTGGGGACCCAAGGAAGACGCCATGCTCCTAGTTGGCGCTTACCTCTACGGTTTCGGTAATTGGGAGGCTATGGCTAAGGACCCGCAGCTTGGCTTGGAAGGCAAATTCTTCTTGGAGGAGACAAAGAAGGGCGATGATCAGGCTGGCAGACCAATCCCCAACGCTATACATCTCGTCCGACGAGGAGACTTCCTGCTCGGTGTCCTCAGAGAATATGACGAGAAGCTCCGGACGATCGAGACCAAGTACACCAAGGGCCATCTCAAGTCTGTCACGCCTCCTCCAGTGGCATCAACTTCGTCTGTCAACGGTAGTCTCAAGCGCAGAGCCGACAGTGAGGCCGTGGCGTCCATGGAGGAAGGTACTGCCCGCAAGCGCAAGCGGAGGCCTACTCCAACCTTCACCGACTCAGAGTCCTCTGACGAATGGTGCGTCATAAATATCCAACATCCCGGAACATTAGCTAATTAACCCGTTAGCCCGTCCATGGATGAGGCTGCTACGAAGGAAGAACTGCGTCCAGTCAAGAAGCAGCTTGTAAGTAGCGAATCACCGTCTTGCTTGATTTTCCTAACTGAAGATCGTCACAGAAACAACTCAAGCTGTCTGGCGGCGATATGCCGAGAGACGAGAAGGTTGCCATCTTGAAGGAATCGCTGGCTGCGATAGGTCGTCGCATAGAACACGTGCTCAATACCAAGCAGGCCGCCGGAGAAGACACTGAGCGGTGGCGTAGGCATCTATGGACGTGAGTTTGCCTTCGTTCCACTGTGTATGCCGGTACTAATCTGGGTATGTTCACAGGTTTGTAACGCTGTTCTGGCCGAAGAAAGTCAAGGCGGCGAAGCTGGAGGAGATCCACGCTAAGATGGTGCAGAAGGAGAGTACGACGCGGGCGTCGAGCGAGCAGAGCACGGTGAAGAAGATGCGGCCCAATACGAGCGCGAAGAGCAACGGGCCGGTGTCCAGCAGTTCCTCGAAAGCGAACGGCAAGGCGTACCGGTCGTAACCTTGGACCTATCCTTCCGACTTCCCTGCGTACGCTTATATATGGTTCCACGTTCTCGGTCGATTTGCTGTCGTTTGTCTCCAATCTCGCGTTGCAATTTACACACTGTTTTCATTAGGCACACTTTCACCTTGTAACATACACAGCAGTAATAGCCTCGTCCAATGTACTTTTAACGGGTCCGGGAAACACGGGTTCTCTTTATTACCGGATTATTTGTGTGGATCAAGGGCGTCAAGCTTCCAATTGGATTATGAGCTAGTGATACAAGAAGGCGCAAGTGCGGTGGGTGTGTACAGTAAAGCAAGCAAGGAGATAAGTTACAGTTCCGTATCCACATAATTCGCCATAGGGTCCTCGGTCATCTTCCTCGTCATCCGGTACGCCTCTGCAGAGCGACGAGTCAGGATGTTGCGCGCATAGAGGGGAAACAAAGAACGCACCGAGCTGCTCCTCGGTCACCTCCGCCGTCTCCGCGCCGGGGCGCTTCTTCTTCCCCGCGCGCTCGTCGTCCTCCTCGCCCCGCGTCTTGCGTTTGCGCTCCTCCTGGATCGCGCGCGCGAGCTTCTCGCGGTCGAGCCGCACCTCGCCCTCGCCGACGCGCTCCTTCGAGAACAGGCGCTCCGCGCGGCGCTTGCGCTCGTCCTCCTCTTCTCTCGCGGCCGCGGTGGACGATGAGGATTCGGCGAGGGGCTGGGTGGAGGCGGGGGGCGGCATGGAGGAGGAGGAGGAGGAGGCGAGGAGGGTCTGCGCGGAGGACGCGCGCGCGGCTTCGATGCCGGCTTCGCCGGTGCAGTAGGAGGCGTGGATGGTCGAGTGGCAGCAGGCGAAGCCCCACTGGCCCGTGGAGGGGTCGAACCAGGAGCCCCAGACAGCTGTGTGGTTGTTGATGTACACTGCAGGCGATGTGTTAGTGTACGAGCACAGATATGCAGAGGAATGCAAAGGGGCGCACCATCCTCGGCGTACTTTGACCGCGCCTTCGCGCGCTCGCGCCCCTTGACGACCTGCCCCGTGCGCGAGTACTCGACGTACTCCTCCGTCTGGCCCTGCAGCAGCTCCTTCGGCGCCGTCTCCAGGTACTGCTCGCCGCCGTACTTGCTGAGAATGCTGCTCTTCGTAGTGCCCTTCAATTCCTCTTTCTTCTTCTTGTACTCCTTGTGCAGGAGCTCGCCGGCGGTCGGGTTCGCGTTGAGGTGCACCTCGGAGCCGTGGTTCTGCGACTGCCACGCGAAGAGCTGCAGGTTCTGCATCTCGGGGGCTTCGCCTGTGTGCCGCGTGAAGTTCTCACCAGCGAATTTGGCCTGCGGTACAAGGGGTTAGGGTAAAACATACGAAGCAGGGAGAGGGACGGCACCTCCTCAGGAGATATGTGCTTGATAGGCGCGTCGCGCATGGATCGGGTCTTGGGATCATAGTAGGCGGAGGAGGGGTCGAGGTTGAGCAGGTACTTGGCCGTGTCCTCGCGGATACGCAGATTGCGGACGGTAATACGCGTCTTGGTGTCGACCTTCTGGCCGACAGCGTCGGCGGCGTCCGCGTATTTCTCCTCGTCCTCGTCCTCCTCGTCGCTCGAGCCAAAATCGTAGTCGCCCTTCTCCTTGCCAGCCTTGGCGACCTTGCGCACCGCCGCGAGGTCCGTCGTCGTCTGCTTGTCGATCTCCTCCTCGCGCAGCTTCTGGCGCGCGGCCTCGAGCGCGTTGTACTCCTCGTAGATCTTCTTGTACTCGGCCGCGTCGTACCCGTTCCACCGATCGCGCTTGGCGTCGTACCCCACGGCGACGTCCTGGATGACCTCGTCGGGCGCGATGTCGCGGTTGGTGTACTTTGCGCCCTTCTTGCGGGGCCGCTCGAGGCAGTCCTGCTTCTTGTGCGTGAGCGCGCCGCAGTTCTCGCAGGCGCCCTTGCGGTACTTCTTCGCGGCGGGCCCGGCGCGCGCGCCGCGGTCGTACCAGTTGTCGAGCGAGTCCTTGGGCTTTTCTTCGTGCCGCCGCTGGTGGGCAAGCGTCGGTCCGCCCGAGTCGAGGTACCAGGGCACCTGGGAGATGTATTCTGCACGCTAGTGAGACGAGGTCGCGGGAAACAGAGACAGAGGACGTACGGGGGATGTGGGGGTTGATGGGCTTGCCCTCCTCGTCTAAGGCGGCGGGCGCGGTGCCGGCCTTGCGGGCAGCATCGAGCTCCTTCTGTCGCCGGAACTCTTCGCGAGAGAGCTTTCCGGTCGCTGTTTATTGTAATCAGCACTTGTTATCGCCTACGGCAGCTAGCAGGACTCACCGGTCGCAGAGGCCATGGTGGGCAATGGTAAAGCAATAGCGCAGCGCAGCGAGCGAGGTAGCCGCGCAGTCCACGTGTAGGGCACTGCCTTTGATTAGCTGCAGTTCATTCGAAACTGCAAACTAATTCTGCTATATACGATGTACATGCCTCTGTTATAACAGGAATGACATTCACCGCGCCCGCCCTCTTCTTCGGTCTCGGCGCCCGCATCCTCCTCGAAAAGTTCTCCGCCGCCGCCGCCCCCGACCCCGCCGCGCCCCCCGCCATCGGCGACCACGTCTTCGCCGGGGTCTGGCAGGGCGTCGGCCTCTACTACGTCCTCACCGAGCTCCCCCAGCTCGCGCTCGTCGTCGCGCTCGCCATCGGCGCCAAGCTCGTCTACGACTACGCCCTCCTCGACGTCGACCTCACCCGCAGCGCATGCACGCTCCTCGGCGTCGCCCTCGGCGTGCTCGTCACCGACGTCCTCTCCCAGCTCGTCGAGGACGCGGGCGACAGCCGCATCCTCCAGCTCTCCGCTTCTCCCAAGCCCGCCCCCTCCTCCCGCGAGCGAGACCGCAGCAGACGGGAACGCGAGCGCGAGCGCGAGCGCGGGAGGGAGCGCCGCCTCTCCATCACCGCGCCCCCCTCCATCTCGCTCGCCTCCACCTCCGGCACGGTCTCCACCATCGACCCCCACGGCGTCATGACCCCGCTCGAGCGCGAGGTCGCCGAGCTGCGCGCGCGCGCGTCCCTCGCCGACACCGAGCGCCGCCGCTTCAAGGAGGAGCGCAAGTGGGCGTTGAGCATGGGCAACAAGGCCCGCGCATCCCAGATGGCGTGGCAGGTCAAGCGCTACGCCGCACTCATGGAGAGTTTCAATAGGGAGGCGGACGCGAAGCTCATACAAGGTTTGTCCTTGCATTGCAGAGTTCTTTCCGCGGTGCGTTGACAAATTGCAATTCACCAGCTGCGAGGTTGAGGGGGAACCCACGAGACGGCCCATCGCAGGGCAATCGTGTGGAAATACCGTCCAACAAGGACTTTGTCGTCTCCACTGGCCGATCCGACGTCCGCTTCGAACTTCGCAAGTACGTCGGCGTATTTTCCCAAGCATCCAGTGACCCTGACTCTTTCACAGGAAACGATAGCAATGACTGGAATCATAGCTGAATGCTTCTTTTATTGACTCTACAGTAGCCTCGCTGCGGCCTCAGCGCATCAAGCGGAGTTTCCCCTCGCGATAGCAAACCAGCGCCAGCGCCCAAGCGTCCCCGGCTAGAGGGAATAACGGCACGGTGGGGCCCTCACAGAGAAAGACACAGTGAGTGGGACGAAGGGGCTCTTGAAGCACGGGACACCGGTCACGTCCCGGTCACGAATCACGATGAAATGCGACGAACAGAACACTCAATGGACTTTACGTTGCTTGCCTATTTCTCCTGTACCCTGCGACATCCCTCTCTGGATACCATAGTGCGTGACACCTAGAACCGAGATTCCCTTTCCCCCTACATACCACCTTCTGTACTATACAAGTAGATACCAGCGTTATATAGTGTTGTACTCTCACCCACCCATTTTACGGCTTGACGAACAAATCCGTGAACTTATCCACCGGCATCTCCCAGAGCCCCTGCCTATCCTCCACCGTCTGCAAAATCCTCTTCTGGTGCGCCTCGTCAAAGTGGTGGCCCACATGTCTCACAAACTTCTGCATGAGCAGCGGCGTGCCCTCCGCGCGGCGGCGCTTGTGGCCGACGGGGTACTCGACCTCGACCTCGTCGAGCACCGTGCCGTCGTTCAAAGTGACGAGGAGCGCGTTCCCGATGGAGCGCTTGTCGGGGTGGTGGTACTCGGCGCTGAAGCGCGCGTCCTCGACGCAGGTGATCTTGTCGCGCAGCGCGTCGATGCGCGGGTCCGCCGCGGCTTCGTCGGTGCTGTGCGCCACGTTACGAGGTGAGGGGAGCAGAGAGGGAGGCAAGGGGCTTACTAGGACTCGGAGTGCAGGTTCCCGTAGATCATCGCGTACGCGGACATGTAGTTGATATCATGGCTGGCAATATCAGCATCAGTCACCCACCCACCCACATCCACGGAACGGAACGCACTCTCGGTCGGCAAAGTTGTGCAGCTTGCCCTTCTTGTTGATGATGCGCATCGCCGCCTCCTGCGTGCGGATGCGCACGCTCGCAATGTCGTCGCTGCTCTTGCCAAGCGCCTTCAGCTTGTTGTGGACCGTCACCGCCGCCTCGACCGCCGTCTGCGCGTGGAACTCGGCCGGGAAGGAGATCTTGAAGAGCACGTTCTCCATCACGTAGCTGCCGTACGGGCGCTGGAACTGGAACGGCTTGCCCTAATGTACGCATGCAAAACAATTCGATATGAAGCGACGACAGGCAGGGCGAGGAGCACGAACCTTGAACAGGACATCGTAGAAGCCCCACATCTTGGCGCTCAGCACGCTGGGCAGGCCCACTTGGCCCTGCTTCACCAGGTAGGCGAGGTTGACGGCGCGCGAGCACGCGTCGCCCGCGGCCCAGGACTTGCGCGGGCCAGTGTTGGGTGCGTGGCGGTAGGTACGCAGCGACTGGCCATCCACGAACGCCTGGGAGATCACGTCGACCGTCTGGTCGCGCGACAGGCCGCTTTCACATCATCAGTAAGCTCAGGCGGTAGCTAGACGGCAGGGGGATGTCACATACAGCATCTTGGACACGACGGCGGCGCTGGCGACCTTGACGAGGACGACGTGGTCGAGGCCGACGCGGTTGAACGAGTTCTCGAGGGCGAGGCAGCCCTGGATCTCGTGCGCCTTGATCATGGCCTCCAGGATGTCCTTGACCTTGAGGGGCTGGCCCTGCCTGGCGAGGTGGTCGGCGACGGCGAGGATGGCGCCGAGGTTGTCGGACGGATGGCCCCCTGAATATAGAATGTGTACATTAGCGTAGCCCGGATACAGAGGCGGTAGTACTGACATTCGGCGGCGAGCCAGCAGTCGTTAAAGTCCAGCCATCGGATGATGGTTCCAATATTGAATGCACCGCGTACAGGATCAAGCTGGTAGTTCGTGCCGGGTACCTTCGTCCCTATGGATCACAGCTGAGTTCCCCATCCACACCGATCGCATTCTACGGGACACACACCGTTCGGCACAACAGTGCCAGGCACCACAGGCCCAAGCAGAGACCTGCACTCCGGGAAGCGCAAGCCCTCCAGCCCACACCCGATAGTATCAATCAAGCAAAGCCGCGCCGTCTCGTACGCCACATCGCTCTCGACCTTGTAGTTGTGCACATAGTCTGCGATGTCCTGGATCTCCTGGTCCGGCGGCGGGCGCGCTGCAGACTCGCCATGGGACACGGACATGCTGCGAACACCGAAGGAAGAGGTCAAAGGGGAAGTGGCTGCCGGGGACCGGAATGCTCGCGGAGATCTGCTGGAGGATAGGCTGGGTGCGGCAGATGCAAGTCCGGCAACTGGGGTTCGCGCAACGGAAGCTGGAAAGTGTGTCAACGCTACGCGTGTCCTCGCCGTCGAAAGCATCGTCAAGGCTTGTGGACGAGCAGCTACCCCTGCAGGATGTCTCAAGAGGACTGCTGCCCCGCTCCCCAGTCTTACCCCAACTTTATAGCACCGGCTATAGTTGTCTGCTTGATTACCGACCGGGCCCGCTCACGTGGTCCCCGAGACGCGTCGCGACGCGGGGATCCTCGGGGAGCGCGTCAATTGGAAGGTCGGCAGCTCGTTTCCACGTCAGGCGTATTAGTGACACCAACTTACAAGGAAGGTCGCGACAATCGCATTATGAGGCATCAATAGCGTGAATACTTCAATAACTGTGACGACAAGCAGCAAAAACATGGAGGAATAGCGGCACAGACCACCGCGTTAACTTTCTTACGAACGCCTTCGGGCGACAGCGGACTAGGTGCGGAACTTCTGGCAAGTAGCAGGCATCGGGTCAACGAACAACCTCTTCGGCATCTTCTTCACGAGACTCTTGCGGTCATGGTCCTGGATCGCCCTACGCAGCTGCGCGTTGATCTCCGTGTCCACCTTGAGCATTTCCTCCCATTTCCCATTCATCTTCCTTGCATAACTCGCGTACTCGCTTTCCAGGTCAATCAAGTGGTTGAAGTGGAGAACACTGCGGAAGGTGAGCATAGCAGGTGAAAACACGGTCATGATAGAAGGAAAAGTAAAAACCTCTGATTCCGCATGAGTTGCAGGTCGGCCGCGGCATCCTGCAGTAGCGCCTTCCGTCCCACGCGGACGTCGCTCCTCACCCCCTCTACCTTGTTCGATATCTTCTGTACGATGACCTAAGCGCAAAGGTCAGTATATCCATTGATCCGAGTAGCCGGCCAACTCTCGCTACCTCCTGTATTTCACTCAGCACCTAGCAGAAGATATGAGCCACGTTATCATAGTCAGGCCTGGAAATAATGATACCTCCACAATAGCGTCCATCCCTGGTTCTCTCTGCTTGCGCTGAGTGTAACTTCTGTCCTCTGCCTCTTCCGCCACTGACCGCCTGAGTACGGGCTTCTTCGACCCAGCTGTTTGGCAAAATGCTTGAGAAAAGTCTCGTGTTCGAATAGGAGGAGGAACAAACCAAGACCGCCTGCACCAACCCTGGTCCCCAGGAATCCTTTCGTCAAACCGACTGGCGTAACCGGGCTCTCCCTGACCTCCGGTGCAAACGTTACCCTGTTACGAACTTTACCGCTTGGCGCCTTCCTCGAGGCCGCGTCTTTCTCCGGCAAAAAGTCAACTGGGATGTACTGTGTGACTCTACTCCTGGGAGGCGGTGGGCTCTCTTCGACCGCAGTGTGCTCCATGGGACTGCCGGGGAAGTGCGGCGTCTTTTCCTCGACATGCGCTGGGGAAGCGGTCCTCGGACTCGGTACCTCAGGCTCCATGGGAGCGGCTTCAACAACTTGATTGGGAGGAGCAGAGACGACCTTCGGAATGACGACGTTCTTGTTTTTGGCTACCACCGACTTCTTGACGGGTGAATCAGCTGTCAGGTCTATCATCTCCACATCCTCGACCTAAAACGCGGGTTCATAATTCATGACATGCGGTTGGAAATGACCCCGACCTTTACACGAGGAACGACAATCTCTGCCACCCTCGTATTCCGGATTTTTATCTTGAGGGAGTGCACGTCTTTGTCCTTTGGGTCCACGGGTGGGGAACATTTCGCTGTTGCGGTACTCGGCGCGGCCGCTTCTAACCCGGGGCTTGCAGATAGCTCGACTGCTGCGACGTCGCCTATGGTGGGCATTTCGCCCGTCTGTTCTCCGGGAACTTCCACTGATACGACCTGCGGTCGCGGGACCGGTGTACCAGGAGCGTCGGCAGGTTCTACGAACGGGAAGTCCATAGTAATCTCTGGAATATCGTCTGATATCTCGGCGGCTCTGGGCTCTGCGGATTCAACGATCTTGCGACGAGAGGGAGACGAGCTTTGCAGCTGCTTCACCATGTCCGAGAACTCCTCGGTCTCCCAGGGCGCTTTCTTAGGTTTCTTGGATCGGTTGATTGTCTCGACCTCGGACGTAACCTGAAGAATTGTTAATGGGTGGCATGATTGTCATGAACTTGTAGCTCTTGTTACCTCGGTCACCTTTACTGTCCGAGCAACTTTCGGTTTCTTCGGGGTTTCCTTAGGCGCAGCAGCAGGATCCAAGGGAAATACAAGCGCTGGATTGTTATCATCCAGGACCGGCACGACCTCCGCAGGACTTGTCGCGCGTTTCTTTCGACCGGTAGGTTTAGCCTTCTTGGCTTCTGCGGCCTCCGGCTCATGAGCTTTATTGGCCCTGTCTCTCATAGCTCCTGCTCGAGTGGTCCTGCCGGACTGGGCGACGGCCGGACGTGCCTGTGCAAACTTCGCATTCTTCTGAGCAGCGCGCTGAGACAGAGGGGAGGAAGAGTCCATCTCAATAGGGTCCGACGAGATACCAGGAACGGCGTCGAAATTGATAGCCGAGGCAGATCTTGGAGGCGAAGACACTTTGTTTCCTTTCCCTCGGTTACCGTATTTCCTCGCGGGCAGCCCTCCTGTCTTCTTAGGCTTTCTTGAAACGTGTAGTTGTCGATTGGAGAGTCTGCGGTCTGACTCGACGGATTCCAGGCGGGACCGCTTGACAGATTCTTTGTCATCCAGTCCCTTTTCATTACAAGCTTCTGCCGCCTTCCTCTTCCTGCTCTTGCTCTTGCTTTCATGCACAATGTGAGCGCCGTCAGCAGCCTGGTTGGATGTAGGAGCCGCCGCAGGGACGTGGTTAGCCTTCGAAGAAATTTCAGTTTTTACATTAGCCCTGGTAGAGTAGCCAGTAGCGGTCGTGCCGTTGTCCAGAGCCTTCTTTACAAGATCCACGCGATCGGAGAGCCTGGATGCTGGTATGGTGGATAGAACAGTATCGACTCCGTTTTCGCGATTTTGCGAAACAACTCGGTTAGCCAGGAGACGAGAAACCAGGGGAGAGCACCCAATCTGCATTAGTTCCTTGGAGGCCCTTGTGGCTGCCCTGGTCTTTGTGGGAGGCTTCGGTGATCCCGATTGCATCGAGTGCGAAAAGTTCTTCTGCTCCTGACTTCCCTGCGTAGCATTCTCGATGTCACTCTCTTGATCCACGGCTCTTTTCTTTTTCATAGGCGCCTTGGGTACGGGAGCAACGACGCCGATGTCGTCGTCATCGTCAGATTCCAGGATCATCCTACCTTTCCGAACTGTTTTAACGGGTGGTTTGGCATTCTCAGTTTGCGGCGAGATATGAGCAGTCGGTTCGTGGCCACCCTCTCCAGACCTTGAAGAACGATTCCTTAGCCGGCGGGAGGCGAGATTCTTTGGAGTATTATCGCCAGCATCAGAGACGTCAGAGAGGTCATCTTCACTGGTGCCAAATACGGTGTCCCGAAGAATCTGAGTGTCGGTCCGTTCCACCCCGGAAAGGGGTACCGTCGACCTTTGAGGGTTCGAGACAGGAGTGGGAGGCGCAGTCGGGGCTAAGATAGTGCCACCGCTGCGACGGACGCCAATGCTTGCTTTCGCAGGCGGAACATCATGGGCAGGGAGCGCGAGCGGTTCCTGCTCAGCAAGGGAGTCGAGCGATTGTGCCTGAGTTTCGCCCACGGTAACATTCGGAGGCGTCGTCGGATAATCGATAAGATCTTCGAAGTGAAGCGCGCCACGGTCACTCATTCCAGTATCATCACTGGGTTCGTTTGTCTTGTACACTAGTCCAGGGTGTGGATCAATGTTGAGGTCAAATTGTCGGAGTGAGACGTACGCTGCTCTACTGCCTTAACCTTATCCTGCGGAGAGTCCTTCAGCGACGGCATTCACAGGAAAGATAGAAGCTTGATGCACCTGGAAATTTGGACGATCTTTTACAGGTTCACCCTTTGAAGTGAAATCTAGGAGGGCCGACGTTTGAGTGAGGGATATACGAGTGGGCTTCGATGGCCGTGTAATGGCTACCGCCCGAGCTTTCTGTTGACAGTGGATGAGCCATTGGCAAACGCAGAGGAGCAGCATGGTCCGGTAGGGTGCTTACAAGACCTCGGCTTTCAATGGCTCGGATGAACCTATCATGGTCGGAATTCTTGATGTCAAAGACTAAAGTAAGGGGCGCATCACCAGATATCTTCATCGGCTCCTCAGCGACGGTAGGGACTACCGATAACCCCACCATCACGGTCGTCGTAGCACGGTCTGTGGCCGGTGCTGTAGATACTTCAAGCACAGATGCATACGGCACCTGCATCGTCTCATACGCATCTTCCTAACACGCGATGTTAGCAAAGTAGTAAGCGATGTGATGCATAACGGACCTCATTGGCGACATTGGCAAAGAATGAACTCCTATCAATATAAAGCCGGTCAGATGGTGCTGGCTGGGGAAAGGCCGTCCCGCAAGCATGGACGACGTCTAATTCGAAGGGTTGAGGACTAAAGGTGCACGTGGTCACAACACTCGAAGTAAAGCAGCTGAAGACACACTATGATATGTCAGCCTGTGCGAGGACCTCCGCTATCGTCATCACAGTATTGTCCCAATCAGTGGCCGGTGCGTTCTCCATGATACCGACGAGTTCCTTGGCCATATCCTGTTTTCCTTGGGCACATGGTGAGACGAATACCTGACGCAGAAACTCAGCTCTCTTGGGATTTTTGGTCACGGCTCCGGTATTGGCGGGCACGATCCGACCCAACAAGGTTAACAAGTTCTCCAACACTAGGTAGTCTGCGGAGTCGTTAGCAGCTGGATACCATTTTTCAGATAGGTACGACATACCTTTGGTTTGATACAGTACGGCACCTAGCCGCTTGCTGACATGCCAGGGTCAGGGCATCGTACAGACCGGAAGAAGGTCCCGTCGCTTACCCGCCCAAAACTCTGACTGTTCTAAGTTTATCTTGATTCTTGGGAAACGAGGCAGCTGTGTCGGACAGAACCATGTAAGCCTGTACGCGAGGGCGGAATGGGTGATATAAGTGGGTATATGCGCATAACACGGGCACCACGGGCGAAGGCGTCGTACGATCGACACTTACGGTAGTCCTGAGTATGGTAGACAAGCCTGAAACAGTGGAGGCGTCCCTTGGGAGGCAGACCTCGCATATTGCAGAGTAGAACGCTGTGGCAATGACATCCTTTGTCTTATCTGGAGAGCGATTGTATTTTCGACCAGCCAGGAGCAAACTGAGAGAAGGCACTGCACCTTCTGTATGGTTGTCCAAGTAGTCCTAGGCTCAATCGTTAGACGAGGCGAGCACCAGAAGACCGGAAAAGCCAGACGGACCAGCACTCCAGACAATATTGCACTGGCAACTGACTCCCATCGCCTACTCTTCTCGACATCGCCCGCTTTGATGAGTGGGAGAACCTTCTTGGTACATATATCGTTGAATATGGCAACTGCAAAGTTCAATGAGGGGACTGGGAGGCTTTCGTAAAGCGAAACCAGTGGTCTTCTGAATCTTGTTGCCAAGTTGTCCGAATCACGAGCTGAGAGCGAGGTCGAGGACTTCAAAAAAAACATCAGCCGAAGGTAAGAGGAAACTGAGACTAGCTTAAAGGCCATACGAGTAAGGAAAGGGAACCCGATATACGCTCGAGAGTATCCGTGATCTCCTTCTCGACCTTGACTTTCGGAGCTGCCCTCTTGAGGGCGGCTAATGTACTTTTGACATCCGGCATGGCCCAGGAGATTGACCTCCTACGCCTCGACAGGGCAGCAGGGTTCAGATACGCGAGCAAGGAGATATGAGCTGCAAGACGGTGTCCGACGTCGATTCGGACAAGTTGGGACTGAGGAAAGCGCCGAAGACGGACGACGCGACGCGTCACGATCATGTGACTAAGTGCGGGAACGCGTTACAGTAATAATCGCAGAATATTTTCCTCAATACATACAATCAAACCCTGTGAACGGATATTGGTATGCAACTATACAAAATGCATGCTGCCCCTGTCGTAGAGGAGTTCGTGGCTGTCACTTTGCCTTAGGTTTCTGGAAAAATGAAGATATCTTGGCCATCCCCTTGGTATTCGCTTTCTTAAGCTTCTCGACCCCATGCGAGCCTTTCTGATTCTTACGCTTCTTGTCCCCTGCCTCCCCATTCCCACTAGACTTGGCGTTGGCGGAATTCGCCAGCGCGGATGCAGCCGTCGCCGCGATGTCGTCTTGTATCGCCTTCAGGTGGCTATCCAGGGCTGCGAAGCTAAGCACATGAACCATGCATCAGCAACCTTGCTTCTGTAGACAACTAATCCAACCACGTACTCGTATGAGGCAATGAGCGCCGCATGCACATCCTGCGGAAGATACTGGGATAGTATGTCGCAGGCAGCTCGCTGACGTGCAGCTACACAACGGCAATACCGCTCTACATCAGGTTAACGGTCCGCGAAGAGCGAGGATGGACGCACAGGGCAAAAGATGCTCCTTGCCATCGTCCATAAGGCCGTCTTTGGCTAATCCGCGGATGAGCGTCCGTGACGACTCGAACACCTCAGGTCGAGACAGTCTGGCAACCTTCTTCCGCAGGTACTCGACTAAATGCGCCTGTGAATATCTATACACCACTATCTCCGGCGTGATCTCTGTACCATACAATCAGTACTTGCGGGCAGGATGGGAGAGATTCTCACGTACCTTTCACTTCGCATGCGTTCTTCATCGCTGCCTTCGCACAATCCAAGGATGCAAAGGTTTCAAGATCACGTAACGATATAGACGCTGTGGGATCCTTGGGCGAAGCGTTCTTCTCCGACTGTTCCACGAGCTTCGGCAATGCTTCCTCGAAGACATCTTCCAACGGTCGAAACGTACCCACAAAGCCGTCTGCCTATGATAGTGAGATCAGTACGTCTATCCCATAGGCATGGAGCACTGCAGACCGGTTGGATCGCTCGCAAGAGTGGTATGAGGAGGAATGACGGGTCAATCGGAGTCATCATCAGAAGTCTTCCATCTGCTGCCCCAGACCACTGTTAATGAGAGTCCATCATAGCATATAGTGTGCATACCCTCTAGTACTTGCCCCTCCCCCATAAACCACGACCGCTCGTTGGGAGGGGACACTGCTTGTACTTCGAGGATACTCCACCTCGCGCTTGAAGTTCCCGAATGCTGCGGGTATGGCAGGAACAACGACGGTATGCCTAGTAGCATACCGAGTGAGTCTTTAATAGCTAACTGAAGCCGCGCTACATGCCTGTCCGTGGATGCGGCAGTCGTAGAAACTGGTGGCTCTGCGCACCGTCTAGCTGCGCCGATAATGAGTCGAGGAACTCTGCCAAATCAGCTGACGTAGCCCAAAACGCATCTCTGGTTTCGCTCACCGGTTGGTAGGATGCTTATGTGGCTGGCCATGTTAAGCAGAGGTAGATGGGTGTCGTGCTTAGACGATGGTACGGGGCAGGACGCGTCGGTCACCTCGCGTGACGTCACGCGTTTCTCATCAAAAGGTCTGACACACTGGACGGATGCAAATACAAGTGTTATGTGCACAAGGTCGCGATTAATTACTCGTCCAGGGACTCTATTAAGGACGTATACACACAAGCGGTGGTGCTCATGCTATCCAGAACCACACTCTCTGGAACACATTCCTCGGCACGGGAGGCACATCCTCCGCCTCCAACCGATCCGCCTCCTCCTTCCCTTTAAAGACATCGATATCCCCGACCCTCCTCAGCCATGGTCCTCTAAACCATACCTTATGCCCCAAGTACAGGATGAGAAACAGGGGGATCGTGATGTAGGCTGCTAGAAATGAAGACGCAGAGAATTGACCGGGGAAGAAGACCTGGAAGCCATTCGTGATTGTGAGGACGGTCACAATGAAGAGGGTAAACCAGGTGATGTAGGGCTGCATAGGCGTGCGGAAGGGGAGGGTGTCCAGGGCCCCATGGTATACTATAGCTTGGCGGAAGCGCTGTTATATAGGCGTCAGGCAATGCTCAAGAATGCTTGGTGGAAGGTCAGATACGCACGATATAACAAACAAACAAGACAATCCACGCAATCAACCCACTGATAGTCGTCAAATTGATGAACCACTGGAACGCCACCGCCGCCCCGCTGGACACATTGAGGTATACCACGCACGAGACCGCCACGGACCCGCACACCGCGACGTACGGCACGCCCCTCGCATTACACCGCCGCAGCACGCGCGGCGCCTGCCCCGCCACCGCGAGCGAGTACAGCGCGCGCGAGCTCGCAAACACGAACGAGTTCCCCGCGGACCACGCCGACGTGAGTATCATCGCGTTGTACACATGGTTCAGCCCCCTGATGCCCGCCCTCTGTATGCCCAGCACGAACGGGCTCGCGCCCGCCCCGTTCGCCCCGGCGCTGACCGCCTGCAGCAGCCGCGGGTCGTCGCTCGGCGTGATGATCCCCGCGACCAGCGAGCCGAGCACGTAGAAGAACACGACGCGGTACACGAAGCGGCGCGCGGCCTTTGGGATGTTCCGCCGGGGCGCCTCGGACTCGCCGGCGGCGGCGGTGACGAGCTCGGGGGAGAGTACGAATGCGAAGCCTGCGCGGACGAGAGCGGTCCAGAAGCCGAGGAATTGGCCTGTGGGCCCGCTGACCATGTAGGGCTTGAAGGCGCCGGGGTGGTCCCAGAAGCGGAAGCCGAGACGGTCGTGTGTGGGCCCGCCGCCGAAGAAGAGGATGATCCCGATGAGGATGAGGGATACGATGCCGAGGATTTTGAGGCTTGCGAACCAGAATTCGGATTCGCCGTACCACGAGACGGCAAATATATTCAGGAGGAGGATTACTTCGGGAGTCGGAGTTAGATGTTGGAAGGTCGGATGAGGATTGGGAACTACATACCAAGGAGGAATATCGTGATCAGTACAGGGACGGGGATAGCATGCGTCCAGTACTGCACGACCAATGTAGCAGCGGAAACCTCCGCACTGACGAGCATCGCATAGGCATACCAATAATTCCATCCTAAAATGTATAAGCCTCATCCTCAGTATGTTGCACAAAATAACCATACCAGCAGCGAAGGCCAAGCTAGGGTCGACGAAACGGTCAATATAGTACGAAACAGACGCCCCTTTGGTTGGCAGATACGTGGTCATCTCTGCCAGGCAGTTCATCGCGGCCCACAGGATGAAAGACATGACGATGTAGGCCATAAACAGGTTGGCTGGGCCGACTGTGGAGAGGATGGCGCCAGAGCCGACGAACAGGCCCGTGCCCATTGTACCACCTAATGCGCGAGGGAGTAGTGGCCTCAGAAGAACTGCAGTAGAAAATGCACGCGGAACATACCAATCGCAATCAACTGGATATGTCGACTTTTCAGACCTCGGCGTGTCTCTCCATAGACGTTTGATTGGATATGAGGAGAGCCAGCATATTCCACTGGGACGACAGCCTCCTCGGCGATGGACGCCTTATGCTCATGCTTTTCGAGATCCATTTCGGGTCAGCGTAGAGCGTCGGGGAGAAACCCATGAGGGTGGATAGCGGGCCTTCTCTATAAACACGCTCTGTAGGGAGGGCGTCCGAATAGTGACCGCGAGCCAAACTTCAGAAATAACCTCGCGATAAGACCATGGACTAGAAGTTCGATAGGGAGCGGTGGGCAAGAAGACACCGATAACGCTAATATTGGATCCACATCGGGGGCTTTCTTGTCGGCGGGTTCTTCGATTTGATTAGCCAAAAATGCTTGGTATGCCGTGCAGTAGCATTTCCTGGTCAATCCTGCGACTTTGTCGAGCCAGAGGTAGGGGTGCAGATTCAGTAGCCAGTGCATTGTATGGGTCGGAACTACTCCCACCAGGAAGGCAGGACAATGGAAGTGCAATATGCCTGTCTTCAATAAGAAATGGATCGAATGTCGGGATCCCAAATGACACTAAACTGGAGTGATTGACTTGATAACTTTGAGGACTGCACCTTGGCAAAAGACAGCCCTTGCCGTGAGTTACTAAGACTGACTCGTTTGAGGACTTGAAGGATTAGAACTACATTGAGGCAATCAGAGCCGTGAAAAGACTGAGATCAGTCCTAGTATCATGTTAACGAGCTTGGGCCCGTCCGAGAGTCACGCAAGAGTGCAAGCCATGATGGACTAAGTTTACATTGAACGTGCTGCCACTGGCTGTCCAGGTTGGATGGACCCAGTAGTTTGTCGCCCATGTATAGCATCTCAGCAAAGGGAAACTGCTTCGCCGAGATGTATGCATAGAGAATACAGTAGCGGGCAGGATGGTAGAGTGGCAGTCGCTTGCAGCCACAAACTGGGGACTGGCACCGATGGGCACTGTAAAAATGCCGAGGCGTGCCGAGGCGTGACGAGGCACTGCAGCGGCATTGCAGAGGTACTGCAGAGGCGACGTCGATAAGTAGTGGGTCCTTTACGACTCGAATCCGTTATGCTGTTCCAAATGTAGGCTTGATACTGCGCCTCCTAAATAAGACTTAGTAGACGAGCAACTGTCTATTCCAAATGCACAAAAATAAATCCTACACGCGGGCTTCTGCGACCGTAAGTCTTGTCGTTGAACGACATCTTTAGCTTGAGTCACCAGATTGTAAGCAGCTAGGGTATACATGTGTTCTAAATCCCTCTCGTACAGTAGTCTTCAAATATGCCAGTCAATCCAACCTCGGCCTTTTGCGCCCTTTCACGCTGTCCTGTTTCGCGCGACTCCCGTAGGCTGGGCGAGGTGCGGGACGTTTCTCTTCAATGGCTGCCTTCCGCTTGCGAGGTACAGCTGTGGTAGGGTCCGGCAATTGGTAGTCGGGCCCATGCTATGCAGGCTTTCAGTCTCGGATCAAAATGCATTGTGATGAATTTGACACTCACCTCAATCTCAGAATCTCTCTCCTCCCGGTCTTCGTGATTCCACCAAGGAGGGGTATACGTATATGGGTTCCAGTTGTCTTGATGTGGTCCTGCATCAAGCCCCCACTGGTGGTTCCCCGCTGACCCCGCTGCCGCCGAGTTTTCGAATAGCCGCTCCTCGAAGAGAAACAAGCATTCGCGGTCGACGTCAACACCATGTAGGAGGTATTCTTCGCTGACATGTTCCTTTTGGTGCCGATAGGCAGCCTGTAAGATGAAGGTCTGCTGGTCGGCCGCTGACGCGTTGCGAGGGAACTCTGGTTCTCGGAGGAATCTCTCCCTATGGCGGCTGGCCAGGATCAGTGTCACCGCGTGGGCATATGCAACTCGGCCGATCCAGAGGTTTTGGTTCTTCCGCGCCTCTCGGATGTTATTTACGATCCAGTTGTTAATTTGGCCCCGCTCGAGCAAACTGAGCTCACCAGTATGTGGTATGAGTCCATTCTTAAGGGATTCAAGGGTCCGTCTACCACTCTCTTGAGCAACAGACACATCATCCAACGCGGGCACGAAGTCCACAACCTCTTCTGGCTGATAGACAAGGCGTGTCAGCAGTTCTTGATGAGGTGCGAGTATACCGGCGATCTCGGGGGTGTATGCATGTGCGTCGAAGTCCAATAACTTGTCTTCAACTTCGGATTCTTGACATGCCATGTGCCAACGTCCGAGCTAAGTAATGAGAGTCTTAATTGTCTTGAAAATACTCTTTATAGGAGTCATTGCTTACACGAATCCTTCGCCTTGCTTCCCTGTTCTGCCATAGCTCATCGACCACACTTGCAGCGGATACCCATGTCTCGCGAGGACTTTCATCAGCAAAAACAGACCCCCTCCACCACTTGACTCGCCATTCGGTGTGCTTATCTTTCTGCCTGGACATAATTAGCCGCACAGGGTACCAATATGTATCACCGTGCCGAACGAGAGCACCCTTTCCTGGCCTATTTGGGTACTTATTAGACTTCTCGGACATAGCCTGCAGACTTCGGTACATACACAAGTCGCGTCTCAGGTGATTTATGGCTCTGTACACTTCTCGTACTATAGAGAGCTCAAATGAGTGTTGGTCATGGAGGTAGCGGTCACTTACGGCCTTGTTTTTTGCCTCATTGGTTTCCGGCCTGCTTCCCCTCCCATGTTTAATAACTGCAGTAGCATACAGTCATCGCAGATGAACTTCTGTGTCTTTGCCAACAGACTCGCATGTCCCCCCTTCTGGCATGCAATATGGGACCATCTCTTGCACTGATTACACTGGATGGCGGGCTCCCCAATCTGTAGGTCGGTCCAGCTGCCATGAAGGCCACAGCGGCAGAAGAACGGAGATGCCGTTCCAGTGCCTGTTTGAGCACCGGGCGCTTCATGGCTGGGGGCAAAGTTCTTGGCCCTCTTCGCCGGTGAATGTGAAGAATGTGCCTGTCTATGTATACCTTGAGCCTCTCCGCCTTCCTTTTGTGCTTTGACAGGTGTCGCAGAAGTCTTCAAGTTCAATGCTATGCTATCATGGTCTTCATCCACACCCAAACCCGAACTCGACTCGGAGCTTGAGCTTGAGCTCGAACTCGAGGACAATATACGTCTTTTCTGGGCGTGCTTCTTTGCTCCCTTGGGCAGCTTGACTGGTGATGAATAACTCGGAGGATCAGCCAGTGTAGCTTCATTGTCTGACGGTTCAAGCTCTTGAATACCGGACGCAGGCTGGCTGGTCAATCGATAATCCGCAGTCTTCTTTGAGTATGGGTTGTCTAACCACACCCGCTCTGTGTCAGGCATTCGTTCAACCCCCGGCATATCAAGGGCTACCGTTGGAGTATGTTCCAAGTCTTCTTGTGTAAAGACTATGTGGTGGAGGCGTTTCACAGCAGCAATCTGATGAGCATATATAGTACGTTGCGCATCAGTGCCTCCCCGCAGATGGTACACCACGGCGTTCGTCTTGTATCCAGATGGTAAAGTGATCGCCGGCCCGCTTAGGAGAGAGCTCGTCTTCGTGAAGTTCCGAGTTGCGCACCCGTCAGCAAGGAGACCATCATACGTGTAGACTTTGCCATTGGGTGTGCGAAATCGTCCAATGAAATGTTCTGAGTCAGCACCGAATAGACCACGGCCAACAATGTCGTAAACGATACGCTGCTTAGCAGCCTCCTTGGTGAATGGTCTGAGTTCCATTGGGAAATCCCAGGTATTCGGGTCGTCATCCTCAATCCAGATTATGAGACATACAGGGAGCAAGACAGTTAATGTCACGTCGCTCGCCTCTCCCTTGCATAAACAAGTGCCATCTTTTGTCTTCCAGCATTGTGACAGGGCGCTCAGAGACTGGTTTGCGGACATCACTCGTCGAAACCAGTTCTGGATCTTGCCATTAAAGGTTGTATAGTCATTGGGGCGGGGACGGAGCTCAAAGAGTTTGAGTGGCTGCGACGTGATCTGGTAGTGCCTATATGGCGGATCACCTCCATTGGCAGTAGCACAAGACCGCAGTATCAGGCGGTATCCATGGAAGTAGGTTGCACCAAGCACACATGAGTCCTTCAGCCATTCGTGATTGAGTGTCTGACTAAGCCATCCCTGTAGATATCAGTTTGAGGTAAATCACGAATCCATACGGATGCGTGGCCACTCACAAAGAGTGCGAGGGGCACGTCTTTCGCGGGAATACAGCGGTACTTTTTTAGTCGAGCCCGGAAGGCATCGCGCTGTATCGCAAGCCCGTTGCTACACTGCTTCATGGTATCCCTTGTTGAGGAGGAATAATGTCCTGAGCGGCGCAGGTCTATCGTCTCGTAGAGTCCCCAAAGGCACGTGTTATGTGGTACACCCTGCAGTCGGTCTGAAAAATCCTGATAATCCCTTCCGACGACATTGAACACTAGTTCTAGCGCCGTATCGAGCCAGCAGGAGTTGTTAGACCAGGGATAACTGTGGTAGGCAGTTGCAGTCTGCTTGCCGCGCTGTTTAGCATTGTCTCGTTGCTTACGAGCGCCCAGGAGTTCCTTGGTCGTGTCGGGGGGGCGACCGTCATTCGTCTTTCGTCGACGTTCATATGCTTCAGGTGCTCTCGACGGCTTTGTGCGACCAATGCGGCTGGCAACTAATTTCCATGGTTGGGCTTCACCATAACGTATAGGCGCACCACCTGTTCGTCACAAGATAGCCTAGTTTAGTGCTGTTCTCCTGCTATTATTGAGGCTCACTTACTTAAGTTTGCGGTGACAAGCCTCTCGTAGTGTTCCGAGAAAGCATGCAGAGACCTAATACCCTCCAGTAATGCATGATCACGGCCTGTTCCTGAGTAAATCTTCCAATGCATAGCCTCTTCAGCATTAGTTGTGTCAGGAATCGCTGCCCAGAGCGCGGTGTCCATCTTACGGTATGCTGGGAACAAGAGGGGTGCATGGGCCTCTCTTGTCCACCATGCTAACCATGGCTCAGTCTTAGGGAATTCCTTAATGATCAAGGATGCTCTCTCCTGGAAGACTGCCTTGTCATCAGTGCCAAATAGGCCTTCAACACGGTATTTGAAGGCCTCCGCACGTCCAACTGGGATGACCGCTGCGATCCTCGTGAGTCGCGTAACTCCTGCATCGAAATGTTGACGACAGCCTTTAACCAGAGCAGCTGCATCTTCCTGCAACTCCTCCTTGCTACGATTATCAGCTGACTGCAAGCACCAAAATCTGACAAAGGCACCGGTCTTGCCCAGCCTCTGCGCTTCGCTGAAGTCAACAACCTGAATTACACAGTCATCAACACCGGTCTGATGACTAGGAATGATGACCTACATACATCGAGAAAGAGTTCATCAGTGAGCGCAATACCACGCAGTTCCGCCTGCTGCCCGATGCTCTCATATAAAGCAAAGAAATGGCATTCATAGTGGTCTGCCGATGCGCCATTGGAGTAGGTGAATAGTACCGGCATCCAGCAAAGCAGATCCTTTGAAAACACTGAGCTGATGATCAAAAGTGCGTCCCGATTCCTCCAAAATCCATGTGCTGCATCAGTGACCAGTCCATTCACCGGCTCACTAGCAATAAAGTCCTTGATGAGCTGCGAGCGCATAAATGATGTCTGCATGACAATCACAGTGACACGGCCGATCTGAGAGAAGATAAAAAAATCCGGGTATTGCTGCTCAAGCGCAGCGAAGTCACTAATGAACGTTTCTGCACTCCCGCCGCTGCCGGAACTGCCTTGAGTAATGAGGCGACGTTCCTGTGTTATACGATCTTTATTCGTTAACACAGAAGATATGTCGGCGACGGAACGCCCTGGGCCTTCAATTCCAGGAATGCCAACGAGGAGGGCCATTGGGCCGGCTGTTGGATGGGAACGTACAATAGCTTCGAACTCGGCGCGCTCGTTTTTCAAAAGATGAAGTTTATGGGTTGGTCGAGCATGCTGATGTGGACCGCCGTTACGATAGAACTTCCCGTGCTTGTATGTCCATATCTTCGACGTTACTTTGCCCGGACATTCAAGATGTGTCAAACTGCCGCCGCAGCGGCATTTCTGACGGGTTTGCTTCCATATCTCTCGCGGACGGGTTTGAGGGCGAACAATTATTGAGCAGTCATCATTGTCGCACTCTATGATACCCTGACAATGCCGAAGTAACAGAGTGCCGTCCTCCCAGTGCTCTGCAGACGCCCTGCGCTTGCCACGACGATCATTTGACCCTGCAGATTCACATGCCCAATGAACCATAAGGTTCCCCGTAGCCTCGACTTCTTCCCAGGTAAAATTTCGTTCCCAAAAACCATCCGGCCAGCCATCCCATACGAGACCGTCCTGCTGTGGAGCGGCCACGCCCGGAGGGGATGAGGTTGGAGCAGCAGTCGACTGGGCCTGCATAGCGGCTGTATGTGTGCCGGCAGCACCTTGTGAATGTTGGAGTGGAGGTGTAGGGTGCGACGCCGGCCGTGAAATGTCAGCGCGAACTGGTTGATTGTCGCGGATGGAAGGAGGGGGAGGAGGATCATATCCTGCGCGCCCGCGGATGGGATGCGAGGGGCCGAGTTGGCGTTGAGGAGCTTCAGGCGAAACCTGCACGTATCCTATGATGGTGCCTATGGACAAGCGACGAAATGGATGTCTGTATATTGAAATGAGTGCGGGGATTTAATAACTCACCTTGTATATCGTAAATTGGTACCAGACCATTTGAAAGAGCGGTATTCGTGCAAGATGCTGCATGAAGTCTAAATTGCAGCTACATGACCGTTATGAAACGCTTACTTTGCACGTCGCCGGGTGGCCTCGAGGAAGGCGCATCACTAGAATCAGTGAAGTACTTGAGGACGTGTTTCCAAAAACCCTTCTGCAGCAGTCAGAGCTACACTCGAAACCTGAAGTGCAAGAAACATACAAGCATGTTAGAAATACACAATGTGGGTAGCAGATGCTTGCGCCCTAATATCCCCCGGCGCCCACAACGCCAGGCTATCAGGCGCATCCGACACCCGATTTGGCATATCCCGCTATCTCGATGTCCTCAGCCGCGGCAGACCAGTATTACCGGAAGACGTACCTGAATGGGTGGCCATCGAGCGACTGAAAAGGAGATGTCAATAACCTATCAAAACTCTGTTAGAGAGCCGAGGATTTCGTGCCCAAATATTGACACCATACGTCAATATGAAACTGGGATGTTAGTGTCATCTTTCAGCGTCAAGACCTTATGATTTCTTACCGCACACGTACTATACCTTTACGTGTGCGACAGTCGTCTTTGACTCCGCGGCATGAAGGATAAGAGGGATTCACTTTTCGTACTTCACATCCCGTATAGGAGTAATAGTACAGAGCATGTAAGATCAATGTAATGCATACATTCATTTAAAGGATCTAAACAATAGAACATCCGTGAGGAGCATTGTGGGCTATAGCGGAGAATGGAACCTACCAAGGTAAGTGCGCAAGTCACCCAATGAGCCCCCCCGGGCCAATCTCGGGCCTCCCGAGATCGCGAGATGTCCTGAGCACATACTGCAGTCTGGCTCGGAGTGGGTCATGCTGCAGAAGTGATGTACTCACTGCAGAGGCAGATCGACTCACTGCAGAGGCGACGACTCAGTGCAGAGGCAGTGACGCGGCAGTGACGAGGCATGCAGCGACACTGCAGCGGCACTGCCGAGGCGTCGACGAGGCATCCATTGAGGCGTTGACGAGGCGTGACGAGACATGTTGTTTCTCACATGAAGATGCACGGAGGGTGTCTGGTCCTGACAGAACCGGACTGTTAAACGAAGGAATGACTTTGGGGGTTCTGCACATGTACAGTACGCGACATACTCATACTTAGTTCTCAGCGAGTTAACCGTACTCCAGTGCACAGCCACTGTTCTGCGTGACATCCCAATGGGGTGATGAATCGTCTCAAATATCGGGAACTACGCACCCGGAAGTCATTTTTGTTTCACAGATACACAGTATATGCCTTGAAATAATGATTTACACTGTTTTTGGGGCTTAGCCAATGGTGCATGAGGCATCGGGCATCGACCCAGGTACATGTGACGTGACGGCGGCAGCATCCGTGAAGCGATGTCCTCAACCTGTTGGAAAGGCCACTTGCAAATCCCTGTACTGTTCGAAGTGGACTAGATTTGCTGGTGTCCGGCGAATCCGCCGGATGGAACTACAGGTAACATGTAGTTCCACTGTTCTCCGTACTTGCGAATGAGATTCAAACTGCGCGAGCGGCAGACCACGGAACCTATTACAGTCCATAAAATACTAGTGTTAGCGATGCAATACTGGTGTGGCATCCCTGGATTTTGGAGGATGGGTGCATCTATGTATACGAAATCACAACACAACAGTCTGGAGGCTTAGTGGTAGATCCCCCAGCCGGCACTTCGAAGATATACTTGCACGAAGACGGCCAAGCATTGTGCTCACGGTTCAGTATCTTTATATGACGAATATTGATTGGACGTAGGCGGTTCGGAGCTGCATCATCTGTACGTCGAGCCCTTCAATTACGATAAAACTGCAAATAAGAGCACTATATGCATTCAGAATTAGGGCCAAAACCATCGAGAGGACAAATCGAATCGACTCGATGACGAGGACTGCCTCGCTCTGAAGCAACTCTGAAGCCCTCTGCAGTGCCTCGTCACGCCTCGGCACGCCTCGGCATTTTCTCATTGCCCGGCACCGATCAGGATGACGTGGAACACGTGGAAGGATCGCTGCAGCTCGACCGCGGACTGAGTAACGCTCTCGACGCTCGCCGCGGCTCTGGCCATTCCCTCGCCTGGCACTACAAAAGACTACTTGTCAGCCCTGTAATTATCCAAGCACCCCGGCATGCGCGTAACACAACTCCCGACAGGTCTCCTGCTCCTTCTCACAGCATGCCTACAACAACCTCTCTCCTTCGCCTCCAGCCCGGGATCCTTCCTTACCAGCCCACTCGTTAAAGAGAACCAAGTGCAGGATGTACTGGAACACCAGCCAGCACAGGGCACCACCTGCAGACAGGACACCACAGTGCGTTTCCCGGCTTGTTAATGTAAGAGGGCGGATGATCGAGCGGTGGCTTCGGTAGCTTACAGGTCCGATAGAGACTACTCTGTGCGACTACGAGACGGTCGAAAGCGTCAATGAAGAGCTGTTCAACAATCTCAGCGAGCTGGTCAAGACGCCCTTCTTCAAGTACTTCCGTGTAGACCTGTATCGTGACTGTCCGTTCTGGGAAGAGCACGGTTTCTGTATGAATCGTGAATGCGGGATAACGACGGTGGACGAGGTGAGTATCCGTCTGTATTGTCTCCCACCATATACTAAGCACCCTCCCAGAGCGAAATCCCAGAAAAGTGGCGAGCAGCAGCCCTAAGCAAAGTCGAGCTGCCCTCAGACGAGCAGGTACGCCTGCCCTCCCTTTCCCCCGTCCTAACCCTTGAACCAACCCCGACCCCTAGCGGCAATCCCTCCCCGGCTGCTACTACCGCGACTCGGACTTCTGCTTCCTCGACGACCTCACCGAGGGCGACTACATCGACCTCTCCGTCAACCCCGAGCGCTTCACGGGCTACATCGGCCCGTCCGCGCACCGCATCTGGTCGACGATCTACGAGGAGAACTGCTTCGGCGTGTCCGACGCGCAGGAGGAGCTGGGCGGGGCCGCGCCCGAGGCGGGGCAGCAGTGTCTCGAGAAGCGGGTGTATTACAAGATCATCTCCGGTGAGCTTTCCTTCCTCCTCGCTGTGCACGCCAGCTGACAGCCGCCAGGCCTGCACGCGTCCATCTCGACGCACATCTGCGCGGAGTACTTCAACCAGACGACGGGCGAGTGGGGCCCGAACCTGCCGTGCTTCATCAACCGCGTCGCCGCGCACCCCGAGCGCCTCCAGTACATCTACTTCAACACCGTCCTCCTCCTGCGCGCCGTCGCGCGCCTCGGGCCGTACCTCGCCGCGTACGACTACTGCTCGTCGGGCACGCACGCGGACGACGCGCGCACGCTCGCGGTCGTCGGCAGCGTCGTCGCGCTCGCGCGCGAGGCGGGCAGGTTCGACGAGCGCGTGCTGTTCCAAGGCGAGAACGCGGACGTGCTGAAGGAGGAGTTTAAGCAGCATTTCAGGAACGTGTCGCGGATTATGGACTGTGTGGGGTGCGATAAGTGCCGGCTGTGGGGGAAGGTGCAGACGACGGGCGTGGCGACCGCGCTGAAGATCCTCTTCGAGCTCGACGAGAAGGCGCTGGAGTGCGTGTCCTCTCTCACTCCCATTCCGACTTCCTCTGTTCCCGGTGCTGACATTGCCCCGGGCAGCCCGCGCTCGAACTCGAACCTCCTGCAGCGCTCCGAGGTCGTCGCGCTGATCAACACGCTGTACCGCTTCAGCGAGAGCCTGCACGCCGTCGGGCGCTTCCGCGAGATGTGGGCCGCCGCGGACGCGGAGGCGTCGAGCCGCATCCTCAAGGAGGCCGAGACGCCCGACACGGCGCGGAATGTGCGTGTCCATCCCATCCCATCCCATCTCTTCCGCTTGCCGCTCACGCTGACACTGTGCTGCGTTTTGTAGCCGAAGGTCTCGCCGATCGCGGGCGCGCGCCCGCCGGCGGAGCACGTGTACGTGCGCCTGCGCGCGTGGATGAGCGCGTGCAAGCAGGGGACGGTCGGGTGCGTGAGCGCGCTCGTCGAGGGCGTGCGGTGGGCGTGGACGCTCGTGAGCTCGGCGTTTAGCATTAGCGCGAAGGAGAGCGGGCCGGGGAGAGTTGAGTTTTAGGAGACGGTGAGAGTGAGAGTGGAGGCTTTGGAGTATTTATTTGTTTCTCATATTTTCAGTGGGACGGTAGTGTACATGGATAGGAGTAATAGAGGAGCTCGACGGGCTGATGCCCTTGAGTTTTGGTAGCAGTGGTACATACACACGAGACAACCTGAATGCTGGGAGCACCCACCGTCGTAGGAGATGCGGCAAGGGACAACGTACTGTAGCTCGTACACGGACCAAAACCGTGCTGACGTGTAGTGCCTTCAGCCCATGGTGCAACACGGCCCAACAGCTCCGGGTGACGAACCTGGAGAAAGCGACTCTCTCGCAACAGTCGAAGGGGTGAAGAATGGGTTCGTTCCCTGGCGCGTAGCCGGCGAGTATGTCGTCTTTGCGAGCGGTATATCTGGAATTGCGGGGCCAGGGCCTGAGAACAGGCAGGTCCATGCCAGACGGGCTGGATGGATAGATTAAATTCGAGGCTGAGCAACTGGACGGCTACGGATTCTGTGCATTTCGCACGCGAGAAGCAGGCACAGGCTGGAGTGTCTGCATTGAATGATGGGTCACAGAACGGCGATAGGGCGCTGTCGGACGCGCAGATCCTATCGCAGCTTCGAGATACGAAGGCCTGAAAGGCTATCAATCTTCGCCAAGAGGTGCGTCCCGTAAGAAACTTGAGCATCACGAGGAGAACTATGTTGCAGGAAGAACTGCAAGCGATAGGGGAGCTTTCCGGTTTGACTCGGCAGTATGGCAATGGAGGGAGGAGACCAGAGATGATGGAGCGGGGACAGGACTCTCACGATCGAGGGCATCACGAATTCCAGTACGGGAGATCACGAATTCCAGCTAGAGGAATCACGAATTCCAGCAAGAGGTTCTCATGTCGGACAGCGCACCAGACCGTTAATTCCAGATACTTTCAGGGCGAGACGACCTGCGAAGGTAAGAACAATACGGAGAGATTGACATACGTACTCGAGTGTTGATGACCGCCGACGGAATGCTTTGCACACAGCCTGTCGGTCCCGTGGTGAACAAGCCTCTTTCGGTCCCCTCCCAACATCGCGCATAGCAATAGAGTCGCGGATAATATGGAATTTGCTGACCGAGCGCGCAAGTGGTACATACATCATGGCAAGATGATAGCGACAGATGGGCACGCAGGTTTATGGAATTCTGTCGCAGTCCAATCGGCTGTGGCAGGATTGGGTGCAGGGCGAAGCTGGAGAGACGGACGCGCCTCAGCATGCACACGCGATTGGTGCGTACCTCCTTCCCGCCATACGCTGCAATTCCATATGCCTGTTGATCCCAGCCGCGGTCGTCTGTCTGCAGAGCTGCTTGCCGGACAGAAGAGGACGCGATTCGTAAACGTTGTCCCACAGCCAAAGACGACTCAGCAACTGACATCGCCTGGATTGCGTGATCCTGCACCATCGCAAAACTGTTATAAGCCTTTTGCTCATTCGTCATATGCAGTCACTATCCACCTTTCCTCCTGCTTTTACAGGCTCGTGCGGCCTTCGCAGACACCAGTATTCGCGATTTGAAAAGCAGGTCAAATAGAACTAGCGATGGCCAACTCTCCGCACGGCGGTGTCCTCAAGGTACATACCTCCTTATATACGTCTTTTAGCGAAGCACGCAATTGATCACTCGGATCGCGCAGGACCTTCATGCTCGCGATGAGCACATCCGTGCTCAGCTCAAGGAGGAAGCCCTGATATTGAATGACATCGTTCTCACCGAGGTTCGTACGGTCTCTGCCTTGCCCGATTGTACTATGCTCACCCCTGCTCGGTCATCAGCGTCAGCTATGCGATCTAGAGCTCATCATGAACGGGGGCTTCAGCCCTCTGGAAGGTTTCATGAACGAAAAAGACTACAAATCGTACGCCTCTACATAGCCCCTATTTGGCATTGCTCTAATATCCTGCGCTCACGGGTAGAGTCGTCGACTCCCTCCGCATCGCCGATGGATCGCTCTTCCCTATTCCTATCACGCTCGACGTCTCCCGTGAAGATATCGAGAAGCTGTCGATTGCGCCAGGCGCTCGGCTAGCTCTCCGCGACCCCCGAGATGACGAGGCCCTCGCTATTCTTACCGGTGAGAACACTGTCCTCTCGAGATTATCTCTATTACTAACGATTGCCCAGTTGAGGATATCTACCAGCCGGACAAGGTCAAGGAGGCCATCGAGGTCTTTGGCGCCGACGACCCCGCCCACCCTTCTGTCGCTTACCTTCGCAGCAAGGTCAAGGACTTCTACGTCGGCGGCAAGGTGCAAGCCATCCAAGCCCCCGTCTACTTTGACTATGTCGCCCTCCGCTGTAAGTCTGCTTTTTCCTGCAATCAACAACGCACCAAGCTCATGTGCGGCACTAGACACCCCCGCCGAGCTCCGTGCCCACTTCAAGAAGCTGTCCTGGCGCAAAGTCGTCGCCTTCCAGACGCGCAACCCGATGCACCGCGCGCACCGCGAGCTGACCGTGCGCGCCGCGCGCCAGCGCCAGGCGAACGTGCTCATCCACCCCGTCGTCGGACTCACCAAGCCCGGCGACGTCGACCACTACACGCGCGTGCGCGTGTACGAGGCCATCATGGCAAAGTACCCCAATGGTATGGGCCACCTCGCGCTCCTGCCCCTGGCGATGCGCATGGCGGGCCCGCGCGAGGCGGTTTGGCACGCGCTCATTCGCAAGAACTTTGGCGCGACGCATTTCATTGTTGGAAGGGATCATGCGGGGCCGGGGAAGAACTCGCAGGGCAAGGACTTTTATGGCCCGTACGACGCGCAGGATTTGGTGACGAAGTATAAGGATGAGCTGCAGATCGAGATGGTGCCGTTCCAGCAGATGACGTACCTGCCCTCGACGGATGAGTACCAGCCGGTCGACGAGGTGCCCAAGGGCGTGCAGACACTGGATATCTCTGGCACGGAGCTGCGCAAACGCCTTCGGACGGGTGCGCCTATCCCAGATTGGTTCAGCTACGAGTACGTTGCTCTTCTCTTCTCCTAATCGTCTCTGAGCCATGACACTGACTCGCATCGTGTCACAGTGCTGTTGTGAAGACCCTCCGCGAGAGCTACCCCCCGCGCAACAAGCAGGGCTTCGTGATCTTCCTCACGGGCCTGCACAACTCGGGCAAGGACAACATCGCGAAGGCGCTGCAGACCGCGCTGAACCAGCAGGGCGGGCGCAGCGTCTCGCTGCTCCTCGGCGAGACCGTGCGGCACGAGCTCTCGTCCGAGCTCGGGTTCACGAAGGAGGACAGGAGCAAGCACCTGCAGCGCATCGCGTTCGTCGCGGCGGAGCTCACGCGCGCGGGCGCGGCCGTCATCTGCGCGCCCACGGCGCCGCATGAGGATGGGCGTCAGGCTGCGAGGGAAACGATTATCCAGCAGGGCGGGAGCGGGGGCAACTTTTTCTTGGTGCATGTCGCGACGCCGCTGGAGCACTGCGAGAAGACGGACAGGAAGGGGATGTATAAGCGGGCGCGGGCGGGCGAGATCAAGGGCTTCACGGGTGTGGATGACGTCTATGAGACGCCGAGCAAGGCGGATTTGACGGTGGATGTGACGAAGCAGAGTGTGCCGGAGATTGTGCACAGCATTATCCTGCTGTTGGAGACTGGCTCGCTGCTATAGGGGCAAGCCGTTCGGGCTTCTTGGTTAAATCATTCTCATCCCTTCCTGCATCTCTAGACTGCACTGCATTATCTTGGCTTTATTTATTGCATTTACTTACCGGTCCTACAATGAGATGTACGCCTACAGTGTACTCAATAAATTGGATTCTCAGAATTCCTTATTCTTTTTTGAGAGCCGTTACCATCCCATTTCATGCTTGGGTAGAGGTACAACTATCACGGCCTCCTCCGAAGGGTCGCCCATATTTCTCCAGCAGGGGGCGCACAAGATGCAGGGACTCTCGCCCAGTCTGATGTCTCCGACGATAGACCACACTGCTGGAACTTTACCACAAGCTCGGCAGAGGTCAAGGAGAGGCGGTGTTATTTGTACTGTCAACGGATATCCTGCTGGCGGGTCGCCTGGGTGAAGCAGTCTGATGAATCGCTCCGTCAGCCTGAGGTGTCAGGGTTGTGGCCGTGGAAAGAGTAATACCTGATTTGGTCTACTACGAGGAAGTGCTCACAGTTACCTTGGTGGAGCAGCCAGTATGGCTCATTGAGCTTCAGGGTGAGGGACGAGAACGCGGTGTCGTAGATCGAAGGACCTTTCTTCAGCGGGGTACACTTATTCGGTGGCAATTTTGCAAGGACGCCAAGCAGCTTGCTATTGCCAGCTATGAGAGGGTACTGAGAAACCGCGGTTTCCAAAAGGACTTACTCTGCGTAATCCGGTTCGTTCTGACCATCGCCGTAGGCAACACCCTCGAGGCATATGACACACCCCGTGCTGGGCTCAGGAGGGCCTTTGGCATCGTAGCCGACGAGTTCGCCATCCCGAATAATCTCCTTGGGTATCTCGTTGGAGGTGCACGGGATTGCTTCGAACAAGTCGCCGAGGGTCTGAGAGGAGAGGACAGCGTGCTGAGAGGACCTGCTGAAGTACCCGGGTCCCCATGGAACGCGGTTGTGCACTGTGATCGTTAGAAGGGCTTGGTTGGTGTCGGTAACAGGATCGGCTGTAGTCTTTTTCTGGAATTTGCAGCGAGTAAGGTGAGCTCTGGTGTATCAAAACAACAATCACTCACTATTTGACGGAGAGTATTTTGATCAGAGTTTTTGGGGGCTCGCATGAACAAAGCGGCATCTAACGACAGGCTGCATACAGGTTCAGCGCAAATCTTAATGCTGTCAATATCTCATCGAGTCCTTACTGCCAGCTTTTCAATTTTACACTGTCGAGCTTGTTGCGAAGCGCAATGACTTCGCTAGATTCGAAAGCGGGGTCGGGAAGGTTTCGTTTCCTTTTCCGCCTGTTTGACGAATCGGCTGTTTCGTGAATAGACATAATGGTAGCATCATGGCCCCTGAACAGGTTAGATGCGAGAGTGGGGTCCCCAAGAACGTCTGTTAGTGACGACCTCAAATCCTGGACGCTGCTCTAGTGTCGCTCGTTCAGTGCGATCACACTGTAGTTGAGATCGCGTACCTACACTCCGCGGAGACTGACTCCTTTTCTTCTTCAGACAAACTAGGCCACTTGTTCTTCACGGCAGTGGCCTCCGTGGATTGAGAGAGCAAGTCCGCGTCTTTGGCTGTCTGGATAAACGCTGAAACATTTATAAGTTCCGATGGGGGCCCAAAATGAGACTCGTAGGCATGGCTCATTCCGGCATTCATGTTGGTTACAAGTTCGTTTCCGCCTCCTTTGGCTTTGGCGTAGACGCGTCAAATAGTAGGAACGTAAAGAATGCGAGCCTGTCTATATTGAAGCGCTTACACGTGACATGATATTTGCCACTATTTACGCGTCCTGAATTCGAAGTCCGCGAGTTACCCTCATTCCTCCTGCTCTTCATGTGTCCTCGAGAGAACCTCTAAGTCGCTTTGTACCCTTTATCCTCCACCTACCTGCAGATGAAGGACTATGTGGACCGCGGCGTTCAGACCTCTCCGATTATTTCAACTGCTCAAGCTGGTGCAAGACAAGCCCCTCTCGGTGCACGTCGACTGCACGATTCTCCGCTTTTTAATGACGCATATAGTCACTCCAGCCATCAGGATGGGTCTGAGGTTCCTTTGTCTCATACTCAGCGGCGTACGTATGGCTATCAACAGCTGAGTCGGCGTGGACCCTTGCGGCTTCAAGAGCAAAGCGGGCGGATCGTGTCTCTCCCAGAAACGGAGGCCCCCTATTCTGTCAAGGCTGCTGTGGAGTCTACCACCGTCCGCGTGGTGTCCATGCCGGAGAGGAGGCGTGCCTCGGTGTCTTTCTCTACTTCGAGCCCCGCTTCGAGGCAAGACCATTCTCTCAGCCAGGACCACTCCGATGTTTCCCGGGATGAAGGATACGTTCTCAGGAGGAGAACTCGTACTCGGACGTACTCCCACGATACTCCGAGGACGCCATCCCCGCCGTCCTCTCCGGAGTCAGTTGTGATTATAGCGAGCAATTCTCAGCTTCCAGATGTTTTCTTGAGGAGGAAGAAAACGGATCCAAGCACACGACCGCATCCCAGCAATGACGGCGGTAAACTTAACAATAGATGGATGTATCTGAGAGCTAATGTACCTTTGTTGAAGGCTGGATCACTTGGACGAATTCGCCTCCTCGGCCGATTCCCGCCCTCCATGGCCCGTTATCATTGCCATACGCGCGCTGCCCTTCGTACGCAATATCTCACGTATCTGTCTTTTTGGCTGTTTGATGTCGCTATATAGAGGTGCGGAAGGAACAATCATCGAAGAACCAGAACATCTACCCCGAGTTATATGGGGTCTGGATTCCGAAAACGTTCAGACTAGTGACGCTCGATATGAGTCTGGAGGCACCACTCAAAGATCTCGCGGAGAAGGTTATGCATCTCAGAAACTACCGCCTCGTCTACAGAAGATACACACACAGGAGCCGATGGAACGACTCACCACGTCCTCAAGTTTCTCGGCTAACGCAGCCCACCCGTCGCCAGGGACGGGGGGGATCTACCGAAGAGTTTCAGTCGCTCATGCGAATGCTTCAGTATCGGCCCGAGGCAAGGGACCAGAGAATGATGTTTCCGCGGCGATGAGCCAGCCCGAACTATACGCGGACGAAAGGCTAATGTCCTCGGACCTGCTCCGCGGCGGGCACCTCAACAGGGCTGAATCAGGACTTCAACAGAGGCAAGAGCTTTCGCCGCTAGCCTTTGAGGACTTGCCGCTTCCTTGGAAAACTCTACTTGCCAACCGCAGCCTGAACATCCAAGGACCCGGTATGAACCCAAGACCAGCCAATGATATGGCGCATCTACTGAAGGCCAGCGCTCCTGCTTTTGTTCCTACTGGGTCTCTTGAAGGGCTCTACCATCCCAAGCTCGTCGTAGAACCGCGCTCCGCTCAGCCTTCGCCTCCGCAGCACTACTCCCATCGCCGCTTGCCTACAATTGATCTGACGCAGCCTTATCTGCAGCTCCCACTTGGACGACAGACTCTACTTCCGACCCCACCGAGTACATCGTCTCCGCTGTGGTCGTCTGACTTTTCTCCCTATCAAGAGTCTTTGCTTTCTCCCCCTGAGCTAGCCGTAGCTCATCTGCCTCGTCTGTCTAACAATCTTGGCATCCAGCTCGGCAATTTAGGTATGACCGAGCAGCTTCGTCGACTTCTGTATGAACGCCTGGGCTCCGCTTCTTCTCGAAACATTGATGTGTCCCCGCCTCTCGCTCCGCCAGCTCCGATACATGGATCTAAAATTTCTCGACCTCTGTCTTCGTCGGTAACGAACGCTGTTTTGCAACCCTATATTAGTAGGCAACCGAATAATCATTCGTCAACACTCTCTTCTCCTCAAGCTACTAGTTCCCCACCTAGGCTCCGTGTACCACCGAATACGCCCTTGCAGAACCTATCTATCTCTCGTCGACTAGATACAAATCCCTTTGGCTCTCATTCTGTAGATGCTGTGTCTACGCCTCCTTCTCCTCAGTCTCCGGAGACTCATACCAAAGTGCGGACTTTGTCAGGTCAGCAACCGAGGTCGATACCACTGGCTAAGCTCATACAGCGCCGCTTGTCTGCTGTGCCTGAGGCCGAAGAAGAACCATCTTTCGTTCATCATGCGAGCCGCTCACCGTCACCGTCTAGAGCTTACTCTTTCCATCGCAGTCCTGGAGGCGCGCGAGACGAAGTCCCTGTGCAGATATACTCTACGCGTGATCAGTTGCAACGTATGACGTCACCGAAGCCCCAGCAGATGCGGGGACGTCGTCCTGCTGGGCCTCCTGCCCAGCGTGGCACGTCTCGACATACCGGTACTAAGTCGGGTGACATACGCGTCCCTGTTGCAGTGAGTACTTACTCATTCGCCTGGTGCTTTCTGATTGTTGGCCCGTCACCCATTGTAAGGCTACTTCCGGGTCCAAAGCAGAAGCTAAGATCAATAAGACACCCGAAGGCCCTAAAACCCAGGCCCCTAAGAAAAGACCGTACCGCAAGAAGAATCGCACTTCCTCGCTCGATAGCACCGCAACCGTCGCATCTGTAGCCGCCAGTTCGTCCAAAGGGTAATCGACCTGCCGCTGTAGTCATCGTTGCATTTGTCATATACCCGTATCTTGACATGGCCGTGCCATCGTGTTCTGCATTTGCAATTATTTCGGACATTGTTCCTCGCATGTAGCCGTACGCGTCTCCTCCGTTGTCCCTGTACTCGTTCAGTCCGACTGCATTCGCTGTATTATAAGGAAAGACACGTTTGTATCCGGAAGGAATTATTTGGCGTGTTATAACAATGCGCGAAAGCGTCCCCGGTTTGCCTGAGGCCGTCACCGGAGCAGGCCGTCGCACTTTCGAGTGGGAGGATGGTACAGTCCGATGCCGTCCGAACGCATAGAGCGCCGATGATAAGATAGATATGAATCATATGATATAAACGTCCTGTAGGTCTACAATATATCGGTATGGCATCGGTGGGCGCAAGGTGGGTGGGACCGAACTTACTCCGATGTTATAAAGCCGTAGACTCCATAACGTCTCAAGCAATGTCGCAAGGAACATCGACAGTCCATGTATCCTGCTACTGCGGCAAGTACGTCGCAAATGTCATTGTCAATGCAGATTCTACGATCCAGAAGATCCCGTGTCATTGCACCAGCTGTCGCCGCTGGACAGGTGGGCTGTATGTGTATCGCTTACCAACTACCCAAGAGCCCCTTGGAATACAGCGCCTCACAGAGTACCGAGTTACCCCGCTGTCAACCAAGTACTTCTGCCCGGACTGCGGCTCACACATATTCGGGAAGACTGGGCAGAAGTGGGGCGTCAGTCCTGGGGTGGTAGACGGCGAGGAGCTTCAACCATCGGTAGAGATCGTCGGGCATGAGTTTGTAGAAGACACAGGGGACGGAGGGTTCACATCCTGGCTGACGCACTGGGGAGGGAAGGAGCTGCCGAGATGGAAGGGCGAAGCGCACGAGAGCGAGCTGCTCCCGCCGGAGTGGCCAAGCGCAGACGACAATCAAAGGAACCAGGACACCGAGGACGACAAGCTTTGGGCCGGGTGCCATTGCGGCGGAGTGGCGTTCTACATCACGCACCCGAATGAAGCTTCGAGGCAGCCACGACGTGCGCCCTTCCCAGAGTTGATGGTACCCGGGGACAAGGCCGAAAATCCGGAGGGCCAAACGTGGTGGCTACAAGCCGGCGGGACGAAGTACCTCGCGGGACTGTGTACATGCCGGAGTTGCTGCAAGGCTACGGGGTTCGATATACAGGCGTGGGCGTTTGTCCCGGAATGCAACGTCTTCCAGCCAAATGGAGAGCCGTTGGATGTTAATGCTGGCACCTTGAAGAAGCGGTACAGCGAGAAGATAGATGGAGCGTACCGATGCTTTTGTGGTACTTGCGGCGCGACCGTATTCTGGGGGTCGGATAACAGAGATGGAGTAGTGGATATCAGCGTGGGTCTGTTCAAGGGGAAGGGTGCCAGAGTTGAAGACTGGCTGGTGTTTGGCAAGAGAGTTAGCTATGTTCAGGAGGCAACAAATAAGAAATTGGTGCAGGAGTTGGGAAGGCACTTTACCATCACTGGATGGCCGAAGGCCTAACTAGAGTTGCGAAAAATCCAGGTAAGCGCAAGCAATCAGACGATGCCAGGAAAACCGTTAAATAGATCGAATCGCATTTAGATGAAGGACGCTTCATGAAGCAAAGGGATATTCAGTCGGTTCTCTTGATTCGCACTGTATCGTCGTCAATGTACCCAAAAACCCATGCTACCGGATGAACAAAAAAAAGAAACCAGAGCTGTCTCGAGATATCACACCCTATGATCCTCCTGGAAAGCGTGGTAGTTCCGTGGCTACACTGTGATGAGTCGAGGCTGGCTCCTGCTCATACACAGATCAGTATCCTTCATGGACAAGACTCGCCGACACGGGGATAGGCCTATTGTCGAACCGTCATACCTACAGTAGCCACTGCCTGGTATTCGGGTAGCATGGTAGCGGCAAAGCTCTCTGGCATGACGTTTCTTCTCGGGACGGAGGTAAATCAAGTATTGCGCTTCAGAAATACAAGGCGGGTACTCTGCGCCGTGCTTGCTGGATCAAGAAGGATTCCCTGCGTTCGAGGACCAACAAACAAGAGTTCATTGCAGTGCTGCCAAGCTACTACAGAAACCTTTGTATGCCGCGCCCCTCAAGGAGCCGATGTACATATGATCGACGCTGCACAGGCTATGTTCCATTGTAATTCAAGAGGAACGATTTTGCGAGTTGAATTTTGTTACCGCTGTGGACCTAAGTAAAGGAGCAAGGAAACAGTCGAGATCGACAGCGCTAACCCGCAGCAGGTTGCTTTTAACATTGTAAGCAAACGTGATTGTGGCGGTAAACCGTCATACGCCCGATTGGGAAATGGGGGTGGGCTTCGGCTTCGGTGTCTCATCTTCCAGTCCCCTTCGTCCATCGCTCATTCCTTACCGCTGTTTCTGTCCTTTATTCCGCTTTCTCTGGCTGGTCGATGAGCTCCGCTCTACCATGATCCTTCTCGACGAAGAAGACCAGCAGCAACGTAAGCTTCGACCGTCCTCCGTCGCTGGTCCGACTTCCAGAAACCCAGAGGAACCTGTTCCCGGACGGGACCCTTTACCTGATTATGAAACATCACAAGCACTGCAGGAGAATGAGTCGCAGGAGAGTGACATAGTAACTTTGAAGAAGAAGGCGAAGAAGAGGCGGAAGTGCGTTTACTTGGATTTCAAGTCTGATGCGAGGTTTTGGAGAGCGACGCTGTATGCCCTCATCATCTACATTCTCATCACACTGGCGGTTGGCGTGCCGCTGCTCATTATTGTGAGTCCATTTGCTGGCTGGGACGGATTGGGCTCGGTGGGAGCTTAGACTGATACCCAAGCAGCGGTTACGGCGGCGCGAGAAGTCGAAACCTTTTCCCGTTCCATGGGATGAAAGTGCTGCTGCTTTGCTCGCCCTCCCCATCACTGAAGGTCAGGTTGTTGACTGCAATACATGGACAATTGATGGAGGGAGCCGGACGTCGAGGTAAGCTGATACGCCAATTCCCCATAGCGTCAACGTCCAACGTCTCCCTAGCTTGGAGTACAGATTTCCTGTCTCAAGCTCGATCGTCTTCAAGTCCAATGTGTCACAGGATATGGACTCGCCTCGCCTCATCCAGGGACAGCTGGCCATTGACCTGAACCAGGACCATACGGAGCAAGATACGCTGGTCTTTGTCAACCTCAACTATTCCAGCGAAGCTATATTGAAAGAGACGAATGTTTGCCACATCAGGGGCCTAGGTAGTGATGGAGTTTCCATAACCGTGCGTATCGTCATTTGTATGTGATCTAATGCACGGACCTGACAGTGGATCATTTGAATGCCCTCAGGTACCTAGAAACCTTGCTATGACAGATTCGTTACACTTCGACATGACCGTGCTTCTTCCTTCCAACTCCGCTAATCCTGTGTCCATCGAAGCACTCGTCACTTTCCTTCCGTCCTTCACGCAGAAGATTGGCTCGTTATATCCTCAAGTTAACTTCGAGAAGATAACCATCGAGGGTCCCATGTCTGCCATTACTGTTGGTGTAAGTCCATTCAACGACTCTTCCTCCAAACGGATTAATAGAATTGTACCTTTCAGTCCGTGCAAGCGGACAATGTCGTAATGAAGAGCTCACTTGCACCTATCTCCGGCACGTTCAATGCCTCCAGCTCCCTCATTCTTGACACCATTGCTGCGTACGTTGTTCTTCGACTACTTTGCCGGGAGATAGCTGAGAAGTGTTCCAGCCCCATTGACGCCAATATTACCCTGGTCAATCCTCGGAAATGCGGCAAACCTACCATCATGGATATCAGCACCGGCAATAGGTACGCATCTCTGTCCTAGCCTCTAGACTTCTCTGATGGCTCTCTCACGAAATCAGCGGAATCGACGCCAATGTCACTCTTGTACTCACAGCACCGCCAACTACAACATCCAGCCTCCCTCCCCAATTCCTTTCCGAAGTCACCACATTCAGCGGCAACCTCAACCTCAGCATCGCCCACGACCCATCCACCCCTCCATCACACATGCACCTCCGGTCCCAAAATAACCTTGGCCAGTCGAGCGTCACCGTCGACGAGAAGTTCGAGGGCACGTTCTCGGTCATCACAAAATTTGACGAGGCGAATGTGCTAGCGGCCAAACTGTCGGCATCTGTCGATCCGCTGGGACAGGGACGGACACGGACGTTTGAGTTAGACTATAATACTACCTCGCGGATGGACGGGTGGATAGGGTGGGGGGCGCGACCGAATGTAAAGTGGTCGCGGCGGACGGGGCAGGGGCGCGTGGAGGTGGTTTCATCGCTGAGTCCTGTGCTGCTGAGACTGGGTGAGCCATAGCCCGCGTGGAGCTCATAGACTGTTGTGCTGTATCTGTACCATATATCATTTAGGCTTGTTCACAGGGACATATCGCAATCTTGTATTAATCACACATTTGCATTTATACATACGATTGCAAATACGGCGGACTCGTCCTTCCGTCTTTTGTTGTATAACCCTTACTTAAGTTACCTGGCTTGTACGGTACATCCTCTATACGTCACTGCAACATTGCAGGATGATAAGGGAAACGAAGTTTGATTGTTGCGGCTCTCGGGGTGAAGGAACATTTTATCTTCAGCACTCTGCATCGCATAATGTTTGGGACATGACGGAAAACGAAGAGTTATAGAATTCAAGTGGTATATCTATTATACAAAGCGGCTCAGCAACCAGTGCTGGCCAAGCAACGATAGAATATCAAACAAGCGGATATCATGATCAAGCATATGCCGCATCTTCCTCTTCCTCCAATATGGGCGACACGAGGGGCTGCCCGCGCACGGAAAGTGAAATGCGGACCTTCCTCTTGGGCACCCATCGCGCTGCCGGCCTGCGAATGCCTCTGATGAGCGACCTCCCGCGGCTCACCGTGTCGAGAACTAGGAGCAGAGGTGGTAGGGTTTCGACAGGGGAGGGAATATAGATAATGTCTTGCGGCTCCAGTTTCGGCGACGGTGGAGGAGGAGCAACGGGCGACGGGCATTCTTGGAGCGGCTGTAGGTAGTCGGTGGGCAACTCTTCTGGAGTCGCGCAAGCGCTGAACGGCAGACGGGGTGCGTTTGCGGGGAGGACGTCCGTCTCTGATATCGCCGGGAGGTGGCGTTCGGACGGCAGGCCGAGCCCCAGCCCGACACAGGCTTTGCGGCGACTCGGAGCGTAGACTAGGGAGTTGGTAGGCGGAGGGGCCGCGCCCAATGAATGGCAGAAGTTTCTGCGGCGGTCTGCGCGGCGCTTGCGGATTGGGATGTCGCGGGCGTCGGAGTATACGCCCCAGGACGGGATGGGTGATTCCTCGTCCATGACTGGGGTTCGTCGTTTGTGACGCCGAGCTCTGCTTTGGCTTTTTGGTGGGAGTGCGCTGGATTTGGGACGGCCGGGGGTATCATGTTCTTCCTCGGCGTCGTAGCCTGCGTCGCCGTGGTCATTGGTGTTGTCGTCTCGGCTCGTATGCCAGCCGTTGATGAACTGCAGTGGTGTCTCATCAGGGGCGACGCCAGCGTCTCCATTGACTTTGAGCGTGATGAGAGTTTGAAGGCTGGCTTCAAGGACAGAGTCGATGGCTTCTTTGGAGGGCGATGGGGGCGGCGTGATGTCCGTTTCAGCCTGACTATCTGACGCGCAGGAGTCCCATATAAGGGAGCCGGACTGGCTTGTCGAACCAGAAGACGAAGATGAGGAGTGTCTGAGAGAGTCGAGCGTGGGGACAGAAAGAGAAGAAAGCGGGATGGATGAGAGAGACATTATAGTGACCAGCACAGCGATGATTCTGTTTCAGATACGAGGGGAGTAAGTAGACTTGTGGTGGAGTGCAGAGTCGGTTGATGGACGACTTGGGCTGCACCCCACCCTTTTTATACCTTTCAGAGGAGCAGAAACAGCGGAAAGGAATCCACCCGTCGAACGGGGAAGGGAAGTGTGGCCCGTGGCGCCTACCGTACCCGTCTCGATCCTGACCGGGACTGTTGTAACCATCCCGCTGCCTGCGTCGGCCCTCTGGGCGGCGTCCGCGGAACGCGCCTCGAGTGCGGCGCCCTTGATGCCCTGCATGCCGTCGCGGTCCGTCCTGTTCGCCATAGAAGCCATGGAAGCCGTGGAACCTACCCGCAGTTTACATTTCGAGCTGAAATCTTCATGAAGAAATGTCAGTACAAACAGTCCGTAATCCAACGACACGCAGTCGGGAGTCGCAGCGCGGAGGTTTGCTAGGTTACGGCAATAGCCGCAGAACGTCGGACGTCCGAGGACATATGTAAGTATAACGCCCACTGGCAGATCAGATTCAAGGAAGATACATGAAGGTATCATGAAGCTAGGATTGCAATTGCTCGCCTATATACTGGATTTCGAGAAGGGTTGTGTCCAGATCGCATGCGATTGACAGAGCCCCAAGCGGTACATAATTATAATAGGCAAGTTACAATAAGTATAATTAACGGTGCGGACAATCAGTCCAAAGATACTACGTTCCTAAGCCCCTCCAAGACCACAGTGAATACGCCCGGAGAACCAAACGAATGTGAGACGTAGGATACAGTGAGAAAGAGATCTGCTGCTTATCTGTGCCCAGTGATGAGTAGATGAACCAAATGAACGTCGAAGTGCACTATGCATATCAAACCCAGCCTGCTCTGGATCATATCTGGATGACGGTAACCAGCCAAATCACGCTTCCCACTCGAACCAGCTGGCGCTTTCTACATTCCAGTCCGCGAGGGACAACTGCCGGGGTTCTCCGGACCCACCGAAGTTAGGGCGTACCCTGGGGATATACGGCACGCGGTTGGCGTTCCCATAGGATTCCTGGGCTTCCAACCTTGTCTTCACCGATCGATGCACCTTGATTTTGCCTCTGTCCATGATAGGCTTGTGGATCTTCCGGCTAAATCCAAAATTCAGGCTGGAGGGGTATGTATCAGCTATCATGGATTCCATACCCACGAAGGGAAAGAGTCCACTTACACCCACTGATAGGTATCCTTCTTCTCGTCCGATTCATTGTATTTCTTCGCACGGAAAGGGATTCGGTCAATGAGACGCCACAGCCAATGCAGCTCCATCTGGTCGTACACGGGCTGCACCGCATCGCGCAGCTCCTCCTCGGCTTCGCCCAATGGTGCCTTGGCAATCACCTCTTCTGCAGGCTCGTAACGCCCAAAGAACAGCTTGTAGGGGAACGTGAGCAGGCTCCACCAGAACTTGAAGAACGCTTGTATGAACGTCTGGCTCGCAGGGCCCGTGACCAATTCATGATCACCGCTCGCGAGGGGCTGTAACGGGAGAGGACGCTCGCTGACGGTGACCGACCCCTTGAGAGGAACCATGTCCAGCCCAGCTTCGTCACGCAGCAGCTCAGCATCGAAGATGATCCCAGTATTGGCACGGAAACACTCCCGGATCATCCAGCGGAGCGGGATGCGAGCTAAACTGTGGCGTTCCGAATTCTTGACCGACCCGCCACCAACGTCTGTGCAGGTCAGGTCATTTTCTGTTTAATTCACTCAAGCTTGTTGGAACTCACCACAGTGGGCGCCGGCGAACCACACTTCTTTGGCATCAGTCGTTTTAGTCTCGTCTCCGGATGCGGCGCTTGTGTCATTGGATTGCCTGTAAAAGGTAGGGATAAACTTGCCCCGCCGCTCATCCAGAGCAAGGGCATGGCGGAAGACGCGAATACCGTCATTGGTGTTGACGAAAGGGAGATCTTTCGTGACGAGGCCGGTAGAAGCCACGGTATCCCTAGACGCAAGACCGATTGAGCATACGTTCAGGGCAATGCACGAAGACTACTTACCAGACCCCCACGAAGTCTATCTTGACATCGATCGAGAATGTCTGTTTGAACATGCTACTCATTATTTCGCTGCTTGGGTCGTCGCGCTTGTACATTGTGTACGCGAAAGGTAGATGCTCGCAGTTTCCTTTCGATAACAAACCAATCTTCCGGAGCATCCCAGCCAAGGCTCTGGCGGTGTAAGCTCCTCTGGTGAACCCGAAGATGCATATCCTGTCTCCGGCAGTGTCTTATAGAAGCTTAGTGGATGAATAACGACATATTGGATATGCTTACAATTGTCCATGAGGAACTTGTAACCATCTATCCACTAGGTGAGACGATATACAGCAAGGAGCGGCGATGTACTTACGTTTCATATGGCTGTCGAGAGTGAAGGCGAACATCGTGTCAAGGACCATGGACATCTTAGAGACGATCGGCGTTACAATCCAGGGGTCCGTGTAGGTGCCAATGCCCGTCTTCATCCTCGTGAGTATGACTCGGAAAAAGCGAGAGTAGATGTTACCTGATAATAAACAAGCTGCTTGGTCGTGTCATCCTTCCTCAAGAAAGACGTTAAGCGAACGACATTTGAGTTCTGCATATGAAAGTATGAGATTAACCTGATAAAATCAAACGTTGATGGAAAGCTAACCGTGGAGTCGAAGGAATCCGACGTTCCGTCGAACAGAAGAACGATGGTACGACCACCCTCCCGGCTCGGTGTCCCCGCGGAAATCCATTTACGATTCTCTTCTGGGGCCCAAGCACAGTCGGGCGTGCACGGCTCGACCTCCTTCCCGCCATAGTCGCACTCAGTCTCGAAAGAGACGTCGACGTCAGAGTCGTGGGTATGTGACTGGGGCGGGAGGGTTTCCCTGCGATGGTCGAAGGGACTGTGCTGGATGCCTCTAGGGTCACGAAAGGAATCCTGAGCCTTACCGCCGGTGAAGTACTCTCTGACCTCACTCTCAGCAACTTCGTAATCTTCCCGGGTGTCGGAGAAGTCGCCGTGGGTTTCTCTGGAGCTGGAAAAGCGGGTGTGGCTCTCCCTGGCACTCGGGACACGCCCATAGACGACTTTCCTCGTGTTGCAACTGTCCGACATGGCGAGAATGTTGAAGAGGCAATAGAGGCCAGAATAATCGGGGCGACTTCGGGTCTGCTCCATCTCTCTCGACCATGGCAGCTATTATACCAGTCCGCAAACGCTCTGGACCTAGATAGTGGATCTGCTGGAGAAGAAGGTACCGCTGGCGCGACTGAATCCCGTGGCGCGCTGGGGTCGGTGTGTGCCTCGCCGACGCTACTGACTGCTCAAACAATGTTCGAGTTGTCAGGAGTGTCAGCGAAGCTGCCACCGATGGCTTGAGGTATGCTTGGTACCTGGAAAAGGTCATCCTGCCTCCGACAGCATCAATAGCCTAACTTCGTAGGGAAAATTTATATATAGCCACAGCACTCTCACCACCAAATGGACAGGGCAACCATTGTCGGTATCCTTAGAGCGCCGTCAGTCCTCCTGATGTGAAGCGCAACCGAGTCCTTCCTATGGCGTACGACGGGAACGGACCGCCACGGTCTCAGCGCTCAGCATATATGTACTGGCATATGCAGCATAGTTCCATGTTGCAAGGCGTAAAGCAATAGATGCAAGAGCTACGCGGCGAACACACCAGCATTTGCAGGGCTTTGCACGCAGCCCAGGCGAGTTCTCGCAACCAGGCGCAGCGGAAACGAAGTGCAAGTCGGAGAGTCAGCCTCAGTCAGGAGGCTGCGACCGCCGCAAGAGGAAGCACGGAAAGTGCCGCCACGTGGCACGTGCCGAGAAGCCGAGCCCTCGCAAAGCGCAAATCTGGTCTTCCTCAACACCGTTCGACACATCCTCAAGACAAGACCGTCCGACTGGTGAGTGTATACACCAGTTCTCTGTGTTGAGGGACTGTCGGGACAGTGTCTCGTTGCCGTTTCAAGTGGAAGAGCTGAAAGAACGGGGTGGATTGGGGGTTCGGACCTAGGATGACGGTCGAGGATGTCTGGCGAATGACCTTGCTGATACATCCCACCAGGCTCGACGATGGGTGCCTACAAGTATATCGGCGAGCTCTACAAGAAGAAGCAGTCGGATGTCCTCCGTTTCCTCCTCCGCGTTCGGTATGTCTTCCGTGCCAGGTCGCGACTCGAAGTCCTCATTCTACTGTTCACGCTTTCAGCTGCTGGGAGTACCGCCAGCTGAACGTCATCCACCGTGCTTCGCGGCCCTCTCGTCCCGACAAGGCTCGCCGCTTGGGTTACAAGGCCAAGCAAGGCTATGTTGTGTACCGTGTGCGCGTCAGGAGGGGTAACCGCAAGAAGCATGTTCCCAAGGGTATGAGCCTTTTTTGATGCTCCTGCCATGGAAGAAATTGAGCGTTGCATCCAGGTGCCACTTACGGCAAGCCCGTCCGGCAGGGTGTTAACCACCTCAAGCCCCAGCGTGGCCTGAGGAGCGTCGCAGAGGAGCGTGTCGGCAGACGGTGCGGAAACTTGCGGGTTCTCAACTCCTACTGGATCAACCAGGATGGTGTTTACAAGTACTACGAGGTCATCCTTGTTGACCCCAACCACAAAGCCGTATGTGTTCCATGCTACGTTGGGCATGTGCTTGGTTTACTAACTGTGTACGCAGATCCGCCGTGACCCCCGGATCAACTGGATCTGCAACCCTGTCCACAAGCGTCGCGAGGCTCGCGGTCTCACCGCCGTGGGCAAAAAGGTCGGCGACTCTGCTATACTCTTAGTGCTCTCTTGCTCATTCCTATTGTCGGCAGAACCGTGGTATTGGCAAGGGCCACCGCTACAACCATACCCCCAAGCTGGCCACTTGGAAGAGGCACAACACCCTCAGCCTGCGCCGCTACCGGTGAAAGCTGTACCATCCCACTTCCCCTTGCTCTCGCTATGTCTTTCCCTGCTTCGTCATTACCTACACATGTTCCATGTCCCTCATGGTTGTATGCTCTTACGCTTGCGCCTAAAATGCATTTGGAGATGACGCTGCGGTGCTATCGATCTTAAGTGAGGATAACTATGCAAGGTGCGAACACACCAATCGCAAGTGCTGACCCGGTCGCTGTCCGGTACAAAATCAAATGGCATGACTTGCCGAACGCTACCTTTTGTCGCTACTGACCACGATTGATACGCCAGGACTTGCGAAGTGCTTCAAGGATAGGCAGAGCTGTACAGCACACTCAAAGGAAGACGGCCTGGTATTCCTCATCGCTGATAACAAAACCACTCGGCGCTATGATCGTGCCTTTGGCCTGGTCGATGTTTTCCGGGTCAATGGGACACAGTCAGCTGGCGTGTTCCCTCTCGGCCGTCGAAGTCATAGGTGCGAGCGTCTTGCCTTCATGTTCAATAGTTGGGGCCTTGTAGTTTGATACATTCCACTGTAGTCCGTGCTCGCAGTATTCGGGATCGGCAGCCGCCTCCTTGACAGGAGGCGTAGGCGGCAGACGAACCTACAATACTGGACCAAGAATATGCTGATAGCTGTGCACCATAAAGCAATGAAATAGTTAAACAGTGACGAGTACTCGTTGAGATGTCACTCGCGCTGTCTGGCAGTAATCTTCTCGCTGATATCAAGGCTGCTCAGCCTCCTGATGGTATCGTCGATTTTGGTCCAGACTTGATTTTTACCGACGACAGGGCTAGGATGAATGGAGAAACTAGTCGCCTTGAGCGAGCGCGAAGTAATAACAAAGCGCACAACGCCGCAGACAAGTTATAAACGTGCAAATTGACGACAGTACCGTTGCCATTCGATAACACAGCTAAAAGCAAACGGCCTACCTCGATTCCGGCCCTTCTGTATCGTCAGTGGGCCTGGCTATACCGGCGTTCATGACCAGGATGTCGAGGCGTCCGCCGTCCTTTTCAAATTCAACTAAGGAAAAGAACTAACCAAAAGCCCAGCGCTCAGCCATATTCCTTCTGGTAGGTTTCTCTACGTCCCGGGTGAGTAGCTGAGAACGTATGGGTCGTTTGACGAATCCACTAGCCTACGATGGCTCTCTTACCTTTCTCCTCGTTGCGGCAAGTCATCATGGCACTGCTAGTTCATGGAAGCGAAGTCTTCGGCGGCCTCAACACCGCACGGACAATAATCACAATCTTGTCTCCAAGGTCGGCTTTGAGTTCAAGTTTCGGTGCCCCCGCCCGTTGCTTCACGAAGAACCGCAAAAAGGTTGGCTGGGCCATTTCTGCTTGGACTGGGGACAAGGTGCTTCATGTTACAGTCACTCCCCAGCAGGCGCGGGGAGAGACCCAGCGGGAAACCGTGAGTGGACCGCGCTCTACACCAATACTCCACACATCTCAAACGTGTGTCTGCTGCCTGTGCCTTCTGAAGACATAGATGGCATGCCTGTTGTACTTACCAGTTACTCAGCCATGATTTGGGTGATATAACGGGCTCTCAGGTCGGCACCGTATCCCAAGAGCACGAATTTTGGCGTATGTAGTTCTGTAGTGTACGTGACAAAAGTAAGGAAACGGCAGCGATCAGCATTGTCTGCCAGTCCATACCATCTATATGCCTACACGGACAGATTGTGTATGGCAACGTAGCCAAGTGGTTACGGCGTCACGTTTAGGTCAATAAGGACACACCGTGATGGGTCTTCCCGCGCGAGTTCGAATCTCGTCGTTGTCAGATTCTTTTGCCAGTATGGCTCAACCAGAAATACCTTGTGGACCCCTTTTTACCTCCCTCGTAAGGGAGCGGCGCCAGAGGAACGACGCAGGCAAGGTGCCCTCAACAGTATCGAGAAACACGTTAATAATGACACACAGGCCGAGTCCAATAATTGTACATTACTAGTGCTATCCATTCTACGTAGAAAATGCAAGACTTGAAAGCACCATAGTCTGTAGCGGTAGAAATGTCACCTATGTACAGGAGAAGCAGCACTGGAAAAGTAGATACCCTATGCTCACTGAACAGTACGCGATAAAGATAGAGCAAACTGCGATGATACAATGTGCGGTGGCCGCGAGCAAAGGTAGATCCAATATACAGATTCGTGGAGAGTGAGGTGGCGATGATAGCGGGCAGCATGCGGTGCTGCGGATAATGTAAGATAGGTAGCGCGAGAGATCCTTAAATGTCGTTACGGGGTAATGCTTATGGGCCAACGATGATAATATGTCAGTTCGACGGAAAGAAGAACGACCAGAGATGCAACAGACCAAAACCACTGGCTCAGAACCTGTCAGGATTACGGGACTTGTTGCGCTTGAAGCGTCCCTTCCGCGGCGAGCGCTCCAGTTTATTCAGATACACGTCATCGTAGCTCCGGAACAAGCAGGTGCCCGCATCCTCGTCGTATTCAGCGAGGGTGGCCCAAACACAATGCCATCTCGAGCGTGTATCTTCTGTCTCGACCGACGCGAATTTGAAGGCGATCCCTAGATGGTTTTGGTCCCACTTGGCCTCCTTGCCGATGCTGGGAGCGAGCCCATGCTTCGTAGTCTCCGCAGCCTTCGCCTTCTGCCTCTCGAACGCCTTGTCCGTTAACCGTATGAGGGCACAGTCGGTAACGAGCATTCCCTTTTCCAGCTTTCCACCGCTCCAATTTCCCTTTTCCTTGTCGCCCGGGTTGGCGCAGGCCTTCAACACTCCTGCAAACCCGTCATCCATCTCCAGCTCCTTCGGGACACCTTTGTGGATTGGATCATAACCATCCACAAGAATTTGGAAGCTCGTTTTGTCCGCGAAATCGAGAGTCAAGGCCGGATGGGAGCGGGAACGGCGGATTCGCGTCAGCGTCTTCCCGACAAGTGTAGAAGGGTCAACGCCTATGGAATTTAGGCGAAGGGGGGGAGGGTTTGAGCGGCGTTTGGTGGGTGTGGTTGGGGTAGGACGCGTGCTGGACGAAGCACTTGAGGATGAGGAATGGTCGGAGATGCAGCCAGAGCCGTTGTCGCTGCCAGCGGGTCGACCCATGATGTATTCGGTGTCGCGGTTGTGTGGATAGTGAAGGGTGTGTGTGTCGCGAGTGAATGGCGGGATTGAAGTACGAGTTGTGGCTAGAGTTGCTCACCTGATTCTCGAACATGAGGCTTCCATATCCGGCATAGCAACGCCCACAGGGCCAAACAAATTTGCATTCGAACCGCGTCACAATTGCCACTCCTGGCTGTCCGGGCGCCATTGTCCTCTGAATGAGGGAACAGCGGCGGTCTTCGCCATTTACTGCTGGCAGTCTAAGTATTCTCCCGCAACACAGGAAGCGCTAGAAATTACTCTACTCAAACCTCGCCTGACGCTGAACACGTAGACCGGAGCCCTCAACAGCGAAGTATTCTCTCTGACACGTTCCGCTCTTTGTTCTGTTGGTTTCCACTACTAGGCCAACTTGCCCTCACACCGGCCCTCCCGTAGCTTGCTACAAACATGCATATCATAAGTGGACGTGCAGTTCGAAGTACTTCAAAAGCAGCTGGTAACAGCATATGCATGATATCAGAATGCTTGCCATCAAAACCAATGGCATGGTCAGTACTTGTGAATTTCTTCGTAGGGTGCTGCGAAGAACTACTTCCTCGTTGGCTTAAGTTTCTCAGTCTGGCTACATTTATAATCTATGCATGCACTGACACTAGTTCTCTATCATACTGTGTGATGACTACTGGAGTGATAACCCCCGAATTGCTGGCTGAGATCATGTGTTCCAGTCAGGCACTTCGCATCATCCGAATGAGGTAATCACTGATAACATCCTCAGAAACTGGGACTAAGGTGTTCGAACAAGCTTAACGAGACCATCACATTGTTGGCCTTTTGCATAATTGGCTATCTAGGTTCATTCTATGATGGGTGGACAGAAACCATCATTGCTGATATTGTTGGCCTGTGGCTAATCCTCTTTTGACGAGGGCATACCAAGCTGTGGTGGAACAGGTGGATTGGGTGAGGCTGCTAGTGGGTTGGTTCTTGGTGATGGACCTTGCTTCAAGGTAGACCCCTGGCAGCGACAAAGGCATAGATGCGGTTATGCTGTGTCATGCCAAAATGGAACTTCTTTAGCATTGCAACATTCTGTGATGAATAGCCTGAGAGCATCAACCAACAGGTAATCTGTATCACAGGTCATCTGTAAGGAACGTATACATTGATGACTTTGACCTTGTACTGTGCAGGATGCACTAACAAACAATGTACCGTCTGGCAAACACTGTTAGTACTCTCCTGTGCTATTGTACCCCCTCACCAACATGCTGACTGTATCATCATCTCCGCTGATACCGCAGCTCGGGCTTGACTCTCTAGAGAATCTCGCTCTGGATAGCATGAAAGAACTGCTCACTGAGCAAATATCGTCAGCCGTCCGTTCCCCAAGATCATCTTGATATAAGTCGCATATTCTAATGAAAGACATGTATCTGTAGGCTGTAGCTAACTCCAAGGTTGGATGTGGGCATCCGGCAGCGTACTAGCTCCTGATTGACCTCCTGTGGTTGCACCATACCACCGTAGTGAGCCCCGAATTGACGGAGATGGTCTCGAAAGCACCGGAGTACTTTCATTGCGTAAGCATGTTGACTAATGTAGTGAAAATGCTCTCCGATATGCTCCTAAGACCTGCACCGCGCGAGCGTCTGATAGACTAGTGCGGCTTCTGGACTCGGACAACGTTCCTAGTTTGACACCCTTGAGTGTAAGAGGGGGTGCAACAGCTCACACGAGCTGCCACAGCACTGGTTCAACTGTGCTGAGACCGTAGAATATGGCTACATTCTATAATATATATTGGTGCTTAATCCTAATTTCAAGAGTTCGGCGTGCGTCCTGGGTTCGAGACAAGGATGTATTACTATTCATTGTAATCGGCAGCCGTGGTATCCTGACTGCAGTAAGGTACTTGGAAGGGAGCCAGCTTACATGTCGACAAAGCTTGAGCTTGAAGCGTGAGACGTGATTCCTTAGTGTAAATAGCTGCTTTGCAATATCCACGAGTGAGGAGTCCCCGCCCCCGGATCCTTATGACAGGCGCAGAAATCAGCCACGCGACAGCCACAGTGCTTCCTAATCAAGCTTCCCTCCTTCCCGTTACGTTTTGCCTCTAAAAATAACACGCCCGTTATATAGGCGATTGCGACGCTAACGCGTCGCTTCACCTTGATCCACCACCTGCTCTTCTTGCCTTATGCTTTACCCTATTCTATCTGAAGTATGGAGAAGATAGCGGAATATCAAGGGCACAGCAGGTCTATCACATCTGTGCTGAAGGTGACTGAGTTCCCGGTCGACTCGCAAATCATAATGCTGTCCAGCCCGCCTTGTGGGCCCGGATGGAGGTTTCACGTTACCGTGAAAGCCTTGCCGAAGCGCGCTATCTGTGAATATCCAAGGTTTACTCTTGCCGCCTGCATTGAAGTCGATTTGAAGCGAGTTCGTGGCCCTTTACAAGTTGCGACGCTAAGAACAAAGGCTTCAGACGGCACACCTGAGCCAGTCAACACTATTATACTCCATCTCTCTACTACAAATGAAGAATGTGATTTTCGTGTACTGGCAGAGTGGACTGAACATGATCCATACTCTCAAGGCTGTCTCCTCTATTTCGTCGTCTCGACGACTCAAACGTCTGGCCAGTTGTGTCCCACGGAATCATCCATCAGTCCACTCCAGCGTACCATCCTAAGGAGCCTGGACTCGGATGAATTCAGATACAACAACATACGGTTCTTTGCGTACTCCATGCGTCTGAAATCTGGACGGCTTGCCGATCCGCTTCCGGTCTTCGCCAACTGGGATACTCTGATAGCCTCGGTAAATTTGAGGGGAGATGAAGCGCGGAACACCTTTGAAAGATGTCTGTAACTTTTCTGTGTGAGGGCTCCACATACTAATAAGATTGGTCTCTAGTCTGCAACAATTGCCGTCTACCGACCTCCGATGACCCTGTGCCTAATGATATAGATATGTATGATTACAGCGACGACAGTGACCTTGAAAATGATGATGATGATGATGAGAATGACAAGGACTACGTGGGTGAGGACAAAGAGGATGACGAGAGCGAAGAGGACGGTGAGAGTGGAGAGGATGTCACGGTCGAAGAGGGCGACGAAGGCGAAGAGGGCGAAGAGGGAGACGAGGGCGAAGAGGGAGACGAGGGCGAAGAGGGAGACGAGGGCGAAGAGAGTGACGAGGACGAAGAAGGTGACGAGGACGAAGAGGATGTCAAGGACAATAGCAGCACCGTCTCGGAGCAAGCAACAAGCTCGGATGAACTAACATACTCTGGCACTGACTTCCTAATAGTTTCTGCTGCATATCGGACGTGAGTTCTTTCGTGCTATAACATCTCCGATGTCGGGCTGACTTCCCTGCTATAGGTGGCGAGCCCTGATTTTCTATCTCTGCACCGGTAATATACGCTTTATGTCCTCCCAGTCAAACGCGGCGGCAGAGGGTGATTCAATTCCGTCGTGCTCACCCCGGTCAATGTATCGTCTAGCCAACAAGGTTTGGGCTGTCCTCTCCTATGCCATTGACCTATGTACTAATCCCCCAATGGTGATGTCATTGCAGCTCGGCCTTGTATCTCTGGAGAAACTTTCTCTAGACGCTATCAAAGCGGGTCTCACCGAGGAAAGCATTGTCAAGCGCTTGTTCTCCAAATTCACTTCGAGGCGAGTATGCTATAGCACGCCTGGGATACACCGTCACGCGGCTCATGCGAACGTCTTCTGCTATAGGTATCCCGCGGTACAAAAGCTAGTGATCCAGTTCCTGAGATCCCACCACACCTCTACAGTAACTCGGGAATTGAAAGAGATGGTCCCAAAAGTCTTTACGCCGAACTACTCTCACTGCATAGGTATTATGGCAAGTGTGGTGGAGGTGCTGTCCGAGGCGTCTGAGAGGCCTGCCAAGCGACCTCGGGTTAAGTAGTGCACGCCCTCTTCGCCGGAGCTCAGTTTCATCCAGAGGAGGGTTGTCCTTCGAGTACTCACGCTAATGTAAAATATCTCAGCACCCCTATATCTATAGTAGCCATTATACTAATTGTTTGCACTGGAATCGCGTTAAAAAACAATGCGGTCACAGGGTAATTATATCACTAGTCTGGAATCCCACCCACTCAGTCATCAGCTGGAAGCTAGCTATCCCGCGGCAGGGTATGCGCAGGCTTTGTATCAGCTAAAAGCACAGAGGACGTACAGCAGGGGTACTGCCATCAGGTCGAACACATAGAGCAACTGCGACGCGGCAAGACCAACGCCGATCGAACACGAAGCGCTGACCATCATTAACTGGGCGTAACAACAGTGTGCAGGACGATGGCCCTACCCAGAAAGAGGTAGGATAGGAATATTCGTGGCGCGACTTTCAAAACGTGGGGACGGAATCCGGTTCGATCGCACTACGATACATGTTTATGTCTACTCTATGATATAATTTAACGAATAATACAGCGATGTTCTATACCTTGACAATCAATATATTTTGTGAACCGTCTACCTCTTCCACACGAGGGAAAACCCAAGCACGTCAATCCGCATACTTCGACAACTTCCTGATCCGCGCACCATACTGCGAAAACAATCAATAAACCCATCGACACTCACACCCACGCCCCACTTACCTTCCAAAGCACCCAAGGAATGGGTATCATCACCACCGCCAACAGCCCGATCAGCGTGCTCGCCCACGCCACGCCGCCCGGGCCGCCCAGATTCTTGAACATCGCGTTCGCAAACAGCGGGAACGCCGCGCCGAAGCCCGCGCGGAAGAGGTCGTTCCCCGCGAGCACGCTCGCCGCGTAGCGCGGGTACGCGTCGCCGAGGTAGTTGAGTACCGCCTGGAAGAGCAGGAACGCGCCTATGCCAAAGAACGCGGAGCCGATGATGGGCACGATCCACGGGATCGATGCGGACGCGGTCCAGCCGAACCAGAACATGCATATGGGAAGCTGGGTCGGGCACGGGCGGTAAGGGTGCGTAAAGGGAAGGATAGGGAGGAAGAAAGGCTAGATACGTACGGCGATGCCGCCCACAAAGGCAGGCGGGAGGCGTTTCTCGGGCACCACTTCCATCCCGCCCTGCTCGAACTGTTTCTCCAGCCAGAAATAGCAGTATATGCAAAAGCCTGCGTACCTGATGCATTCGACCGCAGGCGGTCAGCGGGGAAGTGAAAGACGCCACATATGAATCGGAAACGTACGAGAGTATAGAGCCCACGAATATGCCCAAGAATGCAAGCCCTTCCTGGCCCAGGTTGAACCCATGATTTTCAACGAACACGATCGGGAACGCCTGAGGAACCCCCTCAAGTCAGCATTCGCCCGCACGGTCCACACACCGCCTCGCACGTCCCCGACTCACCTCAAACCACAAATACAACAGCCCATACACCAGCGCGATATACAGATTCAAAAAGAACACAATCGGCTCCTTGACACTCAGCACAAACGGCCTCACGAGCGTCATCATCGCCACCTCCCGCGCGCTCATCTCCGCCTGCTCCATCTCGCCCTCCGTCCTGAGCTTCTCATTCCCCGTGAGCTTCCGCAGTCTTCGAGCGCGCTTGACGAGGATGTGCGCGGCGGACGTCTCGGGGAGGGTGAAGACGAGGATCGCGAGCGCGCCGCCGGAGAGCCAGAGGAGGATCCAGATCGTCCAGCGCCAGCTCTCCGCGTCGGCCGCGAACCCGCCGAGGAGCGGCCCGAGGACGGGCCCGCACACGGCGGCGATGCCCCAGATGCCGATGGCGTACGCGCGCTTGGCGGGGATATACTAACAGTGCGTAGATGGGCGGACGGTGAGGACTTGTGATGAGGCAAGACTCACCATATCGGCGAGCGAGGCGCCGCCAGTGGCGAGGCATGGCGAGCCGAAAAAGCCTGCGAGAAATCGGAGGGGCAGCAGGGTGCCTAGATTGTTCGCCAGCTAGGGATATGATGTCAAGGATGCGCAGAAGTCGAAGAGAGTACGGCATACCGCAGTGGGTACTTGCAGACAGACAAAAATGAGGAGGGTGATGATGTATATAAAATTCCTGCCCAGCGCCGGAATCTCCGAAAGAGGGGCAAGGAACTGCTCTCGAACGCGTCAGATTGCTGTCGCAGCCCAAACACGACGCCAGACTCACCATCGGCCCCACCCCGTACCCAAGCACGAACAGCGTCAGGCCCAGCGTCGCCGCAACCTGCGACACGTGGAACCGCTGGGTCAAATCGACCAAGCCTGCTGTGTAGATACTGCTACCGATATAGATGGAGAAGGTGAGGAGGCACAGCTGGCTGGTAACAAATGCCTTCTTGGCCGAGGACCAGTTGCGCGGGTTCTCGGGGTCGTCGGGGCCGTACCAGGTGACGAGATTCGGGTCGAGTCCCTTCTCCGCTTCTTCGGGCTGCCGCGCAGGCTGGCTCTCCGAACGCGGGTCAGGCGCGCTCTCGACCTGCACATTTTCCTGCCTCTTTTCCTTTCCCTTCTCCTGCGGCTGCGTGTCGCCTATAGTGGTCTGCTCCGACGACGTCGAGGGGCGGCGGAACGCGTCCGGGTGCGCCGCCTGCCACTCGGGGCAAAAGTACTCGGGCGCCCTGAAGCCGGTGCTCTGCTCTGGGTACGGGAGCGCCTTGCCGTGCGTGACGAAGTTGACGATGGTGCCGGCGAACGTCTCGCGGAAGAGGTCCATGGCGGGGGAGCGGGCGAGGGCGGCTGCGGAACGGTCGCTTATAAGCAGCGCAGAGAGCCGTGGGCGTCGGTCAGCCGCACTTGGCGTTAGGCAAAATCACAACGAGCGAAGTGGATTTTGCGCCTTTCGATTTCGACCGACGTGTCGCGGCTATGGGTACAGCGCGATCGCGCACGCGTGACGTCATGTTACGCGCCCTTCTGCAGATCGGCGCCGGTATCGCTCCAGTACTCTCGACAAACAAGGAACGGGCATTAGAAAGTATGGAACGTGATTCGCAAGAGCGTGCTGCGGCCATCGACGTTCCATCGTTGTTCTGACAGGTTTCCATTGGTTGCTGATTACATGTAAGCGGAGCAGACTTGAGGTTAGGGTTACAATCCAAACCGTTCTCCTGAGCACATATCATGTCGCACGATGTAAGAGTGGCACAAATCCCGAGGACGCAGGTGCATTGCTCTTCAGCGCCCTTCCCATGGGGAGATCGCGTAACTGGGACTGGTAAGAGCAAGGCAACAATGGCTAGAGGAGATCTGGCAATAGCCAGAGTTATGCTCTTTTCTGGAGCCTCCCAACTACCCTCTTGAGCTTCTTGGACCTCTGAACTGAGTTCAAGAAGAATCAAAAGGGGCAGGGATCTCCAGAACCAGAGTAGATACTCACAAGACCCGCTGGCGGGTCATAGGTCATAGCACTGTGCTCACCATAGCCATAGCGATCATGTGCGATCATGCATCTTCTGAGTCGCTGAGCAGTGCTACTGTTACAAGCGAGATAGACAACGCCGCAAAGGCCGTCGTCACGTAATGAGCAGAGGCGACTTAGAGGTCGCAATGGCTGCGCTTGCAGGGCTGCGAGATACGTGGGCCTCCTGCCGAGTGACCTTCTGACAATTTCTCAGGAGATCCGTCCTCGTTCAGCTCGAATAAGAGCCCTTGTAGCTCTATTGAGAACGACCGCGTTTATCGATCCCACAGAAGAGTGGTGAAGAGCCGACTAGAGTCCGGAGGCCTGAGGGGGCGATCACGGCCTCAATCACATTGATCGCAAACCACGGCTTTCGACTTCCCTCTAAAGGAGCATAGAAGTGCGCAACAGAAGGTAGCTTGGTGTCGCTCGATAAAGACAATATCGCGCCCTACTGAGGGCCACGGCCTACGGGAAACAAAGTCCGACGCGTCGTCCCGCGGGAGACCACACGGACTCGGCCGACCAACCCGAAGCAATCCTCAGCGGCCTCAGCCACCTTTGACTCGGCCTGCCCTCTCCCCTCACCATGGCCTCCCTCGCCGCCCTCAGAGCCGCCCGCAGGGCGCCGTGGCGGTCCTTCTCCTCCACAGCGCGCGCGCGGCAGCAAGACCCGCCCAAGCCCCCGCCCTCCGTCGACGACTCGACCTCCGCGCTCGACTACAAGCGGCACCAGCGTATCCGCCCGCCGCCGCTGCCTGCGATGGACCTGCCCCGAGCGCGCACGGCGGAGGAGGCGGTCACGAATATCTTGTATAACACGCCCCCGCCGAGTCTGCAGCCGTTCAAGAGGTACGCAGATCACTTGGTGTTAGCAGTCGGGATTTAGGTCTTTATTGACTAGAGGATGGATGGATGGATGACAGGCATATCCTGAATTGCTTGGTGCAGAACGAGCCCGGTGTGCTATCACGCGTGTCGGGTATCCTGGCTGCGCGCGGGTTCAACATCGACTCGCTCGTGGTGTGCCGCACGGAGATCCGCGACCTCTCGCGCATGTGCATCGTCCTCAGGGGCCAGGACGGCGTGATCGAGCAGGCGCGCAGACAGCTGGAAGATCTCGTGAGTCCCCTTCTTTCACTCCCCTCTCCCCCTCCCGCAATCAAAATCCTCACTCCTCCTTACCCTCCTTTGTTGTACTAGGTCCCCGTGTGGGCCGTGCTGGACTACACCAACACCCGCTGCATCGAGCGCGAGCTCCTCCTCGTGAAGGTCTCCATCCTTGGGCCCGAGTACCTCGAGGAACAGCTCCAAGGCGGGCCCTCGCACGAGCCGCGGCGCATTGACCAGGACTACCCGCCCGCGCCCCCTCCCCCCTCACCCAAAATGGAGCGCGAGATGGCGCTCGCCCACCACTTCGAGCATAGCGCCGAGCCCGAGCCCGCGGCGCCGGCGCTGACGCCGTCGGAGGCGCTCCGCCTGAAGCACGAGCACATGGGCGCGATCGACACGCTCGCGAAGCAGTTCGGCGCGACGATCGTGGACGTGAGCGAGAACTCGGTGATCCTCGAGATGACGGGCAAGACGACGCGCGTCGAGGCGTTCCTGAGCTTGTTGAAGCCGTTTGGCGTGCTCGAGTCTGCGCGGACAGGTGAGCCTTAACTGGATTGCTCATGGGATCTCGGGGGGTGTTGATGAGATGTCATTCAGGTTTGATGGTCATGCCCCGCACGCCGATTACGAGGTCGCCTGAGGACGACGACGTGTCGGCGGAGGGTGGTCCTGTGGACGCGAGTCTCCTCCCTCCCGGTTAGGGCTTCGCTATGCTGTTATTTTCAAGCGTATTCCGGCTGCTTGCATCTGTCAAAAGTACGCGTATCTACGTGGTCTCCATAATCTCCACACAACAACCTACTCTGGAATCGAACATGCGGCTGTTACCATCATCCTCACCTGCTTGCATTACTCCAGTAATCGACAAAACATATGAGGGGCTGGACGTGTCAGTAAATAGTAGACTCGCATTAACGTCTACCATCTGCTGTGTCCACGCCTTACCTCGTAACACTACGCCTCGTCAGGACGCGCGAGCGACGATGGAGTGAGAAATGCTCGTACAGATAGTAATTACTAAGTAATATCAGCGTTAAGATATCGAGACCTGAAGTCACAGGCCTCTATGTTGATGGGACACAGCTGGGACAACTCGGGCCTTGAAACAGTCAAAAGCTTGCCTCGTTTTAATCGTGACGGGCCCGCTTGGCCGGAGGCTCAGCGAGGAGTCCAACTACGCTCGCGAGAGCGCCGACGCAGTGCGAGTGCTCGGGTGTACAGGCTTTCGGGACCATCTGCTGCACTTGGCGCGTCACAGCTCTCGTACGATGTGAGCGCAGGAACTGCATCTCCACTTTTTGCACGGCTGGATACCTGTTGTCAAAGACGTGCTTCAGTGAGCTATGTATATCACCTGTAGATAGATATGTTTCGGGACTTGCATCGAGGAGAACTTTGAGAACAAGTGTTCGATTATGTTCGACTCTGTCAAGTCTGCTTCGATTGCGTCCAGCGCAAGCTTTTCTAGAGTGATCATCCAACCTGAAGGGCAAATAAAGCGCGAGAAGACCGCGGCCAACATTAGGTCTTTGACGGAACGGGAAGGCTCGTGCTTACCTTGTTCGCTAAACAATACATGGACCTGGGTGAGCATGATGGCATTAAAGTATCCTTAGCTGCCTCCGATGTGCGGGATATGAAACTGATGTTGCCGGTGGTAAGATAGAATATATATGCTCGCAACCTACAATACAAAGACTAAGCCGAAACAGAACGAACCATAACAGAGTATACTTACGTCCGATGTGCGACGTTCTCCGCAAACAAATATATCCCGGAGACTGGCGGCTTAGTCTCCCGACCCAACCCGGAGTCTTGCGATAATGAAAGGAGCGTATGATCATAGGACCGCGTATAAGAGCCAAAGGACGTACTATTCTCTGTTGAGGATACATTGGCTTCGTTGCCATATTCAAGATCATTATCCTCTTTATACTCGTAGGCATCTGTGACACAGGGTATGCCATCGTGAGACGCCGACAAGTCCGAGTCATACTTGCGGCAAACGGCAGAGAGGGGGTCTGGAAGTTGATTCGAACGAAACACGCCAGGACTACTGACGTTTCATAAAACTTGTCAACGCATGATTAGGGAGGGTGTTGATCAGTATGCCAGAGCTGGCGAAGACTGGGCGGGAATGAGTGACCTTTCCGGATTCCAGACGCCTCGAGAAGGCAAAGAGTTGAAAGTTATCCAGCGTGACTGTGCGGGTATCGAGGGTCTTGATAATACCACAGTGAAGTAAACTAAATGACTCTCCGGCTGGGTAAAGCCCGCCCGTGCCGACAGCACTCGCGACGATGAAATAAACCAGATGGCTCGAGGAGTACGGATCCTCTTCCAGTCCACTTTGCCACTTGAGTAGTAATTCTCTCCCCTGCTGGCTTGATGGGAACCTCCACCAGCTTAGTGCCAATCAGTGCAGGCACCCCGTGAAGAGCTGACGCCCACATAGTCGTGACTGTCATATGACGGCCGAAGAGTAGCTTCAAGCTTGCACCGTCCAGTTCGATGGAGGCAGCGACGGTGAATGTTACGACACCATAGCCATTGCTTGCTCCCGCTACGTTCATGCGAAATGTCCATCCGGGCCCACATTTCGCGCTTTGCAGTGTTGTGTTATCCGTGCGATTGCCAGTGGAGTACAGCCTGGGGTTAGCGTTCACATGCGGAAATCGCACAACCTTGAACACAGATGTAATGGACTTGATGTCCGTTGAAATTCGGAGATCTTCTCCATCCTTGGGACAGGCCAGAGGTCCAAGTAGATTTCAATGCTGAACGCTGTCATCAGCAAAACGTTACCCGACTTTGGCCAGGGACTTGGCTTGATTTGGCTTAACTACGTCTTAATGCCCACTTTTTCGGCGCTTGTGGCCTTCTTTGAGGCTTGAATCAGGAAAAGTAAGCCAAGTCGGGCACCTAAATGCCAAAAGATTGCTCTAAGACGCCGAAAGGTGGTTTTGCATTTTCCTGATGCGTCGAGGAAGTAATGATTGACGGAAAACCTAACCCTGGCAACCGGCAGATCGCTTGTCAGGTGCCACCACCGACGTCGACAGCATCTTCAATGCACGACGTGCGGTTTGCAATGCGTCGCGCGTTATCCCATCTTCACGCTTAAGGCAACAATGAACTCACCTCCATAGGATAATAGAGGCGTTATGGGGATACATGAGCGAATCATCCTGGGTAGTGGGTAGTGGAAAGATCAAACACAGGTAAGCATTTTGTACATGAACATGAAAGCGTCCAATCTCACAAGTTAAGCTGCGCTGCAGCGTCTTTCCTACGGTAGAATCTGTCACACAGCCCGCCTCTCGTCTAACTAGGCTCAATAGCTTAATGACTCCCGCTCGAACCCTCGTCTATGTCCGGAATGCCGTGCCTAAGCATTAATTCTGGACGACGCGAGACGTCAACAGAGGCTCGAATGGGTATCTACGTTAACTTACCCAGTACTCACATGTCGTGAAAACTCTGGAGTTTTCCCAATTATAGTGATCTGCTGGACGAGAACACCCGCCAGTAGGACAAGGTAGAGGTCATTCTATCTTAAGGCAATTATCCGTGAATATCGCTTTACCGAATGTTATAAATTGACGTCCAAGACACTTCTGCTATAGCGGGGATGTAGCCTAAGCCGTTCGCTGGCCCCCACTATAGCAGCCCGATACCCACTATAACGGTCGGGGTTGCTCGTCGTTCGGCGGTCGATGTCGGAACCGGCGTAAATTCCCGTCGCCATCGTTGACCAAAGTGAACACCTGGTATATCCGGGTGAACAGCTGCTTTCTCCAGGTATGGGCTCCTAATAAATAGTAGCACAACGACGAATACTTATATCAATCAAAATGCCCATCTCACCGGTCTATTGTATTCAGGTGTGCTGGCGGAGGTCTGTAATCGCCGTTCGACGGACCCTTTATAACGCGTTAACGCGGAAGTGCAATCAACAGGCCCAACATTATATTGACCACATGTTATACAGAATTGTGCAGAATGTAACCGCGGTATCCAACTCCATTGCAATGTGGTAACGCATGAACGGAGCGATTAACGCGGCCGGTTTGTTATAGACCAGCAAGGCTGTCTTTCACACAGCTCTGCATCCAAGGTGATCGTCGGCAGGTGCAGGAGTGCGGGGCTGGCCAGATAATACACGATGACATTCTGCAAGGCATTTTCTATAGGGAGATCGAGGGAGGCGAGTCAATGCTTGCCTTGTCCTCCTCGGTACCGCCGTATCCCCTTCTTTCGTATGATTCACTTCCTTATGCACGACTACACGACTCACATGGTTGTACGACTATGTTGCAGTCGCTGGCCACTCTGCATGATTGAATGTTCCCTTCTCAATGTCTACGCCTTATACACAGGTTCGCAGCCGTATACAAGTCCCTATACACGGAATACCTCGCGTTTGTTCTACCTGTGCACACTCTCCTCCGGGAACCAGAAGAGTTCACTCGCAGGTAGCTTAGCTAAGCAGCGGCTTCCATTGTCCCGGCGGTTGCTGGGCTCCTTTCGCCACCCGAGAGAGGTGGCCCGAGTGGTTACGTGCTATCTAGGAGGAAACGATCATGCGAGTAAGTCGTGACTTACCCTATGATCTGCATATCTCGTATTGGCCTGATGATAAAAGTCTGAGGAGGTAACGGTTTGCCTCTCGGTGCCGGCCACTCCCATGGAGTCATGAATGCCACGAAGCAATCTGGATGACTATGTAATGCCAGGGCGGACCTCGGAGCCGCTCGGGTCCGAATCTAAAGGGAAGGGTCCGAGAAGCACAGACGCCCTATTCAGCCCTGTTTGTTTCATGTATCTCGTACTGTGTTTTTCTGTACGCTTGCCGTTCACGAGCTCGCAGTATGGCCCAAGAGGAAGAAGGACCCGTTACTACCATACGGCACTCGAGAGTACGCCTTTTATTCACTTACCAGAGCATCTATTGAGCGTTGAGCAGTTCTTCAGGCGCCACAGGTTGATGTGTCATCTAGAACATTCAGACACCGATGAAAAACAAACCCACACCCCCTGCACACCCCCTTCACTTACGTGGTACGGTTCACTCGGTTCAACGTTGGTGATGCTCTTAGGAGAGGAGTTGTACTCTGTGTCAAGCTTGATGCGCAGGAGTCATCGCCCCCCTCCCCCCCCTACAGTCATCTTCTTTGACATGTTGAAGGTCGCTGTCACTTTCCGATGCCTCCGTTAGTGGATGAACTTCGGTAAAGTACTGAAGAGTGTAAGGGCTACAGGGCGTGCAGGGAGACCCACGATCGCGAGTCCCATTTCTATCATCGACAGCCGTAACACCGCACAGTCGTCTACAGCGCCCAATTTCCCCGAGACATCATGGGGCTGTTAGTAGTAGCAGACCCTGAGAGGTGCACCAGAAATTCACTCGCATTGTCACTCACAATAAACGGAGCAGAGACGGAGATTACCTATAGGTTCTCGCGTAGACAGAGCATATAGTCGCGCCTGACAGCGCGCATGCGAGCGATGCAGTAGGGCGAAGTCAATGCGACCAGATTGGATGCTCTTCGATACATCTGCCCCATGCATATGACTCACTGCGAAGATCGTCCATCGTGCCCGTGAAGCCTTACCTAGCAGTTGAAAGAACCACGATCTGCGACTCAAGTAGACCAACCGCGTTGGCACACGTAGTATACGACACGGGAAAAAGAAAAAAGGAATGGATTCATATATCTTTATTCTTGAACTGGCGACTCCATGGAGGTGGCTGTAACTTGTGCAAGGATCGGTTTGGCCACACAGGGCCACATCACGTGATACACGCGCCTACCATCAATGTCACTGTGGCAATTCCGGTCTTGTCTGCGTTGTCTGTTTCTTGCTGCGTTCACAACTGCGATACTATTCAGCTGCACTTTGCACTCTCCCCTTGGATAAACTGGAGCGCCAGCTGGTTGACATGCTCTGCACACTTTGAATATCGACGAACGATCCAACTCTGTGCGACTCCCGCTGCGAAACCCCCACATCATGGAGCCAAGCTCGCCCGGCTCTGTCTTTGCTGGTGATCGTCTAGATGACGATGACTGCGAGGCGTCGTCTGATTTCGACACACATATCACGTCCATGCCCAGAGAGTGCGACTCCACTGAGCTAAACGTAACGAAAGTAAACCGTCTCTTACGCCCTCTTAAAGCGAAATGCACACATCTATCCAACATTGGAGAGGCTTTCTTGCCGGTATCTGACAATACGGGCCCGCGTATGATAACAACCTATTCGCATCGTCGGGTTTACCGCCCCGCCAACCACCAAGAGTCGACGGTGCCTCCACTTGCGGTGTTTGCTGAACCAGAGCTTATTCTACGGAGACCGAAGCCAGTAGTGGATGCAGGGACACTTGAGCTAAGCAGGAGAGTCTATCATGTCAGAGACTGCTTCAAACGGATCTTGGACACGTTGTACCGGGAGGACGAGCTGACCGAGGTTACATCGTCTGTCCGGGATAAGCGGAGGGCAAGTCGACTTCAGAGGACGACGAGCAGCCGACGAGACGTAACGTCTCCTGGGTCAAGCGCACCCACCGAACGTATACCGAGTTTGAGGGATCTATGTTCGGTTGTGGCAGGGCGGAACATGAAACTAGAGAAGCCCGACTTGGAGTGGGAAGGCGAGGAAACTCGGGAGGAAACGGACACCGTAGGGGTAGACGAAGAAACGGAGATAATTGACGAACTATACAATTCAATCCTCCCTCCGTATCGCCGGTGCGTTACCCCATATTGCATCCACTGCTTCACATTCTCACCCCCTCTACCCAGACGCACCCTCGTCTCACACGCGCTCACGCACATCCTCGAGACCGACCGCGTCAACCGCAACCAGACCCTCCTCTCCTCCCTCCTCTCCATCACGCTATCCCACAAACCCCCTCTCATCCCCGAGACGCACGCCATCGTGCGCGCGATGCTCGTCAGCGCCCTCACCACATCTCGCACCAAGAAGAACTCCTCCCCACCGATCTGCCACATCTCGCACGCGTCCTGGCTGGACGACCTGCACTGCCTTTGCTGCGCCCCGTCCAAGAGGGAACCTCTAGCTGACATCAGTAGTTTACCCGCTAAGAAGCAAACGACACATATCCCGACCCGTTCGTTGCTGGGAATGTTCCTCGATGTGCTCCGCACCAGCAGTGCTGAGGACGCAACCGCCGTCTGGCTCTCGAAAGCCACCCACCGCCTCCTGCACAGACTGCGCAAGACCGACGGGCCCTCCTACTTCTACCTCCTTACTGGCATGGCCGACTGCGTCGCTCGTCGCCCGGGAGACACCGACAATTGCGATCTGCGAAAGACGTTCGCCGGGATCATGCAAGGCCTGGTACAGTGGCTGCTGGCTCCCCCGCCGAGCTCTAGCGGACCTCCAAGCCCGGATCTGGGTAGGCGGTCCCTGCTTCGCGTCAAGGATGACCTGTCGTCTCCGGTCCGCGCGGCGCCCGTACGTCGGCCCAGCCACTTGGAGGAGCGGCCTGTTACCCCGGACGACTTCCAGGGCTTGATCGACTTCTTGATTTACACGTCGTCTTGCGGGTTGCACACATCTGTGTCGCCTGGCCTGGCTGCGACCAAGGACGCGGTCATATGTCTAACCGCGATCTGCGTAGCTACAGACCCCGTGCCAGAGGCTGGTATTTCCCACTCGGACAAGAATGGCTTGGAAGCGGTGTTAAAGGCGGCGAAGCCTACTCCTTCGGTGTTCGAGTATCTTGCGGAAGGGATGCTATCTGGGGCCTTACACATCCCCTTCGCCGAGTCTCTCGTGGAAATTTCTCCGAATGCACATATAGCCAACGAGTCCCACCAGCTTTTCCTCGCCTTTGCTTCCGGTCTGCACGAGCTCGACCTGCGCAATATGGGGCATATCGGTTACCTTCGTTTGGAAGCATCATACCTGTACTACGGCGACGTTCGGCCTGATAATGTGGATCAACTGAAGTTGTCCTTCACAGTGAGCAAGGTATCACTAATGCGTGGCTTTACTAAGTCATTTGACAGACGAAAAATGTGGTATGGAAGGCCTTTGGGTGGACAGTCCGACATTTCATGGTGTTCCGGGATAACTACTTTGGCACGTTCACGCATTTCTCAACCCTTTATGAATACTTGGACAAAAGGAAAAAGGGCGTCCAAGTGGGAGATCCCATTGAACTGCAGTACCGAGAAGGAAAGGTTAGTGAAAGCACGGAGTCATACTGGTCGTGAATATCGTCCTTATACTAATATCGCGTTTCAAGTCTAACATGCTTCAAGTGCAGCTGCAGCTCGGGATTGATCGCGGGATCATTGTTGCTCCTGCGGGACTTCCTGGATATGAACGCTACGACTTTGATGCACCTCGCGGGGGGACGGGCGGAGGGCTTGGATCCTGTGTTGTATTGACTATTCCAACCCTTCAAGTCCAATTGCGGACGCATGACTATTTTATGGGTAATACAACTTCATTTTCTTGGACCATCGAGACTTATTTGTGATATGCAGAGATGTCCCTTAATATTGATCTCGTGACAGGAAGTGTTAGGGAGGACTGGACAGAAGCCGATTCCTTTGTATCGGTCAGTCACCAACATCCGAATCCCATGTTCTGCATCGATGGTACGTCTTCGAATATGATGTCAGCAGCGTCTCTGATGTAATGACTTGTAGGTTTGGACATCGTGGCGCATCGATTATTCGGCCCCCAACCTAGGACTTCCACTTACGTCTGCATTTGGGAAATACATGTAGGTCGTGTCAGGGCTTTGGTAACAGCTCTCGAAGCAAAGGTCCTCGGAGCTGCTGGAGACGCCTTGGGTTTGAATTTCTCGGACCCACTGAACGCCCCCGCTGCCGAATACGCTGTTCCTAGTGACCCAGATGGTGTGCAACTTCGTTTATACTCAATTGTACGGCTGACATATTTCGCGTCTTAGTCACGTTCCTTAAAGTGTCTGTGGATGCAGTCACAGCGGTATGGTTAGCCGGCGACTGCGCGTTGGAAGTGCGCGTCCCTCGCGGGTTGCAAATTAATCATAACGACCTAGCAGGCACTTTACACCGCAAGGCCACTGCTATCCGATTTCCAGAGGTTACCTTGAAAGCTTTCAAGTCCTTCGGTTCCGTTGACAGGTGCTGGTTAGCAGCTACGACCCTCACGTTCGATATCAACATGGATATGTACTCTCGACCAGATGGCTGGCGTGAGTCTGCCCGAGCGCAAGCAGAATTTGTTTCGAAGCAGGATGCTCTCACTGGTCGAGCGAAAGTGCTGTACGCTCGAGGCCCAGAGGCGCTTGTTGCGGATATGCGCAGATGTAAGGCATAAAGGCCTTCAGAATTGAAATAATTTTGACGTCTTTGACAGCCCGGGGGTCATCCAAGGCCGGCCTTTATTTACCTTACCCTCAGGTACCAGCAGCAGATAATCCACGACGCCGAAGGCGCCTTGGTACCCGAGTGAAAGACAGGGAAGCAATCCCCCCATTGTCCCGACACTTTTCGACGTCAGATGGGCCGATATCGGAATCCGAGAGTGAAGAGGTCATCTCAGAGGCAATTAGAGATGCAAGACTAGCGTTAGTATCATCTGCTGCTGTCGATATTCCTACGAGTCTCTTTCTTACAGGATAATTAGGAAATCCCGGCCTGCGACACCTATGACTTTCAGAAACTTTGAAGATGATGGGAGTATCGCGAGTGGCGATGAATCGGATGATGCTGACCTAACAGAATACGCGGATGACTCTGAGAGCGATGTTTATGAGCTGCGTGATGGTATGCATTCCGACTCCGTCAATTGATTGTGTTCGTCATATTTACATTCTACTCAAGAGGGCTTTTCGGACCATACGAAGGTTGCTGACCGCTACGACGCTCAACTGATCAGTAGTCTCTGGCATTGGGATGATTCACCGTTCCTGCTGGTCCGAGTTGGTACCGAATGTTTTCTCTTTTCGGAGGTCACACTGAATTTTGTGTAGGACCGCTGGTCGTCCGTAGCTGGCCATAGGGATAATGCACCTCCGATTGGTGCCGCAGAAAAGTCCCCAGTTGACTGCTTTATGCTGCGTGAAGAACTGTCATTTGGGCGTGATACGACTGTATTCCGCATAACCAGTCAGCATGGCGTGGATATTCGTCTCACACCTTTGGTTGCCTCTTGCGTGGGTGCACTCTTTTCGGAGGTAACACTCAGTGTAAGTGAAGTGCGATCAAACGTGCAGCTGACGGACTGATCGATCGTCCTATTAGCGACTTAGCCCTGAACTCTACATTGACTCTGTAATTTCAAGATACGTACGTTCCATCTCCGATACTCGGCTCAAAGGGCAACATACCGTGGTCGATCTATGTATACCCTCGGCTCGCCTCCGCTTCATGCATACTGTCCCAAGCGCTAATGTGAGCGCCTCCAGCTCAAGAAAGGATCGTGGTATCACATTACTGGATATGAAGTTCCAGCAATTGTCTCTCATGGGTTCCATAGTCGCCAAGTTCCAGGAACTTCCGTTCAAGCAGAATCTGGTGTGCACGATTCAAGGGCTGTCTGCTGCCCTTGGCGTGGTAGAACCTCGTCAAGTTCGTTCACATGAGACAGCCCACCAATTCTTCCCTCTGTGTGACATCCGCTTGTCATCGACTACGTTTCGATGGACAGAGGTCCAGGTCAGCATATCTGCCCAATCCTCGTCAATCACCGTGGAGCATGCCTCCCCCAGCGTCGTCGGCGCCTCCGCTTTGGTTATCGTCCCTTGTATACAATCTCTGCAACGCGATTTATCTCGGATAGGGCAACAATCTGAAGGTGTTTCAAGACGCTTAGTGCGGCAGATTCTCCACGTCGCCGAGAAGAAGGCCATGGTTGATCCACTATCGACGATTCAGCCGTCCTTTCTCGTCCAGGCCGGGTGTCCACAGCAGATACGAACGAGTCCGACATTCAAGGCTCTGTTACACCTACGCCGATCTTTGCGTGAGCTGGATACAATGGAGCGCATTACATTCACTCACGGCCACCTGGATCAGCAGTCGGACGTCCGACCCTCTGAGTGGCTGCCTCTGCTTCAGAGGCAAGTCTCCGCCTATGCGGCAGATCCAGACTCCAGTGGCCAGACGGAGGGCCTGAGATTAGAGGATCTCTTGAACGCTGCAAGTCCACGGTCCTCTGATGTGGATGGCCCCGCCTTCAGCGTCGTCTCGTTGGACTTAGAGCTGGGAGAAGTAAAGACTTATTTATTCAATGAATCTCGCACATCGTCCAACACCTTCACCCTGGGCGCTATAGTTACGAGCGTCAGCCTCCGACCATCGGTCATATCTGCAGCGCATGCATCCCGTTCTACCAAATCTCTCGTGGCAGCATCTCTCGAACACCGCCGACAAGACGTAAAGCATCTCGGCATCGCTTTCACTGTTGGAAACGCGGAGGCGTATCTCCTGCCTCATATACTAGACCTGGCGCAGCAGACGATTAGGGTCTGGCGTCACTACCAAGCGGGACAAGAGCATCGTTCCAAACGGTGTCCCCATCCTGTCTCAAGCGAAATCTCCCCAATCACTCCACCGGCCTTCGTAGTCGATTTGACGATGGTCGTAGATCGTTGCCGGATACAGGCAGCTGCGGAAACCTTGACATTTGACGCTGGGGCCTCTGGCATTATTCTCATTTCGAACAACTTCATCCCCAGCTCCAGGATCCAGGACACTCATGGAAACTCTGCCCTATCTGGTAACCAATCCGTCATTTTCAAAGATATCTTCTTTCGAGCTCGTGAAACCAGGAAAGCTTCTGCTTCGGATTCTCTTGCTTCTTTGACCTTCAAACAGGGGCGCATCAATGGTGTTATCCGCCAAGAGTTGGATTCGGGGCTGACGGTGCGAGGGGTAGTTGCAGTGGAGGCCCTGCAGTTGAGCATTCCTCGCAGCGCCTTGAGGCTCTATCGATTTGTTGAGGAATGGAAAGCGGACTACTTGTCAGGGATTGAAACGACTATGCAGTCTCTCTTAGCTGAACTCCAAGGTGCATCTAAACAAGCATTATCTTCCCCGTCCCGGTCCCCAGCGCAAAAGCCCGCTATCCAAGCCCATCTATGCCTTGGCACCCTGGCTATCGTATTGCAGATGATGCCTGGCACTTGGCTTTCCTGGGAGATAGCCGATGTCTTTGCTTTCGCGAAGTCCAAATCGACCCCGCAAACGCTGTCATACTCGTTCGGGTTACAGCTCAAGTCACAACTTCTGAGCATATCTTCCAAAACCAATACCGGAGACAGTGCCGCCGGTACAAGGGTGAAATTTCGGCTTCCTGTAGCGTCTGTGGCGGGTGAATACGACGGATCAGCGATCCAGGTGATGGCATCCATCGCGTTCTTCGATGCGAACTTGCGCCCCTCTCATTGGGACGCCCTCATGTTCATCCAACAGAAATTCGGGCAAGATTTCGATGATCTAGTTTTGTTAGTTCAGGAAACTCGTTCCAAAGCTAAGAGGCCGTCTTCTTCTTCTGCGGGCGCCCACGTGAAACCTGTCCCTCGCCTAAAATTCGACAGCCTCTTGAGAATGAAAGGCTTCCGGTTCGGTTTACAAGGCGTCTCGTCCACTTTGTACCTGGAGTGCGAAGACATATACGGCGCTCTAAATAACGATGTGGGCGATGCCTGGAGCCTGGAATTGTCGGATCTTTCGCTGTCTTTTGCACCCCGTGGGAGCACTTCGATGGGATATTCCGCGTCTTACAGGAACAGCCGATCCGCGTTCGTCTCCATTGATGTCAAAGGCGCGTATAAGACGCTTGCTGAAGCTCGTTCATTGCAAGTCTTTGTTAGCAAGATCCACGCTGTCATGCAACCTAGTTCCATTGGCGAAGTCGGTGATTTCGTCGACCATTTGCAGGTAATGCTATGTAGTATCTCATGCCTTCCCTCATTGACATGTTCCTCCAGGCTGAGCTGGCTTCGAAGAAGGAAGAACGAGCCCTTGAGATGTCAAAATTTAGGGAGAAGACAAGAAGTATCATGAAGTCACTCGAGGTCCGTGTCTCTGAGAAAACGTCCGATGATAGTTCATCGTGGCTTGACAAGAGTAACTTGGAATTGAGTATCAAGAACATTGGTGTCGCGTTCCCGCTTACATTAGAACAAGAGTTGCAACCTCCATTATTCAGACGGGACACCAAGGCTGTGCGAGCTTTCTTGTTTTCGGTCAAGTCCATCACTTTCGATGCCCACCGCGGGGCGAGCGGTTCGGCAGCTATGAAACGTTTTTCCTTTCAGTTCGTGGAAAGGTAGGCGGTTTTACAGTCAAGACAAGTCTCCGTCTTATTGCCTCTAGGTTCCGTCAAGCTGTGCCTGGCGACTTTGGGGGTGAGAACCACAAGACACAGAACAGGATAGTCTACCCTGATGTCAACGCCCGAGTCCGGTCGGATAGACGAGGCAACATGAGGCAATTGCGTGTCGCTGCAAACGTTAGTGGGTTCGTTCTGGATCTCGACTCGGGCATCTCGGATTATATCTTCTCTCTTATTGATGTCTACCGACATGGTAAGGAGAGAGTGGACCGCATTACTGGTGTGGGGTCACGCCCCGCCGTATCTGCTGATATGATGCCACGTCTATCAACGCGTCCGGATCAGACACATTACAGCGCACTGCCCACCTCTAATATCCTTGCGTCTCTGAACTTCTTAAGCGGCCAAGTGCGCATTCACGGTAACTCAGGAACACGCGCAAGGAAAACCCGATCCGTATTTCCCGCCATTCGAGAGATCACGGATGAATCCGTTCTTGATAGTGCCGAAATCTTGGATCTTCCAGGTCTATCCGTATGGGCGGAATACCGAGCAACGCCTGCGTCGAGGAAGCTTAGTGGGTCCAGGAGTGCTGAACCGTCCATTCTGATGTTCAAGAGCACTATCCACTCGAGTCAAAATACACTTAGGCCAACTCTATTACCTTTCGTCACGGAGGTTATCAAACACGTCGAAGAGCGTTTACGAAAGGTCAGCACATCTGGCCCAGATACGCCGAAGTCGTCCAGATCCGAATTGTCGGCGTCGCAGGCCTTGGAGAGCCGGATCGACGAGGAATTGCGGGCGGTTTCGAGCCTAAACATCAGTCTCAGTCTTCGTATCGATCAGTCAAAACTGGAATTGACCTGTCAGCCAGACGTCAACGTGATTGCTGGGCTCCACTGGGATAGTGGGGGCTTCATAGTGAGCATCTCTCCTGGAGCCCGTCGGGTCACGTTCACAGGTAGTGTGGGCGGCTTGACTGCGGGACTAAAACATGGGTTTTTGAGCGACGACTGTGTACGGGTCGATGCCCGTAACCTAGGATTCTCCGTAACCTTCGGTAAGACTGACAATGGAGAAGGCAAGCCTGTTAACTCGATGTCCCTCGTACTCGACACGGAATTCTCTGGGGCGGTACACTTTTCGCGGCTGCAGGACGTTCTCTGCTTCAAAGCTGTTTGGTTAGACAGGATCCCAGTCTTTGGTAACCCTAACTTTGCTACGCCCAGCACGCCCGCCAAAGGCCTGGTAGCTCTCCCGAATCCCGGGACTGTGGAGCAGGGGTTTGTGACTGCTCTCCTAATTCGCATTCGTCGGACAACACTCGAGATGGATCTCGGGCAGTCTATCAGTGCCATCACCATGGATCTTAGCAATGTCGTTTTCAGGACGCGGTTAACGGAGGCCTTATCCGAGGTGGCTCTTTGCATAATGAAAGTAGACATGCGATTCGCAGGCAACCTATCAGGCCAGGCAGCCGTGCCTGATTTCTCATTCCATACCATGCGCAGAAGAGAAGATGCGGTGGCTCATGAGGCGGAAAGCAACAGACTTCTGGAACTGTCTATGTCAACTGGAGCCTTCAACATTACACTAGAATCAGAGAGGCAGCAGCTGCTATACTACCAGTACGTGTCTGCGCATGTGTACAGCGAAGATGTTGACTTTGTCTTTATAGTGCTGAGCCCCTTCACGTTATGATCTTCGACGACTGGTCGCATGCCTCCTCCGAGCACCATTGGCTACAATTGTCCTTTGTAGTCAGTGGCTCTGAAGTGGTTGCCGTCGTCACCGTTGGGACCATACCACGCCTGATCATGTATGCAAATAAGTTTAAGGCCAATCTGGATGCTCAGCGAGAGGGAGCTAGTCGCGAATCAAAAGCCTTCCGGGTAGCAAGCACCCCCAAACCCGATAATCCCCTGTCTGCTGTCGCCAGTGCCATGATTCAATCTGCACGGACGCGTCTGACGGAGCCAGAATCCCGTGTATCATATGTCATAAGGCAGCATATGAGCTTGCATTTAGACCTCCTCCGTCTTACTGTTTTCCCTCGTACAGTCCGTGACGTCGAGATGGCTCAGCTCGTGGGTCGCGATGTCCAGGCGCGCCTCGACCGCCATGTTGATCCTGACGGCCTCACAGCTCACCGGGACCTACATCTTGAATTTGCTGGTATATCGGTTGCAAGATTCCATCAGCTTAACACATCACTCGCAATGAAGACTACTTCGGACAACGCCAAGTATTGGCTTGATGCCCTTACGAAAGATGCATCCGAGGCCATTATTTTCGGACTTCCTTCCATGAAGATGTCGATGGACAGCACGGAGGCCGTCGAAGACCGGATTCGGGTACTTGCATATAACTTCCACAGCCACTTCCTCAGGGAGACTGATATGAAGAGAGAAGACATCTACATAACACTGAACATGTCTCTTTATGCTTGGCTCACGATCCTGCGCAAGAACTTTGCCCGAGAAATGGAGCAAGTTCAAGCGTCGGGTGACGGGCATTCCACGAAATTGCAAGCCACATCAGCATCTTCGCTCCGTAGGAAGGCTGGGGAACAATCATTCTCCCTTGACACTCTGGATGCCCCTCTCTACAAGCCGCCGCCAGGACCAGCTGACTCTTCTCAACCCGGAAGACCTCCTAACGTGAGGGCTAGCACGTTCACTCATAGCAGATCCGTTTCGCATGCCGGTTCATTTCCTGCGTCTCACAATCCGGCATTGCCATCGCAAGATCCTATCGCAAGGGATTTCGCGAATAACCCTTCCAAAACCCCAACCGTGCCGGCATCTCTCGCCTCTACACAAGACAAGGGTCTGATTTTCCGACCCCAGAACCGACAAATAGAACGGCTGACCATGCGTCAACTTGGTGAAGCAACGCCGGACGTCATGCACCCATTCTTCATGAAGAAATCTGGATTCAACCTCGAAGATTCTTTGCCTCAATATGTCCATGAATACGCGACCACGCCACTAGAAGAAATTATGCGGGCGTTATTACAACTGTATAGTAAGCAACTGAGGGTGAAGAGCGATCTCAGCAGCAAGACGTAGTGTATCTATATTGGACGCTGTACCATATATCCTACATAGTATAATTCGTAAATAGCAAGGGTAATTGCACCGGGTTAGGGGATCACAGGTGACTCTTCACCTGCATGTATGAGCCTTCCTTACGCGAATAGCTTGAAGCCTGCGTGGATTTAACGATAGATAGTACAGAGTTCGTCAGGATAATCAATTTTTGGCACATGGAGAAGGTGGCCTCATGCAGAATTGCTCCGTCCTACTGTAAAAACACTCAGCAAAGCAAAGCAACCGTACAGAAGTCCGATAGGGTATGCAACTAGCAGCCGTTGGTCGGACATCCGCAATACGGCCACGAAAATACCTGATGCCGCGTATGTGCACCATAAGACAGACAGCATCGATAGAAGGTACCCCACGAAGCCGCTGGAAACAGACTGATAAGTTTCATATCTTGGCCATATAGACATGGAGCTTACTCTAGCGTAACCATCACACTCAAAGCACCCACCCCCACCATGGGTAACAGACAGTAACCGAGAACCGACGCTACACGATATGCATCAATTCCAGGTTCGGACATGAGGTTGAGGAGAATCCATATCGATATGGAACCCAACAGGCCCACGCCGTAAATGTATCCAAACTGGGGCTTCCCAGACTATGTCCCTCGTCAGACGAGATTCGACACGTTGAAAGCCGCACATACGAATAGTAGGAACGTCCCAAAACAAAAGAAGAAGAGCAGCGGACCGGCCAAGTCTGCGTCATCCATAATGTGTTCGTCCACTCTTCGGAATGGATTGAGGACAGTCAAGGACTTGGCCCATATATGCTCAAAGTTGATACCGAGCTCTGGAAAGTTAGTCAGTGGTGCTGCCATACAGCATACTTCAGAACAATACATACCTTCTAGTAGGGGTGGTTCTCCTTCGAATCCACCGGTCCCGAACGCCGTCCACCATCCCCCGGCGGGCTGTATGTTCCCCCCATACCCCGGACCTACGCCTCCCTGCCCCGAGATGGATCCCTGCGCACCGACATGGCCTTCCAAACTAGATCGTGTGCTATAGAAGCCACTAGTATCTCCCGGCGCCGGGGAGTAGAACTGTAAACCTGGCTGGGCGCCCTGCACAGGCTGAGGTTGGCCATAGCCATATTGCGAGTTTGCTGCCATGGAGGCGCCGTAAGGACCGCTGTCTTGCCACATATCCACACACCGCTAGAGCCGAAACGAGAGATAGAGAATGGGCTTTGTATGCTGCGCCCAACAGCCTGCACAGGGACGTGACCGTGTCGTGGCGGACGTGTACATCATTGCAGGCGTTGTTTTCCTCTGTTTGTCCTTTCCTTCTTTCGTTCTCCCAATCGGACCGCCATGGTAAGCTCTCAGCACACTTGTATTTGCACATTTTATTGACGACATTTTCGTTATATAGCCCCAGGTAAGCTTCACAAGGCGTTGGATGAGAATACCTCGGTGTTGACAACCGGTGAAACAGAACGAGTATATCGAAGAGCACATCAAACGCCATGGGCGACGGTTAGACTACTACGAGCGGAAGTGGGTATTTTCCATCGCTCGCTCAGCCTCTATCAGGTTGCTGATAGGTTGTTAGGCGGAAGCGTGAGGCCCGTGCAGCTCACCACTCCTCTTCCGTGGCCCAGAAGATGTTCGGTCTGAAGGCCAAACTGCTCCATGCCAGACGACACGCTGAAAAGGTCTCCATGCGCAAGACCCTCAAGGCGCACGACGCCCGCGCCACGAAAACCCCCACAACCTCCTCCGCACCCACCGACGCCCTCCCCACGTACCTCCTCGACCGCGAGAAGCAGGCCGACGCCAAGGCTCTTTCCACCGCGATCAAGCAGAAGCGGAAGGACAAGGCGGCGAAGTACGCGGTGCCGCTGCCGAAGGTGCGCGGCATTGCCGAGGACGAGATGTTCAAGGTCGTGAAGACGGGGAAGAGCAAGGGGAAGAGCTGGAAGCGGATGGTGACGAAGGCGACGTTCGTGGGCGAGGGCTTCACGAGGAAACCCGTGAAGATGGAGAGGTTCATCAGACCGATGGCCCTGCGGTACAAGAAGGCCAATGTTACACATCGTACGTCGCTCGTGCTGCCCTTCCCCGTGTACAATTATTCACACTCGTTGCCCGCTTGCAGCCGACCTCAAAGCTACTTTCCAACTGCAGATCCTTGGAGTCAAAAAGAATCCCCAGTCACCAATGTATACCCAACTCGGCGTTCTAACAAAAGGCACGGTTATCGAGGTGAACGTGTCGGAGCTGGGTATGGTGACCACGGGCGGCAAGGTGGTATTTGGGAAGTATGCGCAGATCACAAACAATCCAGAGAACGACGGCTGTATCAATGCTGTCCTCCGTATGTTGACTTGCGATCTTACAATTTTTTTGTCACTGACCATCCGCTGCAGTGGTTTGATTCGGTATTCTCTGTTCCGTGGTTCGGGATCTCCGTCACTCGGGTTTGTATCATTAGTCTCACCGTCGCCACACCATGGCCGCACTTACTCGTTCTGACTCCACATGGCATGCATGCATCATCGGTAGTAACTCATGTAGAACCCACGCTGTTATCTAGTAGATAGTCGATAATATCTTTGCATGAGGAGCCACCCTCGGTTGCCACCACCAGGCGACAGAACTATGTCGATGGACTCGTTGGTCTTTTCATGGTTTACCGGCCAGCCTTGCTATACAGCCCCGGTAGAACCTCACTTTCTCGCTCCAGTATTTCCTCGTCTTTCCCCACTTCTCCTGGTCATGACCGTCATACAAATCTACATCGTACCAAGCCTCGTCTGGGATGCTCAGACCAACTTGAGATAGGTGCAGCGAGGAGACGTGAGTGTACGTATCGTAGATGGTCGGATCTGTGGTACAAAGGAGGGTAAGTTGTGCCGCAAACCGGGTGCACTGATCTAAGGACGCACTCGTTGCTCCTAGCCCGTTGAAGAAGCTAAAACGGGAATGTTTGTCTGCGAGGAGGGAAGGGAGGGCTTTGAAGAATTTATGGAGTTCTGGGGACATCATCGCGATCGTCATTCTCAAGCAGAAATCAGATATTTTCTTACCAGCATAGTCTTCGCTGAAGGTATCTGTATAGACCACATCAAATTTTTCGCCTGCACTGATGATTTCTTCTAGCTTATCTTGCCACGTTCCTTCGAGGACACGGACTCCTGGTTTCGCGACCCACCCTTTCGCTTTCATGTGTGCGATGACGGAGGGATGCGGTTCGATGATGACATGCTGGGCAGGCTGTGTCGGGAGGGATTGGAAGAGGTCGTCGATCTGCGAGGAGGCAACGCCTACATCAGAGGCTGGTTCACGTCATGATACAAAGAGCACGTACTATACCCAGCCCAAATCCGACGTTCAGGATGCAAAGGCCGCTATCCAGCTTTGGGTGGTCACGGCATAAGCGTTCCACGGTTTCGTGCACTTGCTACCTCTCATCAGCCCTCGCGTGTTGTGCGAGCATGGGAAGGGGGCACTTACTGATCGGCGTCTCCCACCCCATCATGACCCCGACCTCCTCCATTCCGCCATCTTCCTTCTCAACGGTGACTATACATATTTCCTGGCCATGCTCGTCGGTCTTGAATTCTAGCGGCGATGCGAGGAACGCGGATGTAGACCCGGTGGCCGAAGAGTCGGCAGCTTTCAACAGGAGCGTGGATCCCGAGCTCTCGAGCGAAGAGTTGGATGACAGGTGCGCGAGGAGGAGTTCTAGGAGGCGTATGGATTTTATCTGCGAGAAGGGGCAGAAGTCGGCGATCAAGTACCTGAGCGAATGCCGGCGTCACGGATGAGCTCGTAGCACGCAGCGTTATTGAAGGACAGGGCAATGTCGCCAGCCGTATTGCCCAGTTTATCGACTTTGAAAAGGAATCAATCCCTGCCCGCGGCACAAAGCAGCAGTGGCGCACACACCGAGATTCCAAGTCGCGCCGTTCTCGATCAGCGCACGGATCCAATGTTCGTTCTCGGTGTACGCTGCTGCATGCAGCGCACTCGTTCCTTCCTCCTCGTCTTGGTACCACAGCGGCGCGCCAGAGTCAATCAGGGCCTCGATCTCATGGTACGGCCTGCGGTCGAGGATGCGCTGGATTAGAGTCCCGCCCAGCAAAGTCAGGGCCTCTATTTCGCTATCCTGCGCAGAGCCTGTGTCTGAGTGAAGGGAAATCGTTTCGTTGTCCGAGTCCATGTTGCAGGAGACGGGAGGAAAAGAGGAGGATGTCCGTATTTGGTGTGCTTCCTTCCTATTATGGTACTCGTGGCCAAACGCATCCCACCTCTGCGAGAGTCCTTTCAGCATCCACCGCCATGACCCCCGCCGCGTCGCCGTCGCCGCTCCCCAAAGGCGCGTCGCCCTCGCCCTCGCCCTCGCCCGGCCCGTCCTCCTCCACCGCGCCGCGGCATGCGCAGACCCCGCTGGACCGCCAGCGCACGCAGCTCGAGAAGCTGCTCAAGGACCCGGCCAAGCCCGCGTACATCCCGCCGCCGCCGAAGGAGAAGACGATCCGGCCGGCGCGCGAGATGATGAAGAACGTGCAGGGGAGCAGCGCCGGCGCGGGCAGCGGCGAGTTCCACGTCTACAAGGCCGCGCGGCGGCGCGAGTACGAGCGGCTCAAGATGATGGAGGAGCAGAATCGCAAGGTGAGGGGATCATCGCTGCGGGGCTACTCGGGGCTTGGGACTGAGCTGGTGTGTAGGAGCAAGAGACGGCGGAGTTTGAGCGCAGGAAACGCGAGTGGGAGGAGCAGGCGGAGGCGAAGACGGCCAAGAACCGCGCGAAGCGGCTGAAGAAGAAGGAGAAAGCAAAGGCCAAGCACTCGGCCGACAAGGACGCGCAGGGGGACGACTCGCAGGGCGCTGCGAGGACGCGGGACGACGACGGCGCGCCGCTCAAGAAGCGGAGGCTGCTCGGCGGAAAGGAATTGGTGTTTAAGAGACCGGGAGAAGATGATAGCGACGAGGAGGGCGGGGAGGTCGGGGAGGGTGACGAGGAGGCTGGACCGCAGCCGGAGGGCGGGGAGCAGGAGGGGAAGGAGGAGGCTCCGGCGCCTGTGCCCGTCACGGAGGGTCATAAAATTACCATCATCGAAGAGGACTAGTAGTGGCCCCCATCTCGGCTATTGATGCTGGTGAGCATGATACAGTAGCCTCTACCCTGAACGCCGATGATGCTGATAGTCCCTTCTGTGCAGCAAAGCGTCCTTTCCTCCAGCCGATCTCAGGGCAAGCCCATCCTCGGATTCACCTCGCACAAAGGTCTGGTGAGCATCCCGAGCGACCGGCGAATGTATCGTACACACTATCATGTAACCGAGAGATAGAACACCACCCCCGGAGATGCGCCGCTTCAGACTCTGATCAAACACTTTCGTCCCTACATACAACCCTGCCAATACAAACAATCTCACACTTCTCCTTCCGCCCCTTACGCCCCTTACGCCTCCACCCCCCTCGGCATCCTCGCCCCCGCGGCGGGCTTGACGCGCGCGCGGAACTCGTCCGCCATCTCGTGCATCTTGACCCAGCGCACGTCGGCGTGCGTGTTGACCCACTCGATGAAGCGCTCGAGCATCATCAGGACGTGCGGGCGGCTGCGTGGTCGGCCGGTGAGTCTCGGAGGGGGAGGGAAGGGGAGGAAGGAGGGAGGGGGGAGACGCTCACCCGCTGACGTCCGGGTGGATCGTGATCGGGAATATAAAATTCTCCTCCTCGCGGTAGAGGTACGAGAAATAGTCCTTCCAGAGGTCCTCGACGTCGCGCGTGTTGACCCAGCCGTGCGAGTTGGGCGCGGACTTGATGAACCTGCGCCCCGGGGTCACAGCGAGAATCAGACAGAGCAGGTCAAGGGCGCGTACATCATGGGCGGCAAGTCATCTAGGTACCTGAGGATGGGGGGGGGGGGGTTGAGCAGGTGCGAGAGGGGCGGAGGCAGGGTGCGCACCAGTTGCCCGGGATCTCGACGACGCCGGTCTCGTTCCCGCGCTGGAGGGGCTTCATCCAGGTGTGCGCGCGCGCGTTGTAGTCGATCTTGGTCCAGGTGTCCTCGTCGCGGAGGTAGTACGCCTGCGAGCTGCACGGTCCATTCAGCATCGCCACCGCAGCAGAAGGGGGGAGGGGGGGGGAACGCGTACTCGTGCGCCATATTCGAATGATCTGCGCCAACCCACGTCAGTTTGGCGCGAGAATGGAGGGGGCACGGCAGGGAGGGGCCACGAACCATACTCGATCCCCTTCTCCAGCAACAACTCGGTGCCCTCCCTGCTCGTCTCCCACCACGGCGCGACGCTCCCCCTGGGCGGGACGCCGTGGTTGAAGGCGGTGAGCAGGGCGTGCGTGTGGTCGAGGATGTCGCGCTGCTGGTCGATCGTCATCGATACGGGGTTCTGGGGTGAAGGGGTATTGTTAGGTGTGAAGGGCGTGTGGGTGTGGGGGACGGACTTCGTGAGAGTACCCGTGGAGCCCGCTGTGCGCAGTCGGGGTATTTCAGACGGCGACGGGGGATGGCTGCGGAGGGGGGACTGACATTTCGTGGCCAGCGTCGCGCACGGCGGCCATTTGCTCGGGAAAGGTTTCCAGGCTATGTCCTAGCATTTCCAGAGACCTGCGATTGGATGAACGGAAGAGCGGGAGTGTGAGGAGTTGCGCACCAGGGATGAACCAGGTGGTCTTGATGTTGTACTTTGCAAAGAGCTTGAGGAGGCGGGGGACGCCTACTTCGCCGGCGTAGATGCCCTGGCGCAGCGAGGTTACGTGTGTGTGCAAGTGAAAGCGATGAGAGACGAACCCTGGAGACGTCGCTCGGCGAGTCTTGGCCGCCATAGGACCCGAGCCTGCAGGGGGCTCAGAGATGACAGGCAGTCTGAGCGTTGGAAGCATACCATCCGGCCACAGCGTCGACGTCGACGCCGAAACCAACGAGGACGGTGCGGGGCATGTTTGCAATAACGAGAGGGAACGTGAAAGGCGAGCTTATCTGGGGATGGGGGAACGCATTGCCGGGTGAATTCCGGGGAATAAAGGCAGCTATCTGTGGCAAACGCAGTGTGGCCTCCCGCAGTGCACCGCCACCTCCGGTAGCCCGATCTAGATCGGGTGGCTATTCCTGCGCGTAACGTTGGCAGGTCGTTGCTGCGGCGTGCTCTGCCAAAGTCATCCATGCGATCTAGTGTACGGGGTAATAGGCGGCGGTAATTAACCGAGTTAATTAACAGGCTGTAATTCACCGTAAATTAACCAGAGGTTGTGGCGAACCTGAGATTCACCCGGTGAATCAGGGTGAAATAGGGTAAACCTCGGAGAAGAGGTCCCCTTGTCCTGTCTGTATCCCTAGCGCCTCCCTGTGCCTACTGCAGTTATGTCTGTACGCTCTTACATTAGACTACCCATACGCTATATGTACTTCATTGAGAAATGTGTCGGTATAGCTATAGCAGGCCTGTGGCTGCCCGACCGGTAACTAAAAGCTTCGGCCAATTTCTAGTGGCCTTTTTTTGTCGCGCCTGCACGATGTCCTCTCTGACACTCCACAGGGCCCCTCCATAGAGACCGTGGACAGCGATAGAGATGTGTCGGATGATGCGGTTATGGATGACACGCCGCTGGAATGGGATAAGTGGTAGCATACCGAAATGATCTATTTGACGGTTGATTTCCCGGTAAATATACCTAATTCGTGCGTTAATTGACGC